GGGGGGGGAGATAATAGATGATAAAAAGAGTGAGAGAATAGATACATAGGCAGGCAGAGAGATAGATCATAAAAAGATATAGATAGAAACAAAGAAATGCTGGCTATATATATATATATATATATATATATATATACAGTATATATATACTGTATATATATAGAGAGAAAGAAATAATATACAGTATATAGAGAGAGATAATAGATACATCAGGTAGATACTGTAGATATAGATAGATGAGAGAGAGAGACAAAGAGAGAGATGGTGGATAGATATATAGATGACAGAAATGAATGAATGAATGAATGAATCAATTAATAAATGGACAGGTATAAATAGACAGGGAGAGATAGAAAGATGGAGATGGTTGATATATGATTGACATATGGATGGATGAATGGAGACAGACAGATAGATGGATAGATGGATAGAAAGACCAAAATAGAGAGATGGATGGATGGATGGATAACAACAATAACAACAGCAACAATGCAGCTATATTGATTTCCCCCTGGACTGAGTATCTAAACCTCTCCCGCTCTCCCACTTGCCTTTTACTCACCGAGTACATCTGGCCTCCCTCCTCACACTCGCAATGGGCAGCCACCACGCAGTGCCCACTGCCATTGCGGTAGTGCCCGGGCAGACAGGTGCAGCCGTCCCACACCGTCCCCCGGCTGCAGTTCCGGGGAAGGTCCTCGTAGATCTGATGGCAGCTGCGCTCGCAGGCACTTGACAGAACGGCGGGGCGGTGGTGTTCGCCCTCCGGGCAGGCTGGCACAAAGGAAGAGTCACGCCAAGTGGGTCAGAGCTAGCGAAGACCCCTCTTCCCCCCCTCCCGCTTTGGCAGGCCCGGCACTCACCACAATCCGGGAGAGCGCAAGGCGCCTGGCGTACCGACGGCCCCTCGCATTCGGCCCCATTGTACATGCGCGGCTGGATCGGGTGGCGCCGGGAGATCAGGTTTCCGGAGCCACAGGTCACGGGGCAGGGGGACCACGGAGTCCACTCGGACCAGGCGCAGGGCACTGGAGAAAGGAAAGGCCAAGCGGAACAAGGTGGGAGGTTAGGACAGGGGCACCCAGAGGGCATCTGGGCAGAGGAAGATAGGGATCAATCAGTCTCAATCAATCAGAAGAGAGTTGGAAGGGACCACAGAGGTCATCCAGTCCTGCCCTCTGCTTGAGCAGGAGACCCTTACAGAACCACAGAGGTGGAAGGGACTTTGGAGGTCATCTAGGAGCCTGAGTGGCGTAGGAGGCTAATGCCTCCTCCTAAAGGCAGCATTTAACATCCAGCTGCCTGAAATTTCTGCTGGTTCGAATCTCTCCAAGGCTCAAGGTTGACTCAGCCTTCCATCCTTTCTAAGGTGGGTGAAATGAGGACCCAGTTTGTGGGGGCAATAAACTGACTTTGTATAAATATACAAAAGGATGAAGGCTATTGCTTAACGCATTGTAAGCCGCCCTGAGTCTCCGGAGAAGGGCGGCATATAAAAATAAATAAAAATAAAAAAAATAAAAAATCTAGTCCAACTCCCTACTCAAGCAGGAGACCTTTACAGAATAGTGGAATGACCGAGGTGGAAGGGACCTTGGAGGTCTTCTAGTCCAACCCTCTACCCATGAGAAACGTGCTCTCTACACATGCCCAGAGGCCTCACGAAAAGCCCAGCATTCCAGACACAAAACCGGCCATACCGAAATCTGTTTTCAGTCTGGATGCCCCATAGAGACCTCCTTCCTCCTTTGAACCCTCTTACCATCACAGTTCTCCTGGGTGCAGGTGAAGACGCCCCTCCGGCAGACACTGCAGGGCCAAAGAAGAAAAGAACCCATCACCGCAGGGTTGTAGTCCTCATGAAGGAATCACTCTTTCTTATCCCAACCTCCCTTGCAGGATGTTGTGAAGCAAGAAGAGAACGCAGGCAGGCCTCGGCTTACAACAGTGGCCATTCAATAGGACAACGGCATGGAATAGCGACCGTTTCTCACACTAATGACTGTTGTAGCATCAAAATTTTGACGCTTGGCTCCTGACTCATGTTTACGACGGTTTGCAGCGTCCCAGGGTATATGTGATTCCCCTTTCATGACTGTCCGATAAGCAAAGGCAATGTGGAAGCCGGATCGACTTCCCAACCACATGACTCCCTTAAATCTATAGGGATTCTCTTAACGACGGTGGTGGAAAAAGCCATAAAACGGGACAGAATTCGCTGCACTGATGTTTCACGGAAATGTGGGGCTTGAGGAAGGCTGGGTGAGTCCAGGACCCTGTGCAAAGCCGGGGTCCCATTTGAGGAGGTGCCTCCATTTGCCTCTTCTGATTGGTCACCCAACGGGACCTGCTGCCTACTCACCAGGTGTTGCATTCATGTCGGAAAGTACTGCCAGGCCCATGCTCCTGCGTGCGCTCTTCCTCAGATAAGTTGACAGCCCAGGGTGCGGCAGGTGCCTGGCCGATCACACACCGGCATTCTTCTGGGGGGATGCACAGCCCGTCCTGCAGCACCTGTGGGACAGCAGGCCAGGGTTTCTCGGACTTCAACTCCCAGAATTCCCCACTTGAGCAATGTTTCTCAATTGGTGGCCATTTTAAGACATCTGGACTTCAACTCCCAGAATTCCCAATCTGAGGAACATTTGTAAACTGGCGGCCATTTTAAGACATCTGGACTTCAACTCCCAGAATTCCCCACTTGAGCAATGTTTCTCAATTGGTGGCCATTTTAAGAGGTCTGGACTTCAACTCCCACAATTCCCCAATTGAGCAGTATTTTTCAACCGAGGGCCACCCTTAAGACATCTGGACTTCAACTCCCAGAATTCCCAATCTGAGCAACATTTGTAAACTGGTGGCCATTTTAAGACATCTGGACTTCAACTCCCACAATTCCTCACTTGAGCAACATTTGTCAACTGGCGGCCATTTTAAGACATCCAGACTTCAACTCCCAGAATTCCCTGGTTGAGCAATGTTTCTTAATAGGCAGTCATTTTAAAACATCTGGACTTCAACTCCCAGAATTCCCCAGTTGAGCAAGTTTTCTCAACCAGCAGCCAGTTTAAGAGGTCTGGACTTCAACTCCCAGAGTTCTCTAGCTGGCATTGAAGGCTGGAGAATTCTGGGAGTTGAAGTCCAGACTTTAAGAGAAGTGTCTAAGGTGAAGAAACATGGCAGTAAATAGAGAGGGGCAGGGCCTTTTGGATGGAGGAGGAAGACACTCACTTGGCCAGGTGGGCAAATGCAGCCGGGCTGGCAGTCTTCTTGCAGACATTGAGTTTCTGGCCGCAGATCGGAGCAGGTGTGTGGACAGGTGTTGGCACAATTCTGGTAGACTTGGGTCCCAGGGCATTCTGGGAAGGGAGGGCAGAGAGTGGGTGGAAAACCCACCCCACAGTTGCTGGTAGTTGGGAAGACCCCCTAATTCTAATCCCTACTCCTACCTTCACCCCAATCCTAAACTTCTACAGCCAAAATCCCCTAACCCTATTCCTAAATCCTTAACCCTACTCCTACCCCTACCTCCAATCCCCTAATTTCCTAACTCCACTCCTACCCTCATCTCAATCCTAAATTCCTATGTCCCTAATGTCTTAATCTCCCAACCTTAACCCTAAACTCGTACCCTAACCCTAACCATAATCCCCTAACCTTACTCTAACTCTAATCCTGACCCTTAACCTCCTAACCCTAACTAGCCCCCTAATTCCTAACTTTATCCTTCCTCTTACCCCTAAACCCTTAATCTTGATCCTCTAATTTGGGGGTGGATAATTAATATTCCCAAGGGGGCCACATGAGGGCACTGGTGGACCGAAGGAGAGCAAAACGACTGCGCAGAGTCGGATCGGATTCGGCTTCTTCTCCTGCACTCTGCTAATTATTTATGTTCCAATTGACCTCACTCCAAAGGGCCAGAGGTAGGGGTGTAATATACTCAGGTCTGCTCTTACCCCTAATCCTTACTGTCCTTTTCAAGAACCAGTTCCCGGTCTGGACATTGCACCCAGGTACGTTTCCCGAACATGAGCAGGGACTCACCTAGCGTGCAATTCTGCAGGTGGCATATGCGGTGCTGCAGGAGCGGGGAAGGGCAGGGCTCCCCCAGAGGGGAGAGCAGCTGGCGGTGCCTCTCAGAGACCCCTCCTCCACAGCTGGTGCTGCAGGGGCTCCAGGCGGTCCAGTCGCTGAACATGCAGCCAGCTGTGGGAAGATGGGAGGAGAATGGTTGTAAATTGAGGGCTATCTGCAGATGAGGGAGAAAGAGAAGGGAGGGAGGGAGGGAGGGAGGGAGAGAGAGAGGAAGGAAGGAAGGAAGGAAGGAAGGAAGGAAGGAAAGAAAGAAAGAGGAAGAAAGGAAGGAAAGAGAATGAAAGAAAGAAAGAGAGGAAGGAAGGAAAGAAGGAAGGAAGGAAAAGGAGGAAAGAAAAGGAAGGAAGGAAGGACAGGGAGGGAGGGAGGAAGATGAGAAGGAAGGAAGAAAGGACTGAGAGGAAGGAAGGAGGGGAGGAAGAAAAGGAAGGAAGGAAGAAAGAAAGAGAGGAAGAAAGGAAGGAAGGAAAGAGAGAAAGGAAGGAAGGAAGGAAGGACAGGGAGTGAGGAAGATAAGAAGGAAGGTAGAACACAGAGGAAGGAAGGAAGAACACAGAGGAAGGAAGGAGGGGAAGAAGGGAGGAAGAAAAGGAAGGAAGGAAGGAAGTCCTTGCCTTATGACCACCGTGGAGCCCTAAGCAAGACAGCTGTCCAACAATTTTGGCCCTGTTTTACCCAACCTCCCTTGCCACCATCGTTAAGTGAATCACTGCTGTTCTTAAATTAGTTGCACGGTTATTAAGTGAGTCAGGCTTTCCCCCTTGACTCTGTTGGTCAAAAGGTCGCCAAAGGGGGGGGGGTCGTGGGACCCTGGGCTCACTGTGACCATCTTATATCATTCGGAATTTTGATCACACAATTGTGGTGGACCAGTCCTCAGTGTAAAACAGGGTCGTCAGTCCCTTTTTTTTGGTGCCGTTCGAACGGTCACTAAACAAATGGTCGTAACTTGAGGACTACCTCCCACCTTGGGAATAGCAGCCAGGGATCCCCACCAGAGGGGTGGCTGCACCCCGTGTTCACTCCCCACTAACACAGCCGTCCCCCAAAATATCTCACCTGGGCAGGGCTGGGAGTTGCAGTGTGCGGCGCCTTCCATGGACTCAGCTACACAGGGCGCTCCGTAGAGGTTCTCGTGGCAGGACCGATGCCTCAGAGTGGTGCCCCCTCCACACGTGGCCGAGCAGGAGCTCCACGCCGACCACTCACCGTAAGACGGGCACTTCTCCTCCGGGCAGGAGAAGGAGCCGTTCTGGCAGGTGCTGGAGGGACAAAAACCAGGCGCCAAAGACGCAGTATGCCATGAAGGAGCCTTAATTCCCCCAAGCAGAAAACCTGGGGTGCTTTTTGTCACACGATTAAGCAGGGATTGTGTTGTTCAAAAAAGAAGAATGTGCTCTGCACTGGTTTTAGCACAGAAAAACTGGAGCTCCTGCCCTCCTTAACCCGGGTAGATTGTCCCCCTGTTTTTCAGCACACCAAATTTGCCACTAGAGCAAAACAGAATAACAGACTGACAGAACAGCAGAATAACAGAATAAGAGAATAACCAATTGACAGAACAACAGAACAACAGACTGACAGAATAGCAAAATAACAGAATAAGAAATAATAACAAAACAAAACAACAAAACAACAGAATAACAGAACAACAGAAGAGCAGAGCAACAGAACAGCAGAATAACAGAATAGCAGAATAACTAATTACTATTAAGTGTTGTACCTTATGATTCTTGATAAGTGTACATAAAAGTATCTTTTCTTTTATGTACACTGAGAGCCTATGCACCAAGACAAATTCCTTGTGCGTCCAATCACACTTGGCCAATAAAGAATTCTATTCTATTCTAACTAAATAAGAGAACAAAAGAATAACAAAATTACAGAATAATAGAGCAGAGCAACAAAACAGTAGAATGACAGAATGACAGAAAAAGAAAATACAGAATGAAAGAATAACAGAACAACAGAATAACAGAACTACAAAACAATAGAATAACTGAATAACAAAATAGCAGGATGACAGAATAAGAAATAAAAGACAATGAGAAAACAGAATAACAGAACTACAGAATAACAAAATTACAGAACAGCAGAATAACAATAACAGAATGACAGACAAATCGTAAGAACAAAACAGAATAACAGAATGAGAGGATAAGAAATAATAACAAAACAGAGTGACAGAATAACAGAACAGCAGAATAACAAAATAACAGAATGACAGAAAAGAAGAGCAACAGAACAGCAGAATAAGAGAATAGTCTTGACTATTGGAGTCTTGACACTTGCAGGCAGCCATTCCACTGGTAGACCTGAGACGTGGGGTGGCTGCAACAGCCTCTTTTATCCTCTTTCTCCCCACTTCCCAGATATTCAGCATCCAGGAACAAATAAACCAAAACTGCCCTTTCGGTATTTAGGGGCACCGCAAAATCCTCCGTCAGTTGAGCTTTTTGCAGACACAGAACAATGTAGAACAGGGGTCGGAAGGGACCTTGGAGGTCATCTAGTCCAACCCTGCACCCTCTGCCCCCTCACCCACCAGTTGTGGCAATCCAGTTCTGCCGACTGGCCGGGGAGAACTTCCACGCTGCCGTTCGCTGTGGGGAGACCGCAGCGGCAAGCTGGGATTGGCACGCAGGACCCATCTTGCAAAAGCTGCCCCTCGGGACACCGGCATCCTGTGGGGAGGGGGAGGAAAAGCTCAGGGATGGCCGGCCGGGAGGCAGGAGAGGGCGAAATTACAGATTTAAAGCTAGTCCTCGATTTATGATGGGGTTCTTGAGGGGGAGGGGGGACCGTTACCTTCCCTGCACTGCCCCTGCAGACACTCGACATGCTCCCAGAAATCCAGGCAGCTGCGTGGGCAGTTGTTGGCACAATTCGCATCGTACACTTTGCCCCGGTCCTCGCACGTCTCTCCTGCCGAGGGTTAGGGGTGGAGGAGGGAGAGAAAGAAGCCAATTGTGGGGGGGAAGAGTCATTTCCTGGGGTCCCATCGGGGTTCATGCTTCAAACATCTGCCCCATTGCTGAATTCTTGGTGTTCTGGCCCAGTTATTCTCACCGGGATGAGTTACAGTTTTCCTCCCCCCTTCCTGCATTTAATCCTCTACAGCTGACTACGGTGCTAAGGAAGAACAGCCCAGCCAAAAGGGTCTAGGTCCCACCCACCCACCCTCCCTCCCTCCCTCTTTCTCTCCCCCTCCCTCCCTCTCTGTTCTTCCCTTCCTTCCTTCCCTCTCTGTTCTTCCATCCTTTCCTTTCCCTTCCTTTCCTTCCTCCCATTCTTCTTCCTTCTTTCCTCCCTCCCTCCCTTCTTTCCATCCTTTCTTTCCATCCATCCATCCTTCTTTACCTCCCTCCCTCCCTCCCTCCCTTTGACAGAGGCTGGCAAAGTTGTCAGGAGTCAACCAGCCACCATTTATTAGTTGAAAGGATGTTGGGGGTCCGTCCGGGATGAACTCCGCAGTCTAGGGGTGTATTAGCTATATTATTTTATTTTATTTTATTTTATTTTATTTTATATTATATTATATTAATAATAATAATAATAATAAATTTATTTATGGTCACAGACCTATTATATTATATTATATTATATTATATTATATTATATTATATTATATTATATTATATTATATTATATTATATTATATTATATTATATTATATTATTATTATTTTATTTTATTTTATTTTATTGATTAGCCATTCGACCATATCAAATGCAGAGTTCCAGAAACAAATTATTACTAAAAATTGATAAAAGCCATTTAAAATGGAATTGGATAAAATACAATGTAAAATAAAATTGGAATAAAATATGATTTAAAATGAAATTGGAATAAAATACAATATTTTAAGATACAGCTAAAATGTGATAAAATTATAATTTCGATGTCACCCCTACAATCTACCCCAATCAGTCCCACATATGCCAATCTCAAACCAAACCATTTTGCTCAAGTGTTGAGCTGTATTAAATGTTATTTTCAGATTCTGGCCGCACATAAGATAAGTTGTTTTGATATGGGAATCCATATCATGGGTCAGTCGTTTGATATATAGACCAAGGTCTCTCAGCCTCTTATACAGGCAACAATCAAACAGGATGTGAGCCAGGCTGGCGTATTAGCAGTTGGATGGGAGACCACCAGGGAGAGCTACTGTTGTTCAACAGTTTCTCTCCCTCTCTGTCTCTCTCTTTCTCCCTCCCTCCCTCCCTCTCTCTGGCAACTCTGAGCCAGGTAGGGAAATCAGCCATGGGAGACCCCAACCTCATTACCTGGACAAGGGGCCATGTTGCAAGTCTCCGACTGGTATCGTAGTCCCTTGCAGCGCAGTTCCGCGTCAGAATGCAGGGCGACCCGTCGGCGCAGACGGAAACCCCCACTGCAGGGTGCCCGGCAGGGGCTCCAGGCCCCCCACCCGCTCCACAGGCAGAAATCTGGAAGAGACCCATAAGGCTGAGCTGTAAGCACCTGGGGCAATCCCATCCTCCCCGTGGAGCCCGAATCCCGGCTTACCTTGGCAGGCGCTGGTCTCGTCAACGCAAAGTCGTTGCTGATCCAGCTCCGCGGTGCAAACACTGTGTGAACCCCTCCAAATTTTGCCGGTCTGCGGGTCGAGGCAGAACCGGTAGCGATGCTGAATGGAGACCTGGACTGGCGGGGAAGGCCAGGAGGCCTCGGTCTGGGTCAACAGAGCAGGGAGGGCCCGGGGCCCAAGGGCCACCAGTGGCAAGCAGTCAGAGCAGGCTGTCCAGGGTGACCAGTTGCTCAGCGGTAGCAGCCCTGAGCAGGAAAAGACAAAGGAGGGGTGGAGAAAGGTACCCCAGCTGCCCCCCCCACTTCCCATCCCAGATCACTGAAAACCAGCAACTGGATGGCACACATCTGTGGCAGCCTTACCCAGTTCCTGCCAGTGTGTACAAGACTGCTCTGCAGGGTTTCGATCAATGGCCACAGAAGTGTTCTCCCTGCGCAGGAGCAGTCTATCTGAAGCAGCCTTTTCCCGGCTGAGTGGCGGGCACTTACCTTGGCAATCCTCGCTGCTGCATTGCAGTTCTCCCGTCTGGCACACACTGCAGAGAGAAAAATGGGGTGGGTGAACTCTTTGGAAAGGATCCCGAGGCTGGCAGCAAGTAGGGTCAGGGGGGATTTGGGGATGGGGGTGGTGGTCTCTCCCCATTGTACCTTTCCCTGGTATCAGCATAATAGAATCACAGAGTCGGAAGGGCCCTTAGAGGTCTTCTAGTCCAACCCCCTGCTCAGGCAGGAAAGATTTTGAGACAAAATTACTGGACATCCGCATCTCGTACCGAGTGCTAGGCGTTGCACAGCACCTAGAAGCGGAGTGGCTACTTCCCACTTAAGCCTGCTTGAAGGTTGGACTAGAAGACCTCCAAGATCCCTTCCAACGCTGTCATTCTGTTAAGCTACAGGACGGTCCAGAGACAGTGGCCGAATCGGGCCCAGCAGGACCCACTGAATTGTTTCCTCCTACCCCCCACGACCTAGTCAGGCCCATCTTCCTATAACATTTCCCAGCAAGTCAACCTTCTTCCCATCAGCTCAACTGGCTTTCTTTTTTTTTTTTTTTTATTGAAAAAGTTTTCAAATACAAATTTTTCCCCCTTTTTTCCCCCTCTCCCTCCCCCTCCCTAACCCCCCCTCCCCACCCATCCCCCCCTGTGACTTCTTCATAACAAAAAAAACCCTAATTCATAACAGATTACTTACTCCCTCCTCTAGATATTGACCTTTACTTACTAAAAATATTATTAATATTATAACATCCCCCTTTATCCATACATATCAAAAAAGTGAAAAGAAAGGAAAAAAAAAAAGACATTATACTATGACATTATAAAATAACTTCTCCACTTTAAAACTATACGATAAGTCCTACTTTAACATTTAATCTTCTATATATATTACTATAACATTTCAAAGCGGCCTTCCCCATAAAATCTAGTTTAACATTTATTCCATTCTATCCATTTCCTCCACTCCCCTAAATATAACACTTAAAAATCCCTTTTCTTAGACTAATCAATCTACCAACTAGCTTATTCACCCACTATCATGCAAGAGCTCAACTGGCTTTCAAACAGTGGTGAAGTCCAAATTTTTCTTACTACCGGTTCTGTGGGCGTGGCTTGGTGGGCATGGCAGGGGAAGGATACTGCAAAATCCCCATTCCCACCCCACTCTGGGGCCAACCAAAGGTGGTATTTGCCAATTCTCCGAACTACTCAAAATTTCCGCTACCGGTTCTCCAGAACCTGCTGGATTTCACCCCTGCCTCCAAACATGGAATTTTGCCATTCTGTGCAGGGAAGGGTTGGATCTGCCAAACATTTTTTCCATGCCCTCTGATCCCACATCTCCCATCATCCCCACCCAACTTTCCTTACAGGTAGGAAAATTCCTGGGAAGTTTTCAAAAGTCTGAATAAACCAGTATTTCTCAAGCATGGCCCCTTTAAGCGGTATGGATTTCAACTCCCAGAATTCCCCAGCCAACTTAGCTAAGATGGCTGGGGAATTCTGGGAGTTGAAGTCCACACCTCTTAGAGGCCAAGGTTAACAAGCACTTTTCGGGACTGCCATCACACCTTTGGCCCAATGCCACTCTGCTTCTATTATTTGAAGGATAGAAGTCAGCAGTTGTTCCCGAAGCCTTAGGGACTAGAAACTTGCTTTTGTCATTTTACAAGGGAAAATCTCAGGTTCCTGGTTGCTGCTTCCTGGGAAGCAGAGTTTAATGGGAGAAGGGATAAGATTAGCCACGATTTGCATTGGGGGATCCTCCCTTCTCTGAGATTTTGAGATTTGTTATATTCATAATCCCCCCTTTGAGGCGCGTTTCCCAAAGCGAAGCCACTGCTCCCCCCCCCGTCCCCGACAGAAAAACGAGACTCACCATTTCTTGCAGCCAATCAGAACGGCTTCTCCGGCCGCCATGAAGACGGGGCCCCCTGCCTGGTGGGGGTGGAGGCAAGCGCACTGTGCGGGGGGCACACACGAACCCCTCTGCTCCAACAGACCCTTCAGGGACAAACATACAAGAGAGGGGTTTCCCAGAGGCGGCTCCTTCTGGGACCCCCGACACTCCCTTCCTTCCTTCCTTCCTTCCTTCCTTCCTTTCCTTCCTCTGTTCTTCCATCCTCTCCTCTCCTTCCTTCCATCCCTCCTTCATTTCCTTCCTTCCTTCCTTTGTTCCTTCCTTCCTCTCCTCTCCTCTCCTCCCTCCCTCCCCAAATTGTTGGGGGAAATATGCTGACTCTGTAAACCACTTAGAGAGGGCTGTAAAGCACTGTAAAGCAGTCTATAAGTCTAAGTACTACTACTAAGTACTTTAGTACTACTATTCCTCCCTCCCTCCTTCCTTTCCTCCCTTCTCCTTTCCTTTCCTTTCCTTTCCTTTCCTTCCTTTCCTTTCCTTTCCTTCATCTCTTTTTCCTTTCCTTCATCTCTTTTTCCTTTCCTTTCCTTTCCTTTCCTTTCCTTCATCTCTTTTTCCTTTCCTTCCTTTCCTTTCCTTTCCTTTCCTTTCCTTTCCTTCATCTCTTTTTCCTTTCCTTCCTTTCCTTTCCTTTCCTTTCCTTCATCTCTTTTTCCTTTCCTTTCCTTTCCTTTCCTTTCCTTCCTTCCTTTCCTTTCCTTTCCTTTCCTTTCCTTTCCTTTCCTTTCCTTTCCTTTCCTTCTCTATCCTTCCCCTTCATCTCTTTTTCCTTTCCTTTCCTTTCCTTTCCTTTCCTTTCCTTTCCTTTTCCCTTTCCTTTCCTTTCCTTTCCTTTCCTTTCCTTTCCTTCTCTATCCTTCCCTTCCCTTTCCTTTCCACTTAGCGATGGTCAGCTTGATGCAAACCCCCAGAATGACTGCAGGTACTCCTTGACTTACAACCGTTCATTCAGTGACCATCTGAAGTGAGAACGGCACTGAGAAAAGTGACCGAGGGCCGTTTTTCACACTTACGACCGTCGTAGCACCCTCATGATCCCATGATCAAAATTCAGGGCCTTGGCAACTGACTCGTATTTAGGACTGTTGCAGTGTCCCGGAGTCACACAATCCCTTTGATGACCTTCTGACCAGCAAAATCCGTGGGGCAGCCGGATTCGCTTAACGGCCACTTAATAACTGCATGATTCACTTAACAACTGGGGCAAGAAAGGTGGTAAAATGGGGCAAAACTCACTTCACAGAGGACTCGCTTGGCGATGGAAATTTCAGGCTCAATTGGGGTCATATGTGGAGGACTACCTACACTCAGTGTGGCCCGAGCATGAGCAGAAAGAGGGGGGTGCACTGCCCCACGTCCACACTGCTATCCTATGCGGGCAGAAACCCTCTGTTGGCCGTCTCTGACCAGCCCTCCCAGCCGGTTCCACAGGTCAATCTCTCCGGCGCTCACCTGCGGGCAGTAGTAACAACCAGGTAAGCAGCGTGGAATGTCCTTGCACAACTCCGGGTGCTTCAGGGTGGAGCAGTGGCTGTCGCAGGGGGAGCCGCACGCCCGGAATTCAAAGGGGGGGGCACAGCTGGACTCTGGAAAAAGGCACAGGAAGAAGTCAGCTCAGGAGCCGGAGGAGTGGGGGGGCGCCTGACGAGGAGACAAGTTCTAGTGGGTAAGGCACCAGGCTAGAAACCAGGTGACCATGAGTTCTAGTTCCTCCTTAGGTCCAAAAGCCAGTTGGGTGACTTCCGGTCAATCACCAGGAGAGTGTGAGTTCTAGTCTCACCTTAGACATGAAAGCCAGCTGGATAACCTAGGGCTAATCACCAGGTGACGGTGAGTTCCAGTCCCTTCTTAGGCGTGAAAACCATCTGGGCGACTTTGGGCCACCCTCTCAGTCTAACCCACCTCGCAGGGTTGTCGTTGGGGGGGGAAATAGGAGCAGGAAAGACTATTAGGTATGTTTGCTACCTTGAATCATGTATAAACAGTAATCAAGGCAGGATCAAAATGAAATCAATATTTAATAAGTAAGGGGGATTATGAGAAGTTATGAGAAGACAAGAAAGTGGCAGGTTGGAAACAAAACTTCCCGCCGATTGCGGACCGAGGAGGTTGTGATGGTGCAGCCTCACCTGAACACTGGGAATAATTGCACATCCGGAATTGCCCATCCAGTCCCAGGCACGGTTCCCGGTCAGTTTCCCAGCCTTTCTGGTTCCTGTAGCGCTGCTGCACCAGGAAGCTGCAGGAGCAGTGAGTCCAGGGGGTCCAGGGACTCCAGGGACAATCTGGAGGAGAGGAAGGACAGGGAGATACGGGGGATCCCGGATTTACGCGCCTTCCGCCGTGCCCTCAAGACCTATTTATTCCAACAGGCTGGCCTGGCCTAACTTCCCTTTTAATTGTAACTTTTAAAATTGGTTTTAAAACATTAGGGGTGTTTTAAATGGTTTTGGGCCAAATTATTTAATGGGTTTTTATATTGTCTTTTAAATTTTTCCGCCAGGCTGGGCTATCAATGTAAAGATTTTAATTGGTTTTAAATGGGATTTTAAATTTGGGGTTTTATAAATTGGGCCTATTATTTAATAATTTTAATTATTTTTGAATTGTGTCTGTCTTTGTGTTTTTAATCAGGCTGTACACCGCCCTGAGTCCTTCGGGAGAAGGGCGGTATAGAAATAAAATTAATAAATAAATAATAAATAAATAAATAAATAAATAAATAAATCAATCAATCAATCAATCAATCAATCAATCAATCAATCAATCTTTGTAGTTTGTGTGTTTTATCTTTCTGGCTGTTCACCACCCTGAGTCCTTCGGGAGTAGGGCGGTATGTAAATCTAATAAAATGAAAAATGAAATGAAAGGGAGGATTGGTACCCAGCGGGGTGTTAGAAGCCGCTGCCTCAGATGATGGAGCAGCAGGGTGCTCAGAGAATGGCCTTGGGATCGGGAGGCACAAAGGAAACACACAGCTTTTAAAAAAAGAGATCTGGTCCGCCATTTGTCTGAAATGGTATGGAACTTACTGCTGGGGTCAGTCAGTAAGGGGGTCAGTAAGGGGGTCAATTTTTTCTGCTCAGCGGCCCGCCGGAGCAAGGTGGAGGGAGGCAGCCCGCCCGCTGCTCACAGAAATGGAGCTTCACGCACGAGTGAGCGTGCCCACTGCTCACACAACTCGCTCACCACTTGTGCTGCCCACTTCCGAATGGGCTGCGGCCCGGTCGTGGACCATGGCCTGGGGGTTCCGGGTTTGGGGACCCCAGACTAGAAGACCTCCAAGGTCCCCTTTCAACTCTGTTCTTCTGAAATGTGGGTTTTAATTTGAGGAAGTGAATCGGAAAGAGTGCCTCTGAGCATGCTCAGTGTGCAACCATTTCTTCTCAAATTCTGGAAGATCTCACAGGGCTGAGATTTCTTCTGGTGGATTTCCCTCTCTGGCTTGTAGAGGGTAGAACAGGGACGTATCCAACCTTGGCAACATTAAGACTTGTGGACTTCAACTCTCAGAATTCCCCAGCCAGTAATTCCCAGGATCTACAGCAATTCCCATCATCCACGGCCAGTAGGAATGGTGACAGGACAGCCTGCTGGATCAAGGGATCCATGGCATCACAACTGGATGGTGGTATAGGCTGGAAGCTCCCGGGAAAGATGGAGAGCCAGTGCGTCTTTGAGTGAAGATGCTGGGGTACCGTAGCATGCGATTAGAATTATGACCCCATCGTGCCAAAAAGGAGTCTTAGAGGACACCCCTTGTGGGTCATTGCACCCTGTCCCAAATCTCGAGGGATGCTTCTTCCCTACCTCTGCAGGCCTGCAAGTAACAAGCCTCCGTCTCCTGCGGATGGCTGCGCTGGGTGCAAGGACCTCCCTCAGTGCCCGCTGAAGCAGTCGGGCAAACACAGCTCCTGGTACGTGAGGTCAGTCCGGTGCCACAGGACTGCGAGCACGGGCTCCACGCCGACCAGGGACACAGCTCGTCTTCTGCGTGAAAATAGGGAGGGGTACCAAAGGAGCAGAATGGGACAATTCACCACGTCCAACATACCACGGCTAATTTACCTGGAGACAATTCGCTGCGGGACAACTTGCCACAGCCAACCGACCACGGCCAGCACGTCATGGCTAATTTACCGTAAGACAACTCAGTGCAGGGCAACGCTCCACAGCCAACATGCCACAGCTAATTTACCTCGAGAACCTTGCTATGGGACAACTCGTCCCTGGACAATTCAACAAATATGAAAGTTAACTTAATTTTGATGGCACAATGGCCAACCATAATCAAACAAAGAAAGTCCATCCAGAAATACAAGAGACACAATAATTTTGACCAAAATGTGGTCAAAAAACTGAATGAAACAACAAATACAGCACTGAATTGTCCCGTGGCGAGTTGGCTGCGGTGAGTTGGCTGCGGCAAGTTGTCCTAGACCCACAAAGGAGATGCTGGCTGTTGCGCACTGTTGGTCATCAACTCCTCTGCACGTTGCAGGATTTACACCACCCCAAGATGTATCAATATGTAAGAGCCTTGGTGGCGCAGCAGATTAAAGCGCTGTTAAATGGCACCAGCTGCCTGCAATTACTGCAAGTTCAAATCTCACCAGGCTCAAGGTTGACTCAGCCTTCCATCCTTCCGAGGTAGGTAAAATGAGGACCCGGATTGTGGGGGCAATAAGCTGACTTTGTATAAAAAAGAACACTGCTTGGGCGGGGGGGAGCGAAAGCCCTACTAAGCAGGTATATACAAAAGTATGAAGGCTGTTGCTTAACGCATTGTAAGCCTCTCTGAGTCTCCAGAGAAGGGCAGCATATAAATCAAACCAATAAATAAATAAATAAATAAATCTTCCGATACAGAGACTGAAATTGAGTTGTTTTAAAGTAGTGGCTCAAAAGAGACGCGGTGGCTCAGTGGCTAAGATGCTGAACTTGTGGATCGAAAGGTCGGCAGTTCAGCGGTTCGAATCCCGAGGGCCGCGTAACGGGGTAAGCTCCCGTGACTTGTCCCAGCTTCTGCCCACCTAGCAGTTCGAAAACACGTAAAAAATGCAAGTAGAAAAATAGGGACCCCCTTTGGTGGGAAGGGAACAGCGTTCTGTGTGTCTTTGGTGTTGAGTCATGCTGGCCACATGACCACGGAGACGTCTTCGGACAGCGCTGGCTCTTCGGCTTTGTAACGGAGATGAGCACCGCCACCTAGAGTCAGGAACGACTAGCACATATGTGCGAGGGAAACCTTTACCTTTACCTTTAAAGTGTTGTACTTATGACTTGCGCAATGCTATCATAAATACTCCTGAGAATTTGCAACTGCCCGCCCGGGCGCCTCGAAGGGCCCAGTGGAGCTCTTACCTAGGCAGGGTTGGGTGGAGCAGTTCTGGCTCTGGGTTTCGGGGCCCACACAGGGCAAGCCTTGGTTGCGTGGTGGTGGGTTGATGCAGGCACGAGTTCGGATCTGGACACTGCCGCCGCAAGTCACTGGACAGTCGGACCAGGGGGACCAAGGGGTCCATCCACCGTGCACTGCAGGGAGGAAAGGAAGGAAGGAAAGACAAACTGAGCCTGGTGGCTCAGCAGACTAAAAGCATTGTGATTAACACCAGCTGCCTGCAATTACTGTAAGTTCGAATCTCACCAGGCTCAAGGTTGACTCAGCCTTCCATCCTTTCTAAGGTAGGTAAAATGAGGACCCGGATTGTGGGGGCAATAAGCTGACTTTGTATAAAAAAAAGAACACCGCTTGGGGGGGGGGCGAAAGCCCTACTAAGCAGGTATATACAAAAGTATGAAGGCTATTGCTTAATGCATTGTAAGCTGCCCTGAGTCTCTGGAGAAGGGCGGCATATAAATCAAATTAAAAAAAAAAAATCAGTTGCTGGATCTCACAGCTACATCTGAGAATGAACTAACCTATGATTTTCCAGAAGCTACAGGCAGTCCTCGACTTACAACCACAATGGAGCCCAAAATTTCTGTTTCTACGCGAGGCAGTTGTCAAGTGAGTTTTGCCCCACTTTATGACTTTTCTCGCTACACTTGTTAAGGGAATCCCTGCTGTTGTTACGTCCGTGGCCCAGTTATGAAGTGCCATCCGGCTTCCTCATTGACGGCTCGTCAGAAGCTCGTAAAAGGAATCCCCATGACCTTAAGACATGGCAACCGTCATAAATATGAGTCAGTTGCCAAGCTTCCGAATTTTGGCTCCGTGACCAGGGGGATTGCTGCCACAGTCATAAAGGTGAACAACAGTCATTGGCCAATTTTTCGGTGCCGTTGTAGCTCCAAAGTGCTTGTTGTAAGATGAGAACTATCTGTATATCAACAGTGCTGGAAATCATGGCTTTAGTTCGGCAAGATTCTGTCTATAGGCGAGGAACGATAAAGGAAGCTGCTGTTCTGGCCCAGCTTTCCAAACACGACGAACCCTCTGTATTTAAAATAATGATTCCTTTATTAGGAGTGCCAGCAGCCCCGGCAAATAGTTTCTCTCTCACTGCAGGCTAACAAGTCTGACCGGCAGGGAGAAGAATTGTTGTCTGCCACATCTATTCATCTCCAGCCCCTGCCTTTTATCCCCAGAGCTAGAGTGGGAGTTCGTTAGCAGTGGTGGCTCTTCCTTCCCAAGGACCGGCCCATAGATTTCCACTGCTCTCCTCTCCTCTGCCTTCTGTGCATCAGCACATCAGGCACTGGACCCAGCTGTTCCTCCTCTTCCTCATCAGCCACCTCCAGACCTGGGGCTGTTGACTCTCCATCTGAGGGCTGATGTACAGCCCAGGCTCTGCCTCTCTCTCTCTCTCTCTCTCTCTCTCTCTCTCTCTCTCTCCCTCCCTCCCTCTCCTCTCCCTCTCCCTCTCCCTCTCCCTCTCCCTCTCTCTGACAGCTCCATTCCTTCTTCCCCCTCGGAGCTCTCTGGTTGCCTTGATACTGGCCCTGACTCCCATGCCTCCTCCTCCTCCTCTGATTCGGCTGCTGGAGGGGCTGGCGACCGACAGGCCACTACAGCTGCTCAGAAATAACACTACATGTCTTTTATGATTCTTGGGTCCCGGCGAGTTGCTTTTAACATATTTCCTTTCTGTCTGACAAGACCAGATACCAGCACGGTGTTCATTCAGCTTTGCTTGATGTTACCTACCTGTTCAACTACTAGGAAAATAAAACTCACCTATGCAGGTGATGTCTAGGCAATAAATGCCTTCCGGGGTGCAAATGCTGGAGGAGACAGAGAGAAAGGCATCCGTGAATTCGTTGTGGAACATCTCCCTATAGCTGCAGCTGCATCCGGGGACCCCCCCCACCAGCTGGATATCCCTGCATGCAAAGCCCTCCCATCTAGGATAGGGGTCCCCAACTCCCGGTCCATGGACCCGTGTTGGACCGCGGCATGCCAGAAACTAGTCCATGCAAACAAGCGAAACCCCATCTGCGGGATGCGGGCAGCGCATGAAGCCACGCCCCCTCCAGTCCACGGGAGAACAACGGAAGTGATCCCTGGTGCTTGAAAGATTGGGGGTCTCTGATCTAGGAGATGTCTCTCTAGTTTTCTGTGGAGGACGAGGGGTGGAGGGAGAGTCACTCACCACTGCTGGCACTCCCCCAGGAGCCAGGTGCTGCCCAGGTTGGTCTCCCGGCCCTCGTGCAGGCACAGAGGTGGGCAGGGGTCCAAGGCACAGGGGTGGGTCTGGACCTGCTCCTTCAGGCAGTCGGGGGCCCAGGAGCCAGAGGTGGGGGTCCTGTGTGGGACAGAACATTGCAAACCATCTTTTAAGCTCTCTCTGAAAATCGCAACTGCTGGCCCAGTCCAGTTATCCCACTACATCTGCAGTCCCATCTACGACAGCACCTCCTACAGCTTCTGCCTATAGCTCTCTGGGGTCCTTGAGCTTCATCCTTCTCCTCCTCCACAAAGAGGCTCAAGCGCTAAGCTTCAGCTCCCCATTTCAATTCTCAGATTTGGGTAGTCCGTGACTTTCGACTGGTCCCTTAGGGACCACTTGACAGATCTCCCCAAAAGGTACTTACAACCTAGTTCCAATAGGTGGCTCTCTTCCCCAGGGTCATGTGATCGCATTTTTGAGAGCTCAACAACTGACTCGCTGTTTGCGGCAATCTGGGATCATGTGATCACAATTTACATCATTTTTGCCCCCCCCAAAAAATGCCATTTATTTCCATTCTTTGGCAAAAGCACCTCTTAGTGAACAATGGGTTCACTTAATGACCACTGTGAAAGAAGCTTCTAACATCCGGTCGGTCAATTTACAATTTACAGTTTTCATGACTTGTCATCGTAACAGGCAGGGTTGCAAATTGGAAAGAGTTTCAGTTGCTGGAATTCTGGCAACTTCACCCTTCTTGGCTCAATAAATCTTGTTAAAGAGTACTGGTCATTTTCTTTAACAAGATTTATTGTTAAGTAAATCTTGTTAAATAAATCTTGCTAAAGACTACCGATAGCCTTCTTTAACAAGGTTTATTGCTAAATAAATCTTGTTAAATAAATCTTGCTAAAGAGTACTGTTACTTTTCTTTAACAAGTTTTATTACTGTTGTAATAAATGTTGTTAAAGAGTACCAATATTCTTCCTTAACAAGATTTATTGAGACATGAAGGGTGAAGTTGCCAGGATTCCAGCAACTGAAATGCTTTCCAATTTACGAGTCATCTATGACCATTTATTTGGGGTGGAGACTTCCTGGTTCTCTTCCTAACAGATGACTTAGCATCTGACGAGAACCAGGAACTTCTCGGATGGAGAAAGAAGGATTGGAGGAGGTGGATCACATCGTGTCTCTTGAACCTCTTTCTGTGTGGGAATCAACTCGCACAGAGATGGCTCCTGTCTTATTGCCCTTCGGGGTGTGGCCCTCAATGAGGAAGATATCTGCTCCCTGAGTCCCAGGTTCCGGTCCGCTCCCAGAGACAAACTTTGTCCATGGTGCCCTGGCATCAGCCTTACCTGAAGCGGGTGCGCAGGCCATTCCCACAGGTGACGCTACACTGGGACCAACTGGACCAGAGACTCCAGATGCACTCGATGGGAGGACAGGAGTAGTTGGTGCAGAGAAGCCTCCCTCCAGGGGCACAGGTGCAGTTATTGCAGCCGTCGTCGTACTGGCTGCCCGGCGCCCAGCTGTGTCCTTGGGCATCGGTGCACTCGCAATGGGTGAGGGGAACGCAGGTGCCATCCTGCTCCAGGGTACCTAACAGAGAGAGCCAAGGGAGCAAGAAAAGCAAATCTGGATCTAGGCCTGAATTGCCCTCGACTGCGTGGTTACCTGGCTAGGTAACATTCTCAGTGCAAAGGAATTTGGGGTTCATTGTCCATTTATAGTTTGTGAGAGGATTGGAGTTTCTCAATAGTTCTTTGATTAGAGCATGGGTGTCAAACTCACGATGTCACGTTACTGTCACGCGATGTTTTGTGATGTTTTCCCCCTTCACTAAAGCAGGTGTGGATGTGGTCAGTGCGTGACGCATTCAGCCTGCGGGCTGCGACTTTGACACCCCTGAATTAGAGTATTGTTTTCTGTTTGATAGTTTGTCTGGTATTAATCCTTGCTTATCTGTGTGTTGCCTGGTGGTGGGGATGTACTCTGAATTTTCTGTTTCTTTCTTCAGTTTTCATTCAATTCAATGGTGTGTAAATGTGGTTTCTCTTTATGTATCTATTGATGGCTGATTTGTCTGAGTGTCAATCTTCTAGCATAAGCAGGGATTCACATCAGACAATCAACAAAAAAAGCCAGTACTCTGATCAAGTACCTCTCCCTCACCAACTCTAGCAGGCAAACGACCCTACATGTAGTCCTCGACTTACGACCACAATTGAGCCCCAAACTGATGTCTTTAAGTGAAACATTCGTTAAGTGAGTTTGCCCGACATTACGACAACTCTCTTGCCGCAGTTGTGAAGTGAATCTTTGCATTTGTCAAGTTAGCAACGTGGTTGTTAAGTGAATTGGGCTTCCCCTTTGACTTTGCTTGTGAGAAGGTCGCAAAAGGGGATGGCGTAACCCCGGGACACCGCAAACCATCGTAAATATGAGCCAGTTGCCAAATGTCTGAATTTTGATCACGTGACCCCCTGCAAGGGTTGTGCGACAAGCGGTCATCGGTCACTTTTTTCAAGGCCATCGGTAAGTTTGAACGGTCACTAAATGAACAAAGCTTCCTCACCATCGGGGCAGCGACAGCCAGGCTCGCAGGCTTCCTTCTCCTGGCACACAATGCCTTCCTGGAGGTCCCAGCAATGCCGGGGGCACCGGTTGGCACACCCCACCCAGTGCATCATGGGAGGGCAGGACTCCTCTGCGGAACAAGAATGTCCGTTACCATCAGAAGTCTGGGAAAGCGTCAGGAACAACCAGATTGTGACCCCATCTGAAAGGGGATCCATTCAGCCAGGATAGAATAAGAACTCCTGCTGGAACAGGGGGTTGGACTAGGAGACCTTCAGGGGTCCCTCCCAGCCCGGTGATTCTATGTTCTACGTCCAGCTGCTAACACCGCATCTCCTTCCCTCCACGTACCGCAAGGCTGGGGGTTGCAAACGCGCACGTGGTACTTCTCGCCAGGGCAGTGGCGCCCTCCATTTTTGGGGGGCGGGCTGGTGCAGGTCCTCGTGCGGGCGGAGCGCCCACCCCCACAGGTCCGGTCGCACCACGACCAGGGGCTCCACTTCGACCAGGCCCCGTCCACTGCAGCAGAGATACAAGGCAGGGAAGACCCACCCCGACCCCTGGTTAGTTATGGGTCAGCTTCTGGGCTGTGTGTGTCCCTCTCTTCCCAGCCTCCAACCAGCTTTCATTGTGCCCAGGAATGGTGTTTTTTTCCCCACACAGTTCACCTGCGGAACTCCTTGCCACAGGAATGATTGGATGCGTATAAAAGCACAAAAGGGGGAAACTGTTTTTTTTTTCCTGCAGTAGCTTTGCCAGTGAATTCCCCCCAAAGGGAAGTCTCCTTGCCACCCCATCTTGGGGAAGACCGAGGCCCCAAACTTACCTTTACAGGCCGGCAGGTTACAGAAACGCCTCTCCAAGTTGGCCGTCAGGATGTCTTGGCACCAGTGCCCACCTTGGCCGGGAGGGTGGTAAGTGCGCAGGCGCTGCTGCTGCCCGACCCCACAGCTGCGGGAACACTCGCTCCAGGGGGACCAGGGGTTCCAGGTGCAGTTCAGGCCGAGGCAATCTCTGCCCTCGCACACGGGAGTCTCTAAGGGGGCACCAGCGGGAGAAAGGAGGTGTGGGCACCCCTCAGAATGGCTCGAGGAAGAAGGCCAACTGAGGGCGGAGGGCAAGTAAGCCTTTTTCGAGCCATAATTTAGCAAACCCAATGGCCCCGGGCTCTGCGCGCGAGTGAGGCCACCCACCTGTGCATTGCGGCAAGTTGCATTCTCGTTCCTGCACAGTGTCTCCTGGGCAGCCGCTTCCTCCCAGGCAAAACCGCCGTCGGGTCTTGATGGCAGGGAGGTCGGGATCGCTGCAGGTCTTGGAACAGGGCGTCCAGGAGGACCAAGGGGTCAGGCCACCATCTTCAGTCCCTGCCAGGTGGGGAGAGAGAGGCCGGCCATGTCAGCAGAGTCGCCAGGGCTGAGTTCCCTTCCGTCCCACCACCCTTCGGAAAAACACCGAGCACAGGTGTATCCAGGGCTCACCTGGGGTCGCTGGGACCGGTCCTATTGTGGTGTGGGTCATTTCTGAAACACAAAATGCAAGACAGGAGGAGGTTAGAAGATTTCCATCCTCATCCTCATCCTCATCACCATCCTCCTCCTCATTCTCATGTCATGTGCAGAGCACATTGTGCAGCAAGTATTTTCCAGGGTTTTTGATGGTTGGCAGTCTCTTCAGGTTCGATCGTTCGCAGTCTCTTTGGCTTTGTCCCCAAAAGACATTAATCGTCTTAAAATCTAACTTAAGAGTGTGGGCCCAGTTTTCCAAGGCCAGCTTTGTTTCTTCAGACGTACATAAGATACGTCCAACAAGCCGCATTCGAAGTTTATGTATTGTCTAAGATCTGCGAAGATAGCAGATTTCAGAGGCAGGAAATTTGAGGATTTATACTGACTGGAAAATAAGGTTATGGTTATTTTTTTTAATCCCCTGCTCAGGCTCTCTCTCTCTCTCTCTCTCTCTCTCCCTCTCTCTTTCTCTCTTCCAACCCCCTTGTTAGGATATGGTTTGAGCCTAACAAGTTGTCCAGGCAATATATGTGTTCTGTGACTTTAATATGAATATGTATTGTGTGACTTTAAAGTTTTACTGCTGATTCATTTTAATGCTGAGTCATGCTGTAATTAGATAATCACTAGTTGTAAACGTATTTAAGAAAAGTACTGTAACGTATTCAGTTGATGATAAGCTTCGTGCCCTGCGAGATTCCCCCCTCTCGCAGGTTTGGCCCTCTTCGTTATCGAGGGCCTATCTTGATGACGGGCGTTGGAGCCCCGAGAGATGGCATGCAGCAAAGAAGAGTTTGAGGGGTTTTTTAAGTGGGTTTTTTAGTGGGTTTTTAACAAACATTTTAAGGGGTTCAGGGGGGATTAGGGTGGGTTCTGGGGGAAATCCACCGGGTTCAAGACCAGCCTTAGCGAAGGGCTGTGACATTAGGGACGTAGAACCGGAGGTCGGGGAGGGGGTTGGAGTTCAATTTGAAGAGGGCTGTTCCATCAGCATAGTGAGTGGGAGGGGCAGATATGGCGGTAGCTGGGGACCATATCATGTTCGGGGAATGCGCACTCGCTATTTTAGAGCGATTGCGCACTCCGGTCCCCAATGCTTTTCTCGTTCCCCAGGCTGTCCAGATTCTCAGGGCCAGAGCCTTCGGCTGATGTTATGCAACACCAGGTCCGTTGTTAATAAAGCCCCCCTCATTCACGATCTTATTCAGGAGGGGGAGGCGGACCTGGCGGGCATTACGGAGACCTGGTTGGGCCAGGAGGGGGGAGTCCCCCTCGTGGATATATGCCCACCAGGCTTCCGTGCATTTCATCAGCCGAGGGCTCAGGGTAGGGGCGGGGGGGTGGCGGTTATTATAAAGGAAGGTCTGGACCCAAGGGAGACCACTGTTCCACAGATAGCCGGATGTGAGTCCGTCTTTGTAAAGTGGGGTCGTGGAATACAGATGGGCTTGTTGGTCACGTACCTGGCTCCCTGCCACGTGGCAACGGCCCTGCCCGAGCTGCTTAACGTTATAGCCGAGGTGGCGGTGGACACCCCCAGACTTGTTATTATGGGGGATTTCAACCTGCCATCTATCGGTGAAACGTCTGAGGTGGCTCGAGAGTTCATGGCTTCCATGACGGCCATGGACCTTACTCAGTTAATTCATGACCCCACTCACACAGGGGGACACACTCTGGACTTAATTTTTGTCTCTGGTCAGTGGTCGAGTGGTCTTGATACAGGGGATATAGTCATCGAACCCTTGTCATGGTCGGACCACTCGCTCCTTCGACTGGACTTTCTAACCGCTGCACCCCGCCGCAGGGAGGCGGAACCGACCAGGTGGTTCCGCCCCAGGCGCCTGATGGACCCTGATAGGTTCCAGATGGAGCTTGGGCCATTTCCTGAGACTCTGGCTCATGACTCGGCTGAAGACCTGGTGGCCGCCTGGGATAGTGCGGCTGCCGGGGCCTTGGACCGTGTCGTGCCTTTGCGGCCTCTGACCCGGCACCGAACTCACCTAGCTCCTTGGTTCTCCGAGGAGCTTAGGGAGATGAAGCGCCGGAAAAGACGCCTGGAGAGTAGTTGGAGGACCAGCCGCTCCGAATCCGACCGAACACTGGTGAGGTCTCATATTAAGACCTACCTAGTGGCGATAAAAGCGGCGAAATCTAGCTATTTTGCCGCTCTTATCGCGTCATCAGATAATCGCCCGGCCGCCCTGTTTAGGGTGACCCGCTCCCTCCTCCATCTGGAAGTGCGGGATGACCCCTTGCAGGGCCGAGCTGAGGACTTTGTGCAGTATCTGTATGACAAAATCGCTCAGATTCGGGAAGGGCTGGCCTCTGACTGGGTATGTCCGGACGGGATGACTGAGGCAGGTCTTGAGAGTGTTATCTGGGGGGAGTTCGATCCTGTGGCTCCCGAGGACATGGACAGGGTCCTGGGACGGCTGAACGCGACCACATGTTTATTGGACCCGTGCCCCTCCTGGTTGGTACTGGCTTCCCGGGAGGTGACACGAGGCTGGCTCCAGAAGATTGTTAACGCTTCTTTGAGTGAGGGGGTCCTGCCGGCCACTCTGAAAGAAGCGGTTATGAGGCCCCTCCTCAAGAAGCCCTCTCTGGATCCGGCTGTTTTGGCGAACTATTGTCCAGTCTCCAACCTTCGCTTTGTTGCGAAGGTTGTTGAGAGTGTGGTGGCGCAACAGCTTCCCCGGTACCTGGATGAAGCTGTCTATTTAGACCCGCTCCAGTCCGGCTTCCGGCCTGGGCACAGCACGGAAACGGCATTGGTCGCGTTGGTGGATGATCTCTGGAGGGCTCGGGATAGGGGTTGCTCCTCTATCCTGGTCCTGTTAGACCTCTCAGCAGCTTTTGATACCATCGACCATGGTATCATGTTGCACTGGTTGGCGGGGTTGGGGGTGGGGGGCACCGTTCTACGGTGGTTCTCCTCCTACCTCTCTGACCGGTCGCAATCTGTGTTGACAGGGGGGCAGCGGTCGACCCCGAGGCACCTTGCTTGTGGGGTGCCACAAGGGTCGGTCCTCTCGCCCCTTCTGTTCAACATTTATGTAAAGCCGCTGGGTGAGATCATCCGTGGCTTCTGGGTGGAGTTCCATCAGTACGCTGATGACACCCAGCTGTACATCTCCACCCCAGGCCACCCCAACGATGCCCTTGAAGTGATGTCCCAGTGCCTGGAGGCCGTGCGGGCCTGGATGGGGAGAAACAGGCTCCGACTCAACCCCTCCAAGACCGAGTGGCTGTGGCTTCCGGCGTCCCGATATAGCCAGCTGACGCCATCGCTGGCTATTGGGGGCGAATCACTCGCCCCCACAGAGAGGGCTCGTAACTTGGGCGTCCTCCTGGATGCACGGCTGTCGTTAGAAGATCATTTGACGGCCGTGGCCAGGGGAGCTTTTTATCAGGTTCGCCTGATATGCCAGTTACGCCCCTTTCTAGATCGGGACTCCCTACGCACAGTCACTCAGGCACTCGTCACTTCCCGCCTGGACTACTGCAACACTCTCTACATGGGGCTCCCCCTGGGGTGCACCCGGAGGCTCCAGCTGGTCCAGAACGCGGCCGCGCGGGGGATTATGGGGGCGACGAGGCGCTCCCATGTAACAGCTCTCCTGCGCGAGCTGCACTGGCTTCCGGTGGTCTTCCGGGTGCGCTTCAAGGTGTTGGTGACCACCTTTAAAGCGCTCCATGGCTTAGGGCCGGGGTACTTACGAGACCGCCTACTGCCACCAATAGCCTCCCACCGGCCAGTACGCTCGCACAGAGTGGGCCTCCTCAGGGTGCCGTCCGCCAGACAATGTCGGCTGACGACTCCCAGGGGGAGAGCCTTCTCTGTGGCAGCACCTGCCCTCTGGAACAACCTCCCCCAGAGATACGTACAATAACAGACCTCCGGATTTTTCGTCGGGCCCTGAAAACTCATTTATTCCAACTAGCGGGGCTGGCTTGAGTTAATTTTAAATTGATTTTAAATTGGGTTATTTTAATTTACGGCCAATAATATTTAATTATTTTAAATTGCTTTTAAATTTTGTATGTATTGTTTTTTACTCTGGCTGTTCACCGCCCTGAGTCCTATTCTGGAGAAGGGCGGTATAGAAATTTAAATAATAAATAAATAATAAATAAATAAATAAATAAGCTACCATTGTGTGTGGAGTTGCTACCATTGTGCTATCATTGGTTGGATGGATCTCCTACCATCGTGGTTTGTGAACCAGAGTGAGTTTGTTATTCTAACCAACTACTGTTTGTTGAGTAAGAAGATTCTGTAACTACTGGACTGATTTACTGGCAAAGACTTGGAATTTGTTTAAAGACTATGAGATTGTTTTTCACTATAAAGTAAGCTTTTGATAAACCAGTTTGCACATCTCTTATTCATTGCTCTCAGCAACGTTTCTCTGTGCGCTACACTCTGCTGGTTGGTAACACAACAACAATATCCTTAACACCCCTGCACAAGCAGGAGACCTTTACAGAATCACAGAATTGGAAGGGACCTTGGAGGTCTTCTAGTCCAACCCCCTGCTCGAGCATTCCAGACAAATGGCTGCCCAGTCTTCTCTTAAAAACCTCCAGTGATGAAGCACCCACAACTTCTGTCAGTGATATAGAATATGCCATACAACAAGGGTCCCCAACCTTCTGGGAACCGGCCAGCGCAAGCGGCACGTGAGCAGACATATGCACGAAACATTTGTGCAAACGGCCCATGCACACAACCATCTCGTCTCCCTCCCCCCACTGTTGACATTGCCAGTTCCACAGAGCCAGAAAGGTTTGGGACCACTGCTATAGAATATGTTCCAATAAACTAGCTAGATTATTAGGGTCTGTTACGTAGGGTACTCTACTGGTGGAGAAAGTCCAAAACCGCGATGGCCATTTCTGACCCTCACCTTTGCAATCCAGGGTCTGGCAGTATTTAATGTCCATCCGAGGGCCGACACAATCCTTCCCCCCGTTGGCAGGCTTCGGACGGGCGCAATCGCGTGTCCTGGTCATGTTGCCCAGCCCGCCGCAGGTCAAAGAGCAGGGAGACCAGGGGGTCCATGCCGTGAAACCCCCATCCACGGGGCAGAGGGCAAACATGCAATCCAGCTGGCCATTGAGACAGGAGCTGAAAGGAGGGGAGGAAAGGGGGGGAGGCATCAGGGGGCGTCTGCCCGGATGTAGGAGGAGAATTTAATTCCAGCAGTAGAGGTAATCCTTGACATACGACCACAGTTGAGCCAGAAATATCTGCTGTTAAGTGAGCCAGTTTTGATCATGGGACCACAATCGTAAACATGGGGAAAAAACGGTCTTTTGTTTCAGAGCCGATTTGGAACGGTCACTAAATGAACTGGGACAGTTTGTATCACACAAGGGAACGTGGAGGGTACAACCTACAGGCTGTTCTCAACATACAACCATTCATTTAGTGACCGTTCAAAGCTACAACGGTATTGAAAAGAGTGACTCGGGGCCGTTTTTCGCGCTTAACGACTGTCGCAGCCTCCCCAATTCAGAGGCTTCGCAACTGGCTCCTATTTATGACGTTCGCAGCGTCCTGGGGTCACAGGGCCAAAATTCAGACACTTCGCAACTGGCACGTACTTATGACGGTCGCAGTGTCCCGGGGCTTCACGTGATCCCCTTCTGATGAACAACCCCAATGGAGAAGCTGGGTTCACTTAACAACCGTGTCCGTACCATAATAAACTGGAGGGATTCACTTTACAGCTGGCGTAAAATGGGGCAGACCCCCCTTCAGAATTGCCTCATGGAGCAATAGAAACTTGCAGCCGAATTGTCATCGTACGTCAACAACATCAGAAATATTGTCATATTCTCTCCAAACTGTCCCCCCCCCCGCCAAAAAGGAAGGTCCCGGCTGCAGGAAATCTTCTCCCCTCCTCCAGGGGACAGGAAGTAAACCCCATTTTCCAGGGGAGGGGAGCGGACACTCACCAGTTGCTGCAGGCGGCGGAGATGATACTGTTGGGATGGACTTCTTCTTCTGCCGAAACAGGTCGGCCTTCAGCAGTGAGGATGACCAGAGGCGCATCGGGGGTCTCGGCCGAATGTCTCCGAAACCCCTGGAGAACCTCCTCGCTCAGGACACAGGGGCACTCCTGGACCAGAAAGAGAGAAGAACAAGGGTGTGTGGGGAGAGGTAGAGTGTGAGTCAAGAAAGCTTCCCACACATGGGGGGCTGGGCTCCATCCTTGCTTGGCACTAGACTGAGTTTTCCACAGATGCTTTCAACCCTGGACAATCTTTGGTAGCCCCACCCCCACCCCAAAGGGACCAAAGAAAATTCGTTTGGCAGAACTTTGAGACCCTACACGCCCCACCGGGACGAAAGGGGGCAGAACAGCCACTCCGTGCTTTCGACACCCAAGCGTGGTCACCTTGCTCTCCGAGCTGGGAGATTTTCTGGCGGACGTTTCACGACCCAGCTAGGGAACGCCATGCTGGAAGGGTGAGGTTTACCTTGAATGTAAATCAGCAGCAACCCCACCCCCTTCTGCCACTGATGCGGATATCTAGTTGGGTTGTGAAAGGTCTGCAATGAAATCAGCAAGTTTAGAGAGGACCAAGGACTTCACAGTTGCAGTCTTCTTCCTCCTCTCCCCAAACCCCCTCCCTTCTAGCACTGATGCTGTTCCCTAGTTGGGTCACGAAACGTCTGTAAGAAAACCACCCAATTCAGAGAGCACCAAGGACTCCACAATCTTTTGCCTCCTCCTCCTCCTCCTCCTCCTCCTCCTCCTCCTCCTCCTCCTCCTCCATCTCTCAGCAAACCTCACTCCTTTCTAGCACTGATGATGTTACCTACATAGGTCATGAAACGTCTGCAAGGAAGCCACCAAGCTCAAGAGAGCGCCAAGGACTGCCCAATCCTTCCTTCCTTCCTTCCTTCCTTCCTTCCTTCCTTCCTTCCTTCCCTTCCTTCCTTCTTCCTTCCTTCCTCTTCCTTTCCCCATTTTCTCCTCCTTCTCTCCACAAACCTTACTCCCTTCTAGCACTGATGACATCCCCAAGTTGGGTCATGAAATGTCTACAAGGAAGCCACCCAGCTCAGAGACCCCCAAGGATCCCACAGTCCTCCTTCTCCTCCTCCTCCCTGCAATCCCCACACCCTTCCAGCACTGATGATGTTCCCTAGTTGGGTCGTGAAATGTCTGCGAGAAAACCCAAAGATCCCCACAGTTCAACCCTGAGCTACAAACGCTCCCTTCTATCGTTGTGATACTTTCCCAGGCATCTCTACACGGTACTCAGAAGAGCCTCCCAGCAGAACCCCCAAAGCTGCCTCTATTTTTCCTGAGACATGCAGCTACGGGGTGCCCAGGACGTGGCAGCCTGCTCTTCTTCTGCCCTACACACACACACACACACACACACACACACACACACACACACACACCAGAAGATCCAGGGTGCCCTCACAGCAACACCAACCTCTGAACAGCCCCAGAGCAACCCATACGCAATAGTGCCAACCTGGACGCATGCCCCCTTGTGCTGATAGGTGCCTGCCGGGCAGTGGCACCCTTCCTCGCAGCCGTCCGAGAAGCAGTCCATCTGGTGGGTGAGGTGCGCGCAGCTGTAGGGACACCCTTCTTCGGCCAAGCACTCCCGGTAGAGGCGGCCCACGGGGCAGCCCACCTCTGAAAGGGGGAAGGGTTAGGTTAGCACCCAGAACCTATAGGCTGCTGTAGAGACACCCCCTTCTCACCCCACAATTGGGTGAAGAGGGGTCTCTGCTACATTTTTGTGCCTCATCCTGCTCCAAACACATGGACATTGAGAAGAGGAGGGGAGGGGAGAGAAGAGAAGAGGAGAGAGAAGAGTAAAGAAGAAAAGAAAAAAGAAGAGCAGAGAGAGAATAATAAAACAGAACAGAAGAGAATAAGAATAAGAATAAGAATGGAGTGGAGTGGAGTGGAGTGGAGTGAAGTAGAGTAGAGGTAGAGGTAGAGGTAGAGGTAGAGTAGAGTAGAGTAGTGTAGTGTAGAAGTGGAGTAGAGTAGAGTAGAGTAGAACAGAACAGAACAGAACAGAATAGGACTTTGGAGGTCTTCTAGTCCAATCCCCTGCCCAAGGAGGAGACCCTATACTATTTCAGACACAAGTGACTGTCCAGTTTTTCTTAAAGATGTTCAGCACCCACAACCTATGGTGGCCAGCTGTTCCACTGGCTAATTGTCCTCACTATTAAGAAGTTTCTCCTTAATTTTAAATTGCTTCTCTCCTCGATTCGTTTCCATCTGCTGTTTCTGACTTGATTTCTGGTGCTTTGGAAAATAAATGGACCCCCCCTTCTTCTTTGGGGCAGCCCCTTAAATACCGGAAGAACTGCTATCCTGTCTCCCCCCCCTCCCCAGTCCTTCTTTTCTCTAGACTGGCCAAACCCAAATCCTGCCACCGTTCTTTGTATGTTTCAATCTCCAGGCCTTTAATCATTTTAGTTGCTCTTCTCTGCACTTTTTCCAAAGTCTGAACCTCTTTTTTGCAACGTGGTGACCAAAACTGGATCTAGGATTCCAGGGATGGCCTTACTAAGGCTTTACAAAGCGGTACTAACACTTCACGTGATTTTGACTCTATGCCTCTGTTTAGACAATGAGGATTGTGTTAGCTTTTGGGGCTGCTGCCTATTGTGGTCCGCCAGCAGCCTGCGGAGCTGGCAGCGGAGTCGGACAGCGATGGGCTGAGGAAGAACAGGGGCCAGTCCTGGAGGCTGAGGAGGCCCGGATGAGGGCTCTGCGTCAGAGGCAGAGATGGGGCCAGAGCCATCGGAGAGTGATGTGCGGACTCTGGAGCCTCCAGAGGCTGACAACAGAGAGACAGAGGAACAGGAGCCTGTTCCTAGTGCACGCATGAGAAGAGTTGCCAGAAAGCAAGAGCAGCTAAAGCAGAAAGGACGACTGAGGAGTAAGGCCAGGAGATGATTGGCCCTTCCCATAAGGCTTAAAAGAACAGCAACGGCTCTTGGCCTCTTTGTTGGAAAACAACGTTGAGAGATTTGCTTCTTGTCTTGCTGCATTTATTTCTTGTCGGCGTCTTCTGCTTCTGAACTTTTGCCAAGAAAAGCCTTTGGCAGTTTGCCTAATTAGACAAGGTTGGTGATAAGGCTGAAGAATTGTGTGATGAAGAATTTGTTTTGAATTATTTGGACTATGCTGAGAATGAGTTAATTCTCAGCTGTTCTAATAAAATCTGTTTGTTTTCAAACTGATTGCGTCTGATAATACCTACTTGGGCCACAACACTGCCGCACACAACTGAATCACATTTAAGGGATCGTCCGCTAGGACTCCAAGGCCCCTCTCCCAGTTACTGGTTTTGAGACAGGATTCGAGCCGAATCCCCCAACTGGACATCCCTCTTACCCCACCGTATTAGTGGCCTATCATCTGACATCTGGCATCGGTGTTGTAGTGCGATGACCAAAACTGGATGCACCACTGCGGTCGCATTGTGAACTGTGCAAAACCGAGGCAACACTGGATGTTGTGCAAGGCATTACGGTTATAGCGGGGGAGGGTGACGAGGATTGCGCGAAGGAGGCTGATCGGAGACAGCAAAACCAGCAGGATGTCGGTTGGGTGCCTGCCAGTGGACTCACCGAGACAGACGTGCGTGTGGCAGGTCTTGCTTTGCGTGGACAAACCCCGGCAATCTGGCTGGCGACAGCGTCGGCTGCGCATCTGTTCTCCCCCCCACAGGAGACACTGCAGGGGGACCAGGGGGTCCAGGGGTCCCAGGCTTCCTCCTCTGGAGGGGGCAAGAAAAAGAGTACGACCTTGGGGGAATCTTCCTGGAGAATGCAGCTGTTGACGCCGAACACTCTTCCCTGGAGGCTGTGCCGGTGTGTTTTGGGGGGTTCTGGGGGCCACCTGCCCTCCCAGGGCTGTGGATTTTGAGGGGACAGTCCAGCTGCCCATCTCAGAGTCAGAGGACACACAGCAGAAAGGAAGGAGTACTTCCCCCCCCCACTGCAAGGCTGTCTCTCTCTGGATAACCTGCTGCCCCACTAGCAGGCAAACCTGGGAATGTGACAGGCTCCTCCCACCAAAGACATTTGCATAGCTCCACCCCTGAAATCAAGGGGAGGTTAGGGGGCTGGGGGGGACTTCCTCACACTCAGAAAAAGACACACAAGAGAGCAAAGCTGTGCGACACACCAGCTTTTTGTACGCGAGAGGCCATTAGACGCGTCTCTCAACCTCGGCCATTTTAAGCAGCGTGGACTTCAACTCCCAGAATTCTCCAGGCCAGGGGGGATTCTAGAAGTTGAAGTCTGCCCATCTTGAAGATTGGGAAACACGGCTATACGGGGTTGCCCTCAATTTCCAGAACCAGAATTTCCGTTGCTAAACTGAGATGGCCGTTTGGCGAGTCGTGCCAGATTTAATGATATTTTTTCGGCCACAGTTTTTAAGCCAATCAAGCTGTTGTTAAATGAATTGGGTTTTCCCCATTGACTTTGCTTGCCAGGAGGTCACCAAAGGGGATCGCATGACCCCGTCATAAATATGAGTCAGTTGCCAAGCAACTGAATTTTGATCACGGGACCTTGCGGATGCTGTGTTGGTCATAAGTGTGAGGACTGGTTCTAAGTCTCTTTTTTTTTTCCTGGTGCCATTGTAACTTCAAATGGTCACTCAATGAAAGGTGAACAAAGGCGAATATATGTGTCCCAGGATCCAATCTGTATTGGTCAGATTTTGTCTTCCGAACATTCGGACTCAGAAATTTGGAAATTTTGTCCTCCGAACATTCGGACTCATGCCGTAGTCTGTCTTCAGGGAAACTCCCTCTAGCAGAGTATGTGTGTGCTGTTCTGCGTGTGGTATTTATAGTGCCTGTAGTGAGTGGCTCTTACAACAATGTCCCAACTCACTGGTAGCCTCACACTGCAATGAACAAGAACAAACATTCAACTTTGCAGCAACTAAGATTGTTGGCCGAGCAGGCCCAAAAACAGTGGTTGAAGCCTTGGAAATAGGCCCCTCATCAGTCAACAGGAATGCTGAATTACCACCAGCCTATGAAGGACTTAGAAGGTGAGGGCTGGGCAGCACAAGCAAACGACAGCCAACCACTTAACAGCCAGACAGCCACACACCCCAATCAACAACTAGGAAGCCACACAAACAACAGGAGCCATCTAAACACCACATGTGGAACAGCGCACACTCTGCTACAGAGACGTTCCCCAAGGATCGGCTCCAGAATGAGTCTGAAAATTTGGAAGACAAAACCTCCGGGTGACCGGTGACCGACCCAGATTGGATCCCGCAACTAATCAAATAGTCATTAAATTGAGGACTATCAGGAAAAGGTGAGCTTTCACGTATATGATACCGGTCCAAACTCACCTGGACACTCTTCTGGATTCCAGCACAGTCTCTGCTGCTCACCGCCACCAGCACATCCCCGGCCTCCATTTTGTGGGGGCGGATTGCTGCATTCCCGGAAACGGTACTGGACACCTTCCCCACAAGTCTGGCTGCAGGGAGACCATCGTCCCCAGCTGGACCACCCACCATCCAGGCGGCACCAGGAATCTGCCCGGCACTGCAAGTGCCCATCTACACAGGTGCTGAGGAGAAGAGAGGTTCGGTCAGTGATTTTATTTCGGAGAAGTGCAAAACCTGGCAAATTTCGGTTGGACACTCCCTGCCATCGTACACTCACCAGTTCTGGCAGGGTGCGTAGATGGTCTCCCCGGGCTGAGCGTACTCCCATTTGGGGAGTCCCAACCAGGAGGAGAGGTTCCGCTCTTCGGGGACACCTACGTGCAAGAGATGTGTGTGTTAGGTCCGAAGAACCAAAAACGACGCGTGGCGTTACTGCCAAGCAATTATTTTATTGCTGCGCACCCAAAGACTGAATCTTGACAGACTAAAGCAATTACCTGCAATAGCTATAGATGTCTATGGAGATTCTAATTATAGATATACTCTGAGAACTAATAAAGGAGAATCTTTGTAGCTTGGGGATGAAATGAGGGGTCTTTGGGGCTCTCTGAGCTCGGAGGAGGAGGAGGAGGAGGAGGAGGAGGAGGAGAAGGACTATAGGGTCCTTGGTACCCTCTGAGCTTTTTTGTTTTCTTGTGGACATTTCATATCATCAGAGCTAAAAGGCACCGTATATAAACAGAGGTCAACCCTGCCTCCCTTCCAGCACTGATGATGTTCCCTAGTTGGGTCATCAAACATCTGCAAGGAAACCACCCAGATCAGAGAACACAAAGAAACCCCAAAATCGTTGTTGTTGTCATCGTCCTCCTCCTCCTCTCTGCAAATCCTACTCCCTCCTAGCACTGAAGATGTTTCCTAGTTGAATCATGAAATGTCTGCAAGAAAACCAAGGACCCCCAGTCGTATTGTCATTGTCGTCGTCCTCCTCCTTTTCCTCCTCCTCTCGACACACCTCCTCCCTTCTAGCACTGACAATGTTCCATAGTTGGGTCACGAAACGTCTGCAAGAAAACCACCCAGCTCAGAGAGCCCCAAGGATCTCTCACGCTGTGAAGTGCTACCTGTCTTCCACCACAAGGGAGATCAGCATGGGCCCCACTGCTTTGGCAACTGTCCTCAACTCCCCCAAAACACCCCCCTTACCCTCCAGGACATTGTAAACCGGAAGGGCAGGATGGAGGGTCTCGGCTATCCTCTGGGATGCTCATATAAGAGGCTTGCAGAGGTGTCACCCTTTCTTTATTCCTCCCTCTGGGGAAGGGATCCCCAATCCCTGGTCCATGGACTGGCACCGGTCCGTGGCATGCCAGAAACCAGTCCGCGCAAACAAGAGAAGGCCCATCCGTGGGATGCAGGCAGCTCATGAAACCATGTTCCCTCTGGTCCATGGGAAATCCTTTCTCTATGGAACCGGTCCCTAGGCCCAAAAGGTTGGGGGGCACTGCTCTGGGGGGGCTCCATGGGCATCTGGACTCACCCAGCCAGGGCATCTGGTACTTGCAGCGGCACCGAGAGGGTGCCACACACACCCCGTCCTGGAGCAGCTGTCCATCCGGGCAGGCGCAAGCGTATTGGCAGCCAAGACTCTCCACGCAGGTGGTGTCGGGCTGCTGGTCCTCACAGGTGCGCGGACACGGCTTGCCACAGGGGAAAGACACCTGGCCGCCTTGGCAGTCTGAGGAGACACGAGACGCTAACCCTACAAAACCCCCCCCCTTGTGTTCCTCTCGGTCTTCTCCACAAGCGAGGGGCTGAGGAAGAGGGAGAAGGGATGGTTCCGCGTGTGCGGCTAGCTAGCATGCACATGTGCCCAGCTTCATTTGCAAGAGCAGTGGACACGCCCGCCCACTGTGCATGCAAATGGAATGCATGCACCCACGTACCCGCTACCCGTGCATGTGGGAACGCACTCGCCTGCCACTTCTGTGGGCTGGTTCCGAACGGGTCACGGCCCAGTAGTGGGCTGCGGCCCTTGAGTTGGGGACCAAAGGATAAAAACTCGACATGAGATTGAGCAACCATTTGTTTTAGAACACGGGTGTCAATCTTGACACGTGACTTTTCATGAGGTTTTTCCCATTTGTGGAGCTGGGGAGGGCGTGGCCTGCATCTGCGATCCAAATTCAGATGCTTGGCAACCGATTCGTACTTACGACGGTTGCAGTGGGTGCCCTTTGGTGATCTTCCGACTGGCAAAATCAATGATCCACTTAACAGCTGGGTTACTAACTTACGGACTGCATGGATTCACTTAACAACCATGGCAAGAAAGAGCGTCATATGGGGGGCGGACAAACTCGCTTAAGCGATGTCTCACCGGACAACAGAAATGTTGGCACTCGATTGCGGTTGTAATTTGAGGACTACCTGTATTGACGAAGTCCACCGGCTTTTCTCTTGCTATATTGCTGGTTGCATGGCACCAGGTGCAAATGCGCTACGTTTCTCTCCGAATTCCTCAACACCACACAGCATTGTGTGATGCCTTCAGCCCCTCCTGACTTTCCCCCACCCCGCCAGTGCTCCTTCTCACCATTGCAGGCGGTAACTCCATCGTGGCACTGCCGGCTTTGGTGAGCTTCTCCGGGACATGCTGTACCACCGAACCGAGCTGGGGGGTTGTTGCATTCCCTGGTCCTCGTCGACACGCCGTGGCAGGCGTTGCAGGGAGACCAGGCGCTCCAGGAGGACCAGCCGCCATTGACTGCAAGAGCACGAAACATGGGAGGGACGTTTGATAAAGCCGCAGCGGCTGGTAGCGCCCCCCCCAATATGTACAGGTAGTCCTCGTTTAGTGACCATTCAGTTATGACATATAAAAAATTCGAGCAGTGACTACCTTTAAAACCTCTGCAGGTCTCTTAAGCACAGGAAAGTCAGAATCAGATCGTAAGCCCCCTTAGCGAGTGCTTGGCTTAGTGACAGTTTTGTTTAATGACCAAATTGTCAATCCCAGTTGTGCTTGCTCAATGAGGACTACACATCTTTGTATGTTTTCAGGGTTTCTGGAGTGGCCTCAGCAGATCTGGAATTTGGGGTTGTGTACAATAAGTTTGGTCTAGTGGTTAAGGTGCCAGGTTAGAAACAGGGAGGCTGTGAGTTCTAGTCCTGCCTTAGGTATGTAAACAGGCTGATAGATAGATAGATAGATAGAGTCTCCGTTTCAAGGCTCTCACCTGGGCAGAAACTGGTCATGAGACAAGCTCTTCTCTGCAGCTGGACCCCACTGTCTCCATGATACTCCTGGGCCCCCTCGCACTCGCGGCCCCCTTGCTGGGGCTTGGGGCAGCTGCAAGTCCGGTAGCGAGTCACCATCTCACTGCCACAGGTCCTGGAACAGGGGCTCCATGGCGCCCAGTCACACCAGCCGCCCGGCACTGAAGGGGGACCAAAAGAGTTCTGTCTTCTCCTTCTCCTCCTCTTCCTTCTTCTCTTCCTCCCCATCTTTCCTCTTCCTCCTTCTCCCTCCTCCCCCTCTTTTTCCCTCCTCCTTCTCCTCTCCCTCCTTCTCTCCTCCTCCTCCTCCTCCTCTTCTTCTCCTCCTCCTCCTCCCCTCCTCTTCCTTCCCTCCTCCTCTCCCTCCTCTCCCTCCTCCTCCTCCTCCCTCCTCCTCTTTCTTCTTTCTTCTCTCTCCCCCTCTCCCTCTCCCTTCTCCCCTCCCTCTTCTCTCCTCTTCCTCCTCTTTCTCTCTCCTTTCTTTTTCTCCTCTCTCTCCCTCCTCTCCTCCTCTCCTCCTCCTCCCTCCTCCTCCTCCTCCTCCTCTCCTTTCCTCATTTCCTCTTCCTCCTCCTCCTCCTCCTCCTCTCCTCTCCTTCCCTCCTCCCCCTCTTTTTCCTCCTCCCCCCCCTCCCCCTCTTTTCTCCCTCCTCCTCTCCCCTCTCCTCCTCTTCCTTATCTTTCTCTTTCTCCTCTTTCCTCCTCTCCCTCCTCCATCTCTCTCCTCCTCCTCCTCCTCCCCTCCTCCTCTTCCTCCCCATCTTTTCCTCTTCCTCCTTCTCCTCCTCCTCTTCCCTCCTCCCTCCTCTTTTCTCCCTTCCTCTCCCCCTCTTTCTCCTCTCCTTCTCCCTTCCTCCTCTTTTCTTTCTCCTCTTTCCTCCTCTCCCTCCTCACCCTCCTCCTCTTCTTTCCTCCTCCTCCTCTCCATCTCTCCTCCTCTTCCTCCTCCTTCTTCTCTTCTTCCTCATCTTTCCTCTTCCTCCTTCTCCCTCCTCCTCCTCTTCCTCCCCTCCCCTCCTCTTTTTCTCCTTCCCCTCCTCCCCCTCTTTCTCCCTCCTCCTTCTCCCTCTTCCTCCTCTCCTTATCTTTCTCTTTCTCCTCTTTCCTCCTCTCCCTCCTCCATTCTCCTCCTCCTCCTCCTCCTTCCTCTTTCCCTCCCCATCTTTCCTCTTCCTCCTTCTCCCTCCTCCTCCTCCTCTTCCCTCCTCCCTCCTCTTTTCTCCTTCCCCTCCTCCCCCTCTTTCTCCCTCCTCCTTCTCCCTCTTCCTCCTCTTCCTTATCTTTCTCTTTCTCCTCTTTCCTCCTCTCCCTCCTCCATCTTCTCCTCCTCCTCCTCCTCCTCCTTCTCTTCTTCCTCATCTTTCCTCCTCCTCTCCCTCCTCCTCCTCTTCCTCCCCCCTCCTCTTTTCTCCTTCCCCTCCTCCCCCTCTTTTCTCCCTCCTCCTCTCCCTCTTCCTCCTCTTCCTTATCTTTCTCTTTCTCCTCTTTCCTCCTCTCCCTCCTCCATCTCCTCCTCCTCCTCCTCCTCTCCTCCTTCTCTTCCTCCCCATCTTTCCTCTTCCTCCTTCTCCCTCCTCCTCCTCCTCTTCCCTCCTCCCCTCCTCTTTTCTCCTTCCCCTCCTCCCCCTCTTTCTCCCTCCTCCTTTCCCTCTTCCTCCTCTTCCTTATCTTTCTCTTCTCTCCTCTTCCTCCTCCTCCTCCACTTCTCCTCCTCCCTCCTCCTCCTCCTTCTCTTCTTCCTCATCTTTCCTTCTTCTCCCTTCCCTCCTCTCCTCTCCCTCCCCTCCCTCTTCTTCTCCCTTCCCCTCCTCCCCTCTCTCCCTCCTCCCTCCCCTTCCCTCCTCTTCCTTATCTTTCTCTTTCTCCTCTTTCCTCCTCTCCCTCCTCCATCTCCTCCTCTCCTCCTCCTCATCCTCCTCCCCCATCTTTCCTCTTCCTCCTTCTCCTCCTCCTCCTCCTCTTCCCTCCTCCCCTCCTCTTTTCTCCTTCCCCTCCTCCCCCTCTTTCTCCCTCCTCCTTCTCCCTCTTCCTCCTCTTCCTTATCTTTCTCTTTCTCCTCTTTCCTCCTCTCCCTCCTCCATCTCCTCCTCCTCCTCCTCTCCTCCTTCTCTTCCTCCCCATCTTTCCTCTTCCTCCTTCTCCCTCCTCCTCCTCCTCTTCCCTCCTCCCTCCTCTTTTCTCCTTCCCTCCTCCCCTCTTTCTCCCTCCTCCTTCTCCCTCTTCCTCCTCTTATCCTTCTCTCCTCTTTCCTCTTCCTCCCTCCTCACATCTCCTCTCCTCCTCCTCCTCCTCCTCCTTCCCCTCCTCCTCCTCCTCCTTCTCCCTCCTCCTCTCCCCTCTCCCTCCTCTTTTCTCCTCCCCTCCTCCCTCTTTCCTCCTCCTCTTCTCCCTCCTCCTCTTTCTCTTTCTCCTCTTTCTCCTTCCTCCTCTCCCTCCTCCTTTCTCCTCTCCTCCTCCTCCCTCCTCCTCTCTCCTCCTCCTTCTTCCATCTTCCTTTCCTTCCTCTCCTCCCTCTCTCCTCCTCCTCTTCTCCCCTCCCCTCTCTTTTCCCCCTCCCTCCCCCCTCTTCCCTCCTCCTCTCCCTCTCCTCTCTTCCTTATCTTTCTCTTTCTCCTCCTCCTCCTCCCTCCTCCTTCCTCCCTCTCCTCCTCCTCCCTCTTTCTCCCCCTTTCCCTTCTCCCCTCCTCCTCTCCTCCTCCTCCTCCCCTCCTCCTTCTCTCCTCTCTCTCCTTCCCTCCTCCTCTCCTCTCCTCCTTCCTCCATTTCTCTCCTCTCCTCCTTCCTCCTCCCTCCTCCTCCTCTCCTCCTCCTCCCTCCTCCTTCTCATCTCTCCTCCTCTTCTCCTCCTCCTCCTCCCTCCTCTCCTCTTCTCTCCCCCTCTCCTCTTTCTCCCTCCTCCCTCTCCCCTCCTCTCTTCCTCCTCTTCTTTCCTCTTCCTCCTTCCTCCCCCCTCCTCCTCCTCCTCCTCCTCCTCCCCTCCCTCCTCCCTTCCTCTCTTCTCCTCTCCCCCCTCTCTCCTCCTCCCCCTCTCTTTCCCTCCTCTTCCTCCTCTTCTCCTTTTCTTTCTCCTTCCTCTCCTCCCTCTCCTCCTCCTCCTCTCTCCTTCCCTCCCTCTCCTCCTCCTTTCCTCCTCCTCCCTCCTCCCCTCCCTCCTCTTCCTCCTCTCCCCCTCTCTCTCCCTCCTTCTCCCTTCCTCCTCCTCTATCTTTCTCTTTCTCCTCTTCCCCTCCCTCCCTCCCTCCTCCTCCTCCTCCTCCTCTCCTTCTCTTCCATCCCCTCTTTCCTTCTCCCTTCTCCCCCTCCTTTCCTCCTCATCTCCCCTCCCCCCTCCCCTTCCTCCTCTTCTCCCTTTCTCCTCTTCCTTATCTTTCTCTTTCCTCTTCCTCCTCCCTCCTCCATCTTCTCCTCCTCCTCCTCCTCCTCCTTCTCTTCTCCCCCATCTTTCCTCCTCCTTCTCCCTCCTCCTCCTCTTCCTCCTCCCCTCCTCCCTCCTCCCTCCTCCCCCTCTTTCTCCCCCTCCTTCTCCCCTTCCTCCTCTTTCTTATCTTTCTCTTTCTCCTCTTTCCTCCTCTCCCTCCTCCATCTCTCCTCCTCCTCCTCCTCCTCCTCCTCCTTCTCTTCTCCCCATCATCCTTTTCCACCTTCTCCTCTTCTCCTCCTCCCCCCTCTTTTCTCCTTCCCCTCCCCCCTCATTCTCCTCTCCTTCTCCCTCCACTCTTTCTCTTTCTCCTCTTCCTCTCCCTCTCTCCCCCTCCTCTTCTTTCCTCCTCTCCTCCTCCATCTCCTCCTCCTCTTCCTCCTCTTCTTCTCTCTTCCTCATCTTCCTCTCCTCCTTCTCCCTCCTCCTCCTCTCTCCCTCCTCCCTCCCCTCCTCTCCTCCCCCCATCTCCCTCCTCCTCCCCCTTCCTCCTCTTCCTTATCTTTCTCTTTCTCCTCTTTCCTCCTCTCCCTCCTCCATCTCTCCTCCTCCTCCTCCCTCCTCCTCCTTCTCTTCCTCCCCATCTTTCCTCTTCCTCCTTCTCCCTCCTCCTCTTCCCTCCTCCCTCCTCCTTTTCTCTTCCCTCCTCCCCCTCTTTCTCCTCCTCTCCTTTCCTCCTTCCTTATCTTTCTCTTTCTCCTCTTTCCTCTCTCCCTCCTCCATCTTCTCCTCCTCCTCCTCCTCCTCCTTCCTTCCTCCCCTCTTTCCTCTTCCTCCTTCTCCCTCCTCCTCACCTCCTTCCTCCTCCCTCTCTTTTTCCTTCCCCTCTCCCTCTCTCTCCCTCCTCCTTCTCCCTCTTCCTCCTCTTATCTTATCTTTTCTTTCCTCCTCCTCTCCCTCCTCCATCTCCTCCTCCTCCTCCTCCTCCTCCTCCTTCTCTTCTCCCCATCTTTCCTCTTCCTCCTTCTCCCTCCTCCTCCTCCTCTTCCCTCCTCCCCTCCTCTTTTCTTTCCCTCCTCCCCCTCTTTCTCCCTCCTCCTTCTCCCTCTTCCTCCTCTTCCTATCTTTCTCTTTCTCTCTTTCCTCCTCTCCCTCCTCCATCTCTCCTCCTCCTCCTCCTCCTCCTTCTCTTCCTCCCCATCTTTCCTCTTCCTCCTTCTCCCTCTCTCTCCTCTTCCCTCCTCCCCTCCTCTTTTCTCCTTCCCCTCCTCCCCCTCTTTCTCCCTCCTCCTTCTCCCTCTTCCTCCTCTTCTTATCTTTCTCTTTCTCCTCTTTCCTCCTCTCCTCCTCCATCTTCTCCCCTCCTCCTCCTTCCTCCTTCTCTTCCTCCCCATCTTTCCTCTTCCTCCTTCTCCCTCCTCCTCTCCTCTTCCTCCTCCCTCCTCTTTTCTCCTTCCCTCCTCCCCCTCTTTCTCCCTCCTCCTTCTCCCTCTTCCTCCTCTTCCTTATCTTTCTCTTTCTCCTCTTTCCTCCTCTCCCTCCTCATCTCTCCTCCTCCTCTCCTCCTCCTCCTCCTTCTCTTCCTCCCATCTTTCCTCTTCCTCTTCTCCCTCCTCCTCCTCTCTTCCCCTCCTCTTTTCTCCTTCCTCCTCCCCCTCTTTCTCCCTCCTCCTTCTCCCTCTTCCTCCTCTTCCTTATCTTTCTCTTTCTCCTCTTTCCTCCTCTCCCTCCTCCATCTTCTCCTCCTCCTCCTCCTCCTCCTTCTCTTCCTCCCCATCTTTCCTCTTCCTCCTTCTCCCTCCTCCTCCTCCTCTTCCCTCCTCCTCCTCTTTTCTCCTTCCCCTCCTCCCCTCTTTCTCCCTCCTCCTTCTCCCTCTTCCTCCTCTTCCTTATCTTTCTCTTTCTCCTCTTTCCTCCTCTCCCTCCTCCATCTCCTCCTCCTCCTCCTCCTCCTCCTTTCTCTTCCTCCCCATCTTTCCTCTTCCTCCTTCTCCTCCTCCTCCTCCTCTTTCCCTCCTCCCTCCTCTTTTCTCCTTCCCCTCCTCCCCCTCTTTCTCCTCCTCCTTCTCCCTCTTCCTCCTCTTCCTTATCTTTCTCTTTCTCCTCTTTTCCTCTCTCCCTCCTCCATCTCCTCCTCCTCCTCCTCCTCCTCCTCCTTCTCTTCCTCCCCATCTTTCCTCTTCCTCCTTCTCCCTCCCTCCTCTCCTCTTCCCTCCTCCCTCCTCTTTTCTCCTTCCCCTCCTCCCCTCTTTCTCCCTCCTCCTTCTCCCTCTTCCTCCTTTTCTTATCTTTCTCTTTCTCCTCTTTCCTCCTCTCCCTCCTCCTCTCCTCCTCCTCCTCCTCTCCTCCTCCTCTTCTCTTCCTCCCATTTTCCTCTCCCCTTCCATCCTCCTTCTCCTCCTTCTTCTCTTCCTCCTCATTTTTCTTCTTCCTCCTTCTCCCTCCTCCTCCTCCTCTTCCCTCCTCCCCCTCATCTTTTCTCCTTCCCCTCCTCCCCCTTTCTCCCTCCTCCTTCTCCCTTCCTCCTCTTCCTTATCTTTCTCTTTCTCCTCTTTCCTCCTCTCCCTCCTCCATCTCCTCCTCCTCCTCCTCCTTTTTCCTCTTCCTCCTTCTCCCTCCTCCTCCTCTTCCTCCCCCTCCTCTTTTCTCCTCCCCCTCCTCTCCCTCCTTCTCTTCCCCCCTCCTCCTCCTCTTCTTTCCTCCTCCTCCTCCTCCTCCATCTCCCCCATCTCCTCCTCCTCTCAGCAAACCTCACTCCCTTCTAGCCCTGATGACGATATCTATACAGGTCAAGAAACTGTCTAAGCCCTGCACCCCTCCAGCGTTGTTCCTCTCAGTGCAGGGACTCTGCCTCCCAGCTATGTCCTGCCCCATCCAGCCCGGACCCTCGTGCCCCCCCGCCCAGCCCAGTTTGGGGGGGCTCACCTGAACAGGCCTGGTTGGTGCAAACCAGCTTCCCGTCAGAGCAGGTACTGGGGGGAAGGAAAGGGGGATCAGATGAGAATGCCCTGTTGGAATCGAGACGTCCCAGTGAAGACCCTCCCTCCGCCCAGCTGGGCTCTCTCCTCCTGTCTGGCTTACCAATTGTTGCAACCGTCGGCCCGCGGCACGACTTCTCCCGGCGAGTGCCGTCGACCAGTGCGCAGGTCTAAACAGGTGCAGCTCGGTTTTTCCACGCAGGCCGAGCCGTTCCCGTGCAAGACTTTCCCCCCGGTGCAGTAGCAGCCCGGTTCACAAGCCCACGCACAGTGCTGGGGGCAGAGGGGAGGGGGCGTGGAGAGAGAAGTGGCAGGGAGGGGAGGGAATGAGAACGGCCCGGAGACCGAATGCCCCACGGGCCGAGGCCTCTTAGGTCTCAAATGAGGTGTGGGAAGAATTCATCTATTTTATAACTGTGTTAGAAATGAGTGGTGGGGTGGCCTAGAGGTGGAGCTCTCGCCTCACAATCAGGAGGCTGTGAGTTCGATCCTAGGTAGAGGCAGATATTTCTCTCTCTGGGCACAATGAGAATATATCTGCTGAACAAAACTCCTCATTGGTGATAGGAAGGGCATCCGGCCAGTAAACTCTCAGCTCCATTCAGTTGCCCCAACTCCATCCCGCAAGGGATTACGGGGTCATTAAATGACGAAGAAGACATCGTAATGTCGACGCACTGAAGACAGCAGGAGTTTGAGGCTAGATGCCCTCGGAGGGTCCCTGACTCCGTATCCCATCCTGCATTCATTGTACTGGGCCTGAGAGCCCCTTGGCCAAAGAAGAGGTGGGTGGGTGGGTGGGTCTTTTGGGGGGAGGTCCCAGAGCCGCGAGGGAGATATGCTTACCGCGAGGTCGTCACAAGAGCGAGGACAGGGTGGGCCGCAGCGGCTGTAAGCCGAGTCTTCCAGAATGGAACAGTCCAAGTCTGGCAGAAAAGGGGTGTGTATAAAAAAAACAAAAAAACCCAATAATAATATTTTTATCCCTGCCCTCCTGTCCCACAGTCCAAAGGGGAGGGGCCGATTCCTCAGTGGGGACCCCCAATTTTCACCCCCCCACCCCATGAGCACCAGAAAGACCCTCCCGTTGTTCCTTTCAGGCAGTCCTTGACTTACAACTGTTCATTTAGTGATTGAAATTCCAACAGCATCGAAAAAAACATAACTCATGACTGTTTTCACACTTATGACCGTGGCGGCATTCCCGTGGAACATGGGATCAGAATTCAAACACTTGGCAATTGTCTAGTGTTCTGGGAGTCATGTGATCCCCTTTTTTGCGACTTCCTGACTGGCCAAGTCAACGGGAAAGTGTGATTCGCTTAACGACCGTCGAGCTGACTTCAGCACGGTGGGGATTCACTGAATGACCGGGGGCAAGAAAGGTCACGAAAGGGGGACAAAGTTACTTAACAACTGGGGAAGCCCGATTCACTTTGCGACCGTGTTGCTGGGAAAGCCAAATTCATTTAATGACCATTTTAGTGACATAACGGCAGGGATTCACAGAACAACTGGGGCCAGGAAGGTCGTACAATGAGGCAGAACTTAACCACTGTCTCGTTTAGCGATGGAAACATCGGGCTCAATTGTGGCCGAATGTTGAGGATCAGCTGCCATCTCCCCTAAAACAGTATCTAACTTAAAGTAGCAGATCAAGTTCCAGTCCTCATTGAGGAAGGGTGTTTTAGCTAATCAGCCTACCTTGCAGGGTTGTTGGGAAGATTAACAAAGTCAGCCAAAAAACTCGATTTGAAATCACTCGGAGGGGTGAAGGAGCAGCGAGGCAGCCAAGCTCCAGCTCGTCTTTTGACTTAGCGACCAGAATTGATGTCGCTAAGCGAGACCTTTGTCCCATTTTATGCCTTTATTTTGCTTCTGTGAGCCTCTGCAGTTGTTCACTCAGCCACTTGACAAAGTCCAGGGGGAATCTCACACCGCGACCGTCATAACTGTGAGTCCATGGCCAAGCATCCTGAAGCTCAACGGCGTGAGCATGGGGACGCTGTGATGGTCGGTAAGTGTGGCAAACCAAGTCCTAAATCAATGTTTTTCGGGGCCTTCGACTGGTCACTAAACGAAGCGTTCGTTGTAAGTCGAGGACGAGCTGTATCCAACCTTGCTGATTTTCCTCCACTCACCTGGACAAGGGTTCAAGTGGCAGGGCTCCACCTGAGTGGGCGGTCCCTCGCAATAGTCTCCGCCTCCTCGGGGGGCGGGGCTGTCGCAGGCTCGGCTCCGGCTCCGCAGGCCCCCTCCGCAGCTGACGGTGCAAGGCGTCCAGGGACTCCAAAACCCCCAATCCCCAGCCCCTGCACAGAAGAGGCTTGGGTTACGGAACCCCCGAAAGGGCCAAATCGCTCATTCACACCATACGCTAAAGGTTGGGGAGAGCGTAGCTGTATGGGGTGACTATTTTGAGTGGGGGTTGGACTAGATGACCTCCGAGGTCCCCAGGGATTCTGTTATTTTTGGTGTATTCGGCAAATGTCTGGTTAGTTGACCTTGGAGGTCTGACACGGGAGACCCTGGCAGAACCGCAGAGTCAGAAGCAGGGGTGAAATGATCCCGGTTCAGACCGGTTCGGAGAAACAGTAGCCATGGCGGCACAAGGCTCCGCCCACCCTGGTTTTAACCAGGAAGTATAACCTGTTTTTTTTAACCCTCTGCGCATGACAGAATCATATAGGGACCTTCGAGGTCATCTAGTCCAACTCCTTGCTCACGCAGGAGACCCTTACAGAATCACAGAAGTGGGAGGGACCTCAGAAGTCATCAGTCTGACCCCCTACTCAAACAGGAGACCCTTACAGAATCCTAGAGTTCAAAGGGAACGTGGGGGGTCATCTAGTCTGACCCTCAGCTCGAGCAGGAGTCCCTTACAGAATTACAGAATCACAGAGTTGGAAGGGACCTCAGAGGTCATCTAGTCCAACCCCGTGCTCGAGCAGGAGATCCTATGCCGCTTCAGACAACTGACTGTCTGGTCTCTTCTGGGGAAGACCCCACCCCACCTTTGGGGAAGAGATGGGGGGACGGGGGGGCAGGACTTACGGGAACATGGCTGGAGCTGGCAGGCTTTATCCTCGCGTTCCGGACCCAGGCAGGGTAATCCAATCCCGGAAGGGGCAGGATCCGTGCAGAAATGGTATCGGTTTTGTAGTCCCAGCCCGCAGGATGCCGAGCATTTGCTCCAGGGGGTCCATTCGGACCACTGACCGTTCACTGGCGCGGGAGAAAAAAGGAGACCATCAGGAGAAGCCCATCGGCCACTCACAGAGATCGGAACTTGTGATAATGGGGGGGGGGTGTCTTTCCCTGTGGATTATCTACCCCCTCCCTTGATAATGCACACTACTCAACTCAGGCAGGTACTTGGGCGCCCAGGAGCAGAATAACGGAATGATGGAGTTGGAAGGGACCTTGGAGGTCATCTAGTCCAACCCCCCTACTCAAGTAGGAGACCCTTACAGAATCATGAAATAAGAGAGTTGGAAGGGACCTTGGAGGTCATCCAGTCCAATCCCTTTCTCTCCTCCCCCCCTCCTTCTCAGAATAACAGACTTGCAGAGGACTTTGGAATTCTTCTATTCTGTAAGTGTCGTTTGCTTGAGCAGAGGCTGGACTAGATGACCTCCAAGGTCCCTCCCAGCTCTGTGATTCTGTATGGGTCTCCTGCTTGAGCAGGGGGTCAGTCAAGGACATGTCAAAAGTAGAGGGTCCCTCTTACCGTCGCCGCAGGCTGCGCGGCTACAATTCGCCACCTGCCCACCGATGCAGGAACTGCAAAAGGGAGGAAAAATCAAATTACGCCACAGCGACGATGGGAGAGAGAGAGAGAGAGAGAGAGACAGTTGGACCAACAGGAGAAGCAGACTGACCAGTTCTCACAACCTTTGGCCACCGATTCACCGGGAGCATAGATCCTCCCCTCTACGGCACATGGGCACGCCTCCGCCGGCACACACTGGTTGTTCTGGAAGGGGAGAAGAAGTTGCATTAGGGACCGGAATGGGACAACTCGCCGCAGACATTTCGTGGTGGTCAACTCATCATGGCTGACTCACAATGACTAACTTGCCAACTGGTCAACTGGCTACGGCCAAGTAATCAAGCCAACTGGCTGCAGTCAACTCACCACGATGAAATCGCCATAGCCAACTCATCACAGCCAACTACCGTGTTTCCCTGAAAATATGACCTACTCCGAAAATAAGTCCTAGCTTGATTTTTTTACACATGCGCCCAATATAAGCCCTAACCCCCCACCAAGATAAGCCCTAATTAAGACCCCGCCCACTCCAGGATGAACAGGTAAAAAATTAACCTAGAGTGAGGATTGGGTGGGGTGGGGTGGAGCTGTCCTACCACTTACGTTCAGACAGTTGCCGGCCTATTTCTTCTGCAGTCGGCAAGGCTCTGTACCTGATAAACAGAGCTCCCGCTGCAGAGGCCTTCAGGGAAGTCTTGCTGGCTAGAGGGGAAGTTCCTGAAGGCCTCTGACACTGAAAAGGAGTCCAGGGGTGACGTGCGCAAGTGAGGTGAGTCAGTGGACGATATGCCCCCCCTGAAAATAAGACCTAGTTCCTTTTTTTTGCTGGCAAAATATATATATATAAGACAAGATCTTATTTTCGGGGAAACACAGTAGCTGTGATCACCATGACCAATTCGCCATGGCCAACTGATCACAGCCAACTAGCTGCGGCCAACTCACTTTGGGACAACTTATCCCGGCCAACTCGCCAGGGGACAATTGAACAATTCAATTTAAGGATTTCCAATCAATAAAAAAATTGTTTTCATTTTTGTCCTTCATTTTTCATTCCATCCCTCCTTTTTGCATCCTTTCTTGAATGACTGTATTCCACCCTTTGTTTGATATTCGTGTAGCTCTTGTCCCGTGGCGAGCTGGCCGTGGTGAGTTGGCCGGGTTAACTATGGTCAGTTGGCCGTGTTGAGTTGGCTGTGGTGAGTTAATCATAATCAGTTGGCTGTGTTGAGTTGGCCGTGTTGAGTTGACTGTGTTGAGTGGGCCGTGTTGAGTTGGCCATGGTGAGTTGGCCGTGTTGAGTTGGCCACCCATGTTGAATTGGCCATGTTGAGTTAGCCATGTTGAGTTGGCCATGTGAGTTGGCTGTGTTGAGTTGGCCGTGTTTGGCCATGGTGAGTTGTCTGTGGTGAGTTAACCATGGCAGTTGTCTGTGGTGAGTTGGCCGTGGTGAGCTAACCAAGGCAGTTGACCATGTTGAATTGGCCGTGTTTGAATTGGCTGTGTTGAGTTGGCCATGGTGAGTTGGCTGTGTTGAGTTGGCCGCGACAAATGGTCCTCAACCCTTCAAGACACCAAGTTCCCCTTCTTCCAGATGCGGCACCCTCTACTCTTATGGCACTAGTCCTCATGAAACCAGGTCAGGCTGCACACCTTCCAAAGGAGTGGCTGTGCCCCCATCCGCCTTTCACAAGAGCTGTACAGGTGGGCAGAGATACGGTTCGGTGGTGCTGATCTCTCAGCAGAGACGAGCAGCGGAAACTCTTGGAGTATTTACCAGCAAGACAGTGCCATTGGGGCAGTAGCACCCTGGCTGGCACGCCGTGTGTCCAGTGTCGTCGTCCGTGCTGAGCTCCGCGCAGGAAGCTGGGCCTTCGGTGCACTCTCGCCATTCTTTCCCTGCCGGACACATGCCTGGAACCTCACCTGGTTGGAAGGGACGAGAGAAAGACCTTAGTTATAATTTTAAGGAAAAGTTTTATAATGAAGAATCGATTATGAATGTTTGATCCTGGAGAGAACAGAGACAGGGTCTGTAACAGTTAAGGGTCCCCAGCTTGAGGAGGAGGTTGGAATAGATGACCTCCGAGTTCCCTTCCAACTCTCTAATTTTATAATGGTCTCCTATTTGAGGAGCAGGTTGGACTAGAAGACCTCTGAAGTCCCTCCCAACTCATTAGTTCTCTAAGGGTCTCCAGCTTGAGCAGGGGGCTGGACTAGATGACCTCCCACATCCCTTCCCGCTCCATTCTGATCGATTGATTGAAGCCAGGAAGCCCACCTTTGCAGGGCTGAAGGTTGCAGGTTGAGAAGTCGATCCGGCCCAAGACGGTGATGCCAGCTCTTGTCCGGTTCCGATAACCGCCGCCGCAGGGCACCGAGCACGCCGACCAGGGGCCCCATTCTACGCCAGACCCTGTATGGGAGTCACAAAAAGTGGGGTGGGGGAGTGAGGGGGCTGGGAACCCACAAGTTCTTGGCCCCCCCTCCTCCCCCAGTGGAGAAGGACTTGCAAGTTCCCCCAGCATGTCTGTCTTGCTCGGTGGAAAATAAGACTGGTGATTGCCACCATCCTGGAGAAGCACTCTAGACATGCTCAGACACCCTGTGCCTAGAATCTATTCCTTTTTGGCATTCATGGCTGCTGGGTGGGAGAGCTGAGTTCCAGACCCGAAGACGGGAAGGTTGTAAGAAGGTTCTTAAGAAGAGACTGGAATGAGCTGGGGGTTGGACTAGATGACCTGCAAGGTCCCTTCCAACACTGTGATTCTGTAATTCTGTAAGGGTCTCCTGCTTGAGCAGGGGGTTGGGCTAGATGACCTCTAAGGTCCCTTTGAACTCTGTTAGTCTGCTATTCTGCTCTCTCTCTCTCTCTCTCTCTTTCTCACCTGGGCAGGGCTGCAGGCTGCAGAATTCAATCTCCACCTTGGACCCCTGGCAGTTCTGCCCTTCCAGCTCGGCGTCGGCACGGTACCGCCGACGGGTTCCCACATTGCAAGTCCGGCTGCAGGAGCTCCAAACGGACCAAGAGGTCCAGCTACAGTTGCCTGTCCGGGAGGAGGAGGAGGAATATCAATCCATTCTCAGGTAGAGCCCGAATTTACCTGTCTATCCACCTGGTGAAGCCCCATAGAGCCCCCGCAAAGTTACAGGTTCCATGGTAAACCCTGTTCTCAATGGACAAAGGAGGTTTAGTTGAGCGAGGATGCTGGTTCTCAACATTGGACTTCAACTCCCAGAATTCCCCAGCAAGTGTGCTTTAAGAGGGAAGGACTTCAACTCCCAGAATCCCCAGCTTGCTTTAAGAGGGGTGGACTTCGATCCTTGGAATTTTGGGAGTTGAAGTCCCCACACCTTAAAACCTCCAAAATTGAGAACAACACTGACCTCTGATCCACCTGGCTGCAACTCCCATTATCCTCTGTAAGGGGCAGTGGATGATGGGAACCGCATCCTGACCCTTCCTTTTGGGAACTCAACAATCCCCCCCCTTTTGATGCTAAAAGGTGTCCGATTTCAAAACCCGTGTCTAAATTTCTCGATAACCGATCAATGGAGGAAGGAGTGGGGGGGGAGGGGGGAGTCTTTGCACTGGTGGGTTTCACTACAAACTGGTAGTAAACCTATACCAGTTTGCAATGCACCAAAAATGTGGGTGCGCACGGCTTGCGTGCGTGCGCGTGGCTTAGAAAACGTGGTTAAATAGGACAGCATAGCGCCAGGGCGGGTGAGCAGGTTGCCGCTACTGGTTCGTTTGAACCAGTCCGAACCAGCTGAATACCAGCACTGGGTCTTTGGGTCCTCCTGCACACACCCCGTCAGAAAGGTCATGACCCCTGGGCCACTTTCCCCTAATTTAAAAGTTACCTGGACAAGGTTCTGTGCCGCATACCATCGCCCCCTCCTGGCAGGTGCTAGAACGGAAAAGCGCCAACCTTCAGCATCCAGAAAGTCTTCGGATGCCAGGAGCAATCGGGGCGCCCCCAGGAGGGGTAGTGTCTGCCCCTCCCCAATTAAGCCAGATCGGGAATCCTGCCCCCCCCCCTTGAAAAGCAGTCCCTCTTGCAAGGGAAGGAAACGGGGGGGGGCGGTCTTGAGAATCTCCTACCAGTTGTTGCAAGAGTCTCGGCGGACGGTGGTGCCCTGCGGGTAACTCTCCCCTTGGTAGTAACACGGGCACCGGCTGAGCGGCACGCAGGTTCCGTTCTGGAGGAAGAGACCCTCGGGGCAATGGCAGCCGTCCCGGCAAGGGGAGGTGCACTCCACCTGGGTGTCCTGGTCCAGACAGAGCCGGGGGCAAGCGCCACCTTTCCGACGGCATTCCTCCACCGTCAGGTAGACCATGTTGGCTGGGCACTGCGCTGCGGGCGGAAGAGCGAGCAAGAGGCTCAGCCGGGCTGACCAGGTACAAGGGCAGGAGACAGACAACCCCGGTTCTGTGGCCCGGACAACTCCTGCTTGGGCAGGGGGCTGGACTAGATGACCTCCAAAGTCCCTTCCAACTCTGTCATTCTGTAAGGGTCTCCTGCTCGAACTGGGGGTGAACTAGAAGACCTCTAAGGTCCCTTCCAATGCTGTGATTCTGTAAGGGTCTCCTGCCTGAGGTAGTGGTTGGGCTAGATGACCTCTGAGGTCCCTTCCCACTCTGACCTTCTGTATTTCTGTAAGGGACCCTTGCTTGAGCTAGGGGCTGGACTAGAAGACCTCCAAGTTCCCTACCAACATAATTAAATTAAATTAAATTAAATTAAATTAAATTAAATTAAATTAAATTAAATTAAATTATGTTACATTAAATAAATTAAATTAAAATAAATATAAAAATGAAATGAAATGAAATATAAAAGTGAAATTAAAATAAATATAAAAGTGAAATTAAATTAAATATAAAAGTGAAATTAAATTAAATATAAAAGTGAAATTCCATATTAAATAAAAATAAATTAAATTTTAAAACCTATACCTCTGCAGGGCTGTGTGTTGCAATCCCGGGTCTGGATCAGTGGGCCCGAGCATCCCGGAGCCCCATAGGAAGGTTTGGAGCAGGTCCGGTCGCGAGTTTGCACCCCGGAGTCGCAGAGCGCCGAGCAGGGAGACCAGGCCGACCAAGGAGTCCAGATCCCCTCCACTGCAGAGAGATATTGGGGAGGGGGGCTGAATCAGGACAAGTCCAGGGGTCCTCCTTCCCCACTGGCCTCAATTAAGCTTTAAGCCTGAATTAAGTTCCACTGAAAGCTGAGCTTGTTTTATGAGATGAAAATCAAAGCTAAGCCTGAATTAAGCTTTGATCAAAGCTGAGCTTAATTTACGAAAATCAAATTTAAGCTTCAATTAAACCTGAGCTTAATTTATGAGAGGAAATTCAAAGCTAAGCCTAAATTAAGCTTCAATCAAAGCTGATCATAATTTATGGAATGAAAATCAAAGTTAATCTTCAATTCAGCTTGAATCAAAACTGAATTTATCAGATGAAAATCAAAGCGACGACTGAATTAAGCTTCGATCAAAGCTGAGCTTAATTTACGAAATTCAAAATTAAGCTTCAATTAAGCTTCAATTAAAGCTGAGCTTCATTTATGGAATGAAAATCAAAGCTAAACTTCAATTAAGGTTCAATCGAAGCTTAAGGAGGCGCTTAACAACGGTGTCCAGAAAGCTCACTTAACAACCGTCTTGCTTAGCAAGGGAAATTTGGAGCTCATAAATCGAGGACCTCCCGTACAGGACCCCGTACCCCGAAAGAGACTTGACCAATGAAAGCTGAGCTGAACCTCGGGTGTTCGAATGAGTCAATCTGGGCATAGTCAACTGTGAAGACCCGGGGCATGGCACAGAGGCAACAGTCATCTGACAGTTCAAACTGCCCCTTTATTGCTCCAAATTTTCCCCAAACGCTCCCACGAATTCAGTGTTTCTTCCCGACCAATGCCCCACCCCACAGCGTCTCCTTAAGTCTCACTCCACAGGTGTGCCTTGTGGAGAAGGGGCAGGGCGCTCTCCTTCTGAGTAGTCGGATCAGCCTACGCTGTTCTCGCCTTCTCTCCACTCTCTGTGAGCGAGGATCAAGAGGGGGCAGTTCTTGCTCATCGCCTGAGCTCCGTCTCTCGTGTTCACTGCTTAGTTTCTCTTGGTCATCCTGCCCTTGCCTACAAGCCATCCCAATCCTGAAAGACCCTGGCCTGACTGGGCCTGTCCCTCCCCATTTTCCTTCGAAATCAACGAAGCCTCCCCCTCGATCTCCGCTGGCTGCAGTTCCGGCTCGTCTTCTTCCACAGATTCAGGCTCCAATGGGGGCATGATGATAAATGCAGATTTTGGCTGCACCACGCCGGCGTTCCTTCGGCTACTCACCCAGGCAGAGAGGTGTGTCACACTCCTCTTCCTGCACGGTCTCTCCATCACACCCCACGGCCTGTGCGGTACCGTTGCAATGCCGGAATCGTTTTCGCGTGCCAACCAGATCCGGGGCATAGAAGCAGGTCTTGGAACAGGGAGACCAGGGAGTCCAGTCGCTCCAGAGCACGGCCATTTCTGCGAGGGGACAGGAGGGAAGCGGGGATGAGTGGGTGGGTGTTGGGACAGGAATCCTAGACTCTCAGGATCACACAAAAAAAAGATTGGACAACAATGGGTCTGAAATGGTACAGAGTTCCCCAACCTTTCCAGGATGGCAGCCAGGAGGTGGAGAGGTGGGGGAAAGGGAGATAGTTTTGTGGGTGTGAGCACACGTGCACACGAGCACCTGTTGCTCATATCAGTGGGGCTGAGTGTGTGATGCATGTGCGAGTGGGACTCCAAGCCTCAAGCACCCACAATGCTTGCATGAGTGGGGCCAAGAGTGCCTGCGATGCTCATGTGAATGAGATTCCAAGCGCCCACAAGCTTGCGCGAGTGAGGTTTCTAACCCCCGCAAAGCTTGCGCAAGTGAGGTTTCAAACTCCTGCGAAGCTGGCGCAAGCGAGATTCCGAACCCCCGCAAAGCTCATGTGAGTGGGGCCGCAGGACCCCACGATACTCGCGCTAGTGGGGCTGTGCATGCATGCATGTGCACACACCAGCCGGCCCCTCGCATGGCCTGCTTGCAAATAGGCCATGGCCCAATAGTGGGTTGCAGCCCACCGGTTGGGGACCCCTGGTATAGGACAGCGTTCCCCAATCTTTCTGGCTTGGTGGACCTGCGTGGGGGAGACAGGATGGTTCCATGTGAGCATGTGTACAGGTGCACACACGCAGCTCCATTTGCACATACGCAGCTCAGTGCCCAGTTGCATGGCCCAGTTACAAACAGGTGGGCCACGGCCCAGGGGTTTCCTGCCTGAGCAACAGGTTGAAAACCTCCAAGGTCCGTTCCAACTCTGTTATTCAGAGTCGATAGGCAAGTATCCAACTGGTGCAGCGGAGTCTGGGCAGTGCTCAATCAGATTTGAACCAACCATGGCAGGCGGCAATATTGCCCAACGGACAGATATCCAGAAAATTGACCATAAGCTTATCCATCTAGTAACTGCTCAGATATAATTTAATTTCATTCGTAATTTTATTATTCATCATTTATACTGCAAGTTTTTTAAATTGTTCCTTGCTCTTGGATTTCATATTTTGATGCACATTTTATATGCTAAATGTCTATTCTTAATCATACAGGTCAGGGTTGACCGAAAGGTGATTTTTCCCAAAAGGCAACACAACTTTCTTGGTTTTTTTCCCTTGAAAAGGTTTTGCTTCTCATCCAGAGAAGCTTCCTCCTTTCTAAGTAACAGTTCAATCCTTCCCTCAGAACTCAAGAAGCTTCTCGGGTGAGAAGCAAAACCTCTTCAAGGAAAAAACCCCAAGAAAGTCGTGTTGCCTTTTGGAAAAATTGAGACAATTTATCTGCTGTTTTTCTGAATTCTTAACGCATAAATGTTATATTCTGCTATGCCTGTACGAAATAAATAACTAAGAGGGGGCCGCCATGCAGAAATGATAATGGATGTTATCATTACTCTTACCTGTGGTGCAGATTGTGTGGCACTCACGTACCTCCTGGGCATCTCCTTGGCATGGGGCACCCCCGTTGGCCGCCGCCGGGTTGGAGGGGGATCTGGAGAGAAAGAGGACAGCTTTGGGGAATTTTCAAAGCTTTTAGTTTTCCATTCGTTTTTCGGAGTGTACAGGTAATTCTTGGTTTACAACTGTAACGGATTTGCCCATCGTGGTTGTAAGTCATGATATTCATAAAAGGGATCATTTTTTCAACCTTGTTCTGGTATCCGTTAAGCAACTGCCTTGGTTGTAAAGTGTTGCTGTGGTTAAGAAAACGCTGCAGTCATTAAGCGAAGCAACGGTGCACTGTGGTCCCAGTTTTGCTGAAAAATGGCAATAAATGCCATTTTTTGGGGGGACAAAACTATCGTAAAACACAGTCACATGACCGCAGGACACGACAAACACAGTGTCAGGGTTCTGACTGACGAACCCAACCAAGTCAGCATTCCGAGACAATCAGATTCCTCAAAAAACTGTTTTATTGAATCGATCGATAGATAGATAGATAGATAGGCAGGCAGGCAGGCAGGTAGGTAGGTAGGTAGGTAGGTAGATAGATAGATGAGAGATAGATGAGAGAGAATAGATAGAGAGAATAGATAGAGAGAAAGAGAGAGAGGATAGATAGATAGATGATAGGTAGGTAGGTAGATGAGAAAGAATAGATAGAGAGAATAGAGAGAATAGATAGAGAGAAAGAGAGGATAGATAGATAGAATAGATAGAGAGAAAGAGAGAGATGATAGATAGATAGATGAGAGAGAATAGAGAGAAAGAGATATGATAGATAGATAGATGAGAGAGAATAGATAGAGAGAATAGATAGAGAGAAGAGAGAGGATAGATAGATAGATGATAGGTAGGTAGGTAGATAGATAGATGAGAGAGAATAGAGAGAGAGAATAGAGAGAATAGATAGAGAGAAAGAGACAGAGGATAGATAGATAGATGATAGGTAGATAGGTAGGTAGGTAATAGATAGATAGATGAGAGATAGATGAGAGAGAATAGATAGAGAGAAAGAGAGAGAGGATAGATAGATAGATGATAGATAGATGATAGATAGATAGATAGATAGATAGATAGATAGATAGATAGATAGGTAGATGAGAGATAGATGAGAGAGAATAGATAGAGAGAATAGATAGAGAGGATAGATAGATAGATAGACAGACAGATAGATAGAGATACATTCCTAATGTGCAGTGCAACCAATCCCAAATTCTGTGCCCGACTTCCACCGGATCTCGAACAATCCCCCCTCAAACGCTATTGTAGCTTCTAATGAATCCCGGGGGGGAAGTGGGGCTGTGCAGGATACTTCCTTTCTTACCGGAATCTTTGCTGCATCCCAATTCCACAACTCCGGCTGCAGGGAGTCCACGGAGACCAAGCTGACCAGCCACACTTCACAGGACAGGCCACCGAGTCACAGGTCACTGTGCCATCCAGACAGACGCTGCGTGAGGACGAAACCGAGGTTAAGCATTCCCCCCTTGGCTGATGCTCACTTCTGATTCGGGGTGCTGGAGAAATGATTCGGGGTGTGTGCGCGCGCAAATAATGTTTATATCCTTTATACAGGTAGACCTCGATTTACAACAGTTCACTTAATGGCCATTCAAAGCTACGACACTTAAAAAAGGGACTTATGACTGTTTTTCACAATTACGACCGTTCCAGCATCCCCACGGGTCACATGGTTTACATTTGAATGTTTGACAACTGACTCCCATTTATTTTTTAAAAAATTTTTTTAAATTTGATTTATATGCCGCCCTTCTCCAGAGACTCAGGGCGGCTTACAATGCGTTAAGCAATAGCCTTCATCCTTTTGTATATTTATACAAAGTCAGCTTATTGCCCCCACAACTGGCTCCTCAATTTACCTACCTTAGAAAGGATGGAAGGCTGAGTCAACCTTGAGCCTGGTAAGTTTCGAACCTGCAGAAATTGCAGGCAGCTGTGTTAATTACAGGGTGCATTAAACCACTGTACTACCAAGGCTCAGTGCTTATGACGGTTGCAGTGTCCCAGGGTCATATGATCCCCTTTTGGCAATGGGGAAAGCAGACTCACTTAACAACCAAATTACTAATTTAACAACTGCAGGGATTCACTGAACAAAGGGGGCGAGGAAAGTCGTAAAACGGGGCGACACTCAATTAACGCATCTCCTACTTCGCAACATTCTGACTGCCATCTGTCAATGCTATACGAAATGCTATACGATTTCCTTACTCTCCTTAGCTGCTCTTCTCTCCACTTTTTCCAAAGTCTCAATCTCCGTTTTTGTAATACGACGAGCAAAACTGGACGTGGCGTTCCAGGTGCGGCCTTACTGAGGCCTTTATCCTTCATCCTGGAAGGGATCCTCCCAGCCCTCCCCATTTGGGAAAACCCACCCCCAAACGGCCTCCAACAAGCCCTCCCTTCTTTTAAGCACACGGTTTTGGTGCTCTCTAGATCTAGCAGGTCCGCAGAGAAAGGGACGGGGTCTGCTCACACTCACCACTGACTACAGTTATCCCGCAGGAAGATCTCTCCCGGCCGACGGTGGTCGTGGTCGAAGAAGCAGTGGCACTGGCTCACATTCACGCAGCCCCCCTCCTGCAGGAAGAGTCCAGGGGGACAGCGGCACCCTGCAAGGACCCCAAGCAACGGAGGTACGTTATCCACCTGGGAAGAAGGGGTTCAAAGATGCAGACACACCCCACGCCAAAGACCTCGGGCTCACCCTCCACGCAGCTGCTTTGGCAGGACCTCTGGACACTCAACTGGCGGCAAGTCTGTGGGCAAGGGTCCACCAGGCCGCGGGCACAATGCCCGGCTTGTACAAAGACCATGTCCGGGCCGCAGTCTGGAGAGAAAGACGAGAGCTGAAAAGGAGCAGAAGTAACAGAAGGACAGAGGCGGAAGAGACCTCGGAAGTCTTCTACTCCAAGCCTCTGCTCGAGCAGGAGACCTTTACAGAATTATCGAATGACAGAGATGGAAGGGATCCTGGAGGTCATCTGGTCCAACCCCTTGCTCAAACAGGAGGCAAACGAGACCTTTTGGCTCGTACTGTACTGGGATGACACCCCTGAGAGGACAGGAAGGGAAGGGGGCATCGGGGATGAGACACCCCCCCCAAAGGCCCACGTTTCCTCTGGTTCTCTTTTGCTAATGATAAGGAGGATCCCAATTGATCAATTTAATAAATAATAATAATGTATAAATAATAATAAGATAGATAGATAGATAGATAGATAGAAGAGATAGAAAGATATAGATAGATAGATAAATAGATAAATAGATAGATAGATAGAAGAGATAGATAGATAGATAGATAGATAGAATAGATAGATAGGTAGGTAGGTAGGTAGGTAGGTAGGTAGGTAATGATAGACAGGCAGATAGACAGATAGATACAGATGGATGGATAGATAGATGATAGAGAGATAGAGAGAGATCCTCTCTAAGGCAGCCTAGATAACTAAGATTTCGTCAGTGAGGTTCAGGGTTCGAAAAGTGACCCCGGGGGGATTGGCTCCCAATTTAAGCCTCTAACCCATCTCTGACACTCCCCCACTCCCCTGCCCCTCCCTCTCAGCACCAGACAAGACCCCTCCCCGTGCTCACCCCGGGCATCTCCGCAGGGCTGTTGGTTGCACGTCTCCATCTGGACAGCGTCTCCGGGACATAGCTGTCCACCATTCTTGGGTGGGGGGTCAGCGCAGGTCCGGGTGCGACTCCTGACACCGCCCCGGCACTCAGCGTCACAGTCCGACCATTCGCCCCAGGAGGCCCAGACTCCGTTCACTGGTAAAGGAGAAAAGTACCACCGGTGAAGACAGACAACGCCTGTCTCGGGATTCTCAACTCCTCGAGTTACGGCCACAATTCAGCCCAATGTTTCTGTGGCTAAGTGAAACATTCAGACCAAGGCCTTTTTGTCCCATTGAGAGACTTTTCCTGCCCCGGTTATTAAGTGAAGGGGGCCTTTGTTGAATTCGGAACACGGTCGTTCAGGGCATTGGGGGCCCCCCCTTGACTTTGCTGGTCCAAAGGTCACAAAAGGGGATCATGGCAACCGTCATAAATAGGAACCGATTGCCAAACGTCTGAATTTGGATCCCGTAATCGTGGGGCAGCTGGGACAGTCGTAAGTGTAGAAAAAAGTCACTTTTTTCTGTGTAATCATAACTTTCAACGTTCATTAAAGGAACCATCGTAAGTCGAGCATTATGTTTTACTTGCAGAAAGTCTGCAATGACTTCAATTTGTATTTATATTTAATATAAATGGCGCGGCCCCATTGCGAACCGGTAGTAAAGGTAAGTAGAACCCACCCCTTTTCTCTTTCTATATTTCTATTTCCATATTTCATTTTTCTTTTTCAATTTCCATTTCTATATTTCCATTTCTATTTCAATTTCTGTTTGTGTTATTTCAATTCTATTTCTATTTTGTCAATTTCTATTTCTTTCTATTGCTATTTCGATTTCCTATTTTGATTTCTATATTTCAATTTCAATTTCAATTTTTTATTTCAATTTCAATTTCTACTGCTATTTCTACTTCCTATTTCAATTTCTATATTTCGATTTCTATTTCTGTTATTTCAATTTCTACTTCTGTTTGTATTCCTTTCAGTTTTTTTTCAATTTCTTTCAATTTCTATATTTCAATTTCGTATTTCTATTTCTATATTTCAATTTCTATTTCTATTTGTGTTATTTCAATTTCAATTTCTATTTGTATCCCTATTTCGATTTTTTTCAATTTCTTTCAATTTCTATATTTCAATGTCAATTTCTATATTTCAATTTCAATTTCTATTCCTGTATTCCAATTTTTCTATTTCTATTTCTATGATTTCTATTTGCATTTGTATATACACACATATATGTATATGTATATGTATATATACGGTACAAAATATTAGCCTGAATTCTTTTCCTGGGAAGAATGGTTCGGGTGGAGTCCAGCTTTTTGCAAACCCTGTGAATGAGGATGAAGGGAGGGGAAGGATTTGGGGTGCCGGGGCTGGAAAGGAAAAGTCCTACCTGGACAGGCTCCGAGGAAGCAGGAGCGGCTGTCAAATTCATCCCGGTCGCAACGTCCCCCCGGGAGAGCATTGCGGAGCAGGTCGCGTCTCCGGAAGGTCACCCCTAGCCCACAGGACCGGCTGCATTCACTCCAGGGGCTCCAGGGAGACAGGATGCAGTCCACTGTGGTGGATGAGGAAGAAGAAGAAGAATGAGAGGAAGAGGAGGAGGAGAAGAGGAGAAGGAAGGGGGACAAGGAAGAAGAGGAAGGGGAGGAGGAGAAGAGGAGAAAGAGGAGGAGGAGGAAGTAGAAGAATAAGAAGGGGAGGAAGTGAAGGAGGAGGACAAGGAAGAAGACGGAGGAGAAGAATGAGGAGGAGGAGGAAGAGGAGGAAAACAAGGAAGAAGAATAGGAAGAGGAGGAAGAGCAGGAGGACAAAGAAAAAGAGAAAGGGAGGAGGAGGAGAATGAGGAGGAAGAGGAGGAGAAGGAAGAGGAAGCAGAAGAGGGCGAAGAAGGGGAAGGGGAGGAAAAGGAAGAGGACAAGAGGAGAAAGGAGGAGGAGGAAGAGGAAGAGAAGGAGGAGGAAGAAGAAGGAAATGGAGATAAGGAAGAAGAAGAAGGGGAGGAGGAGGACAAGGAAAAAGAGGGAGGAGGAGGAGAAGGATGAGGAGGAAGGGGAGGAGAACAAGGAAGAAGAAGAACAGAAAGAGGTGGACAAGGAAGAAGAAGAATGGGAGGAAGAGGAGGGGGAGGAGGAAGATGAAGAAGAGCAGGAGAATAAGGAAGAAGTGGAGAAGAATGAGAAGGAAGAGGAGGAAGCGGACGAGGGAGAAGAGGAAGGAGAGGAAAAGGAAGAGGAGAAGAGGGAAAAGAAGAGGAGGAGAAGGAAGAGAAGGAGGAAGAGGAAGATCATGATGATAAAAAATAAAGCTATTGTAGTTGCAAGATAAGGGCAAATGCCCACCATACCCCGGAGTGGTGCCTGGCTCAATGCCAGCTCTGCCAACTTTGGCAGAGCTCAGATTGCCCTCCCCCCATCACCCGGAACCTTTGGGGTTCCGGGTGATGGGGGCCCACGGCTACTCCACCCCCTCTCCTATTCCCCCACTCACCGCAGTTAGCTTCGTCAGAGCCATCCTGGCAATCGTGGCGCAGGTCGCAGCGGCGTTCAGAGCTCAGGCACTCCCCACTCTGGCAGGAGAACTGCTTGGAGGAGCAGGCACCGGGGCCCTCTACTGGGATCTGGGGGCCCAAGGTGTGGACCGTTGGGGCCGTGGGACCGCCTGCAAAAGGCGGACAAGAGGGGAGAGCAGTTCGGAGTCATCAAGAGGTCGGCGGCGTTGGATGCTAAGCCTTGGCCTGGTCAACCGTGGTTTAACAACGGTTTGTGAACTCAACCCTACTTGAACCTCAGCCGTTGGGCGGTAGAATTGCCGGAGGCAGTTAGTTCACCAGGTGATTCTTCTCCTTCATTATCTATCTTCTCCTTCTTTTTTCCTTCTCCACATCTATTCTCCTTCTCATTATCCTCCTTCTTCTCCTCTTTCTCCTCCTTCTCTATCTCCTCCTCCTCTTCATCCTCCTTATCTACCTCTCCCTTCCCCTTCTCCTCCTTCTCCTCTTTCTCCTTTTCTTGTCTCCTTCTCATTATCCTCTTTCTTTTCCACTTCTCCTTCTCTATCTTCCTTCTCCTTCTCCTTCTCTATCTTCTCATTTTTATCTCCTTCTCCTTTCTTTTCCTCTTCTCCTTCTCTATCTTCTCCTCTTCCTTCTCCTTCTCCTTCTCTATCTTCTCCTTCCACTTCTCCTTCTTTTTGTCCTCCTTATCTCTTCTCCTTCTCCTCACCTATCTTCTCCTTCTCCTTCCTTCTCCTTCTCCACATCTATTCTCCTTCTCGTTATCCTCCTCTTCCTCCTTCTCTTTCTCCTCATCTATTGTCTCCTTCTCGTTATCCTCCTTCTTCCTCCCTCCTCCTTCTACTTATCCATCTTCTCACTCCTTCTCTTTCTTCTCCTTCGCCTCCTCCTTGTCTATCTTCTCCTTTTCCCCCTCCCTCTCCTCCAACCAGGTGGACTCATGTGAAGTCCCCTGATTGCTTGCAAGCCATATATGGAATTCATCGATCCAAATTTCTTTGGCCGGACAACTACTACAAGATGAAAGGCAATGACCCACCTCTCTGGGGTGTATTGGGACTAAAGACAGCAGTCAAAACTGGAGGAACCTGGAGATCTGCAGCTTGGCTCTTGTTGAGTTCAGGATGGCAACAAGACCAACAGAGTGTCTTGGCGCGCACTCACCGCAGTGGGCCTCGTCCGAGCCGTCGGCGCAATCTGGCTGCCCGTCACAGACAGAAGCAGCCTCCACGCAGCCAAAGGTCTCGCAGGCAAACTGTCCTTGCGTGCAAAGGACCCGGGCCATCCCAGCAGAGGGCAAGAGAGTCGGCACTGCAAAAGAGAAGGGGACAATGGAGTCAGGGGTGGCACTGGGGCAGCATCCGCTGAGGGGCAGGCCCCGAAGTGTCCTGTCAGTCTCCTGCGACAGGAAGTTTAAACGAGGGGGGGAGGGGGGCTTCTGCCTGTTCCTTCTATTGATACCTCGGGGGTGGGGGGAGGGGCATTCATGACATCATGGCTCAGATGACATAAGAGAATCGCAGAGTTGGAAGGGACCTTGGAGGTCTTCTAGTCCAACCCCCAGCTCGAGCAGGCGGCCCTTACAGATTTAGAAGAGCAGGAAGGGACCTTGGAGGTCTTGGAGTCCATTTCAGCCAAACGGTTTTCCAATCTCTTTTAAAAAAAACTTCCAGTGTTGAGAGCACCCACAACTTCTGGTGGCAAGCTGTTCCACTGGCTAATTGTCCTCGCTGTTGGGAAGTTTCTCCTTAATTCCAGGTTGCTTCCCTTCTTAATTATTTTCCATCCCTTGTTTCTTCTCCTGCCTTCTGGTGCTTTGGAAAATAGGTGGACACCCCCTCCTCTTTGTGGCAGCCTCTCAAATACTGGAAGGCTGCTATCATAACTTTTAATGTTTTATATATGGTTTTTAAATACATTGTAAGCTGCCTTGAGTCTTCGGAGAAAGGCGGCATACAAGTTGAATAAATAAATAAATAAATAAATAAATAAATAATAAAAAAAAATCATGAGTCTTTGGAGAAAGGCGGCATACAAGTTGAATAAACAAACAAACAAACAAACAAACAAACAAACAAACAAACAAACAAATAAATAAAATCATGTCTCCCCTAGTCCTTCTCTTCTCTAGACTGGCCAAACCCAAATCCTGCAACCGTTCTTAATTTTTTTTAGTCTCCAGGCCTTAAATCAACTTAGTTGCTCTTCTCTGGACTTTTTCCAAAGTCTCAACATCTCTTTTTGTAATATAGTGATCAAAATTCGATGCAGGATTCCAGATGTGGCCTCACCAAGGCTTTGTAAAGAGGTACTAATCCTTCCACGTGATTTTGGTTCTATGCCTCCGTTTATACAACCGAGGATCGTATTAGCTTTTTCGGTGGCCGCCACACAGGCCTGGCTCGTGTTTAAAGGATCGTTCACTAGGACTCCGAGGTCCCTCTCGCAGTTACTGTTTTGGAGCCAGAATCCCCCAACTGGATGCCCCTCCCATCCCGTATTAGCGACACGCCCACCTCACCTGATAAGGTGGGCCTCCATCCAGGGGTTCCAGGGATGTGCGGAAGAACGTGCCATGTGGGCACTCCTGAAGCACTGCTCGATCTGGGAGTTGCCGGCGGCTGAGAAGTGGGCCAGCGAATGCCGGGCATTGCCGTGGACAAGGCAGCTGGCATGGTGGTTTTCTGGAACTGCCGAGAAAGGGTCAGCCCCGCTGCGCTGCTCCGGGAAACTGCCGCAGTCTCTGGTTTGGTGAAAGGTGGCAACCAGGCAGGAGTGCCAAGGGGCTTCTCTGGAGGTGAGGAAGCGGCGGTGGGTCTCGTACGGATTATTCCTGGGGCGGGGCTGTGGCTGGCAGCAGTCAACCGGCCCGCAGCGCGCTCCGTCTCTGGGTCATGCGAGAAAGAATGAAGCGGTTCGGAGGAAGAAGAGGAGGACACCCCACCCCCCCATGCTGAGGACAGTCAGGGGAAACCTGGCCCTTAGGATATCATGTTCCCCCCACAGCATCCTTTCCCGTTGGCAAAATTGGCAGAGCCCATTCAGCAACACTGGACAGCCACAGGTCCTGAAGGTGCTATATATCTCAGGACAGCCGTCAGCTAGACACCATCTCTGCAACCTCCAGCCCCCCCCCCCCCAATAACATCCCCACCCTCAACTCACTCCAGGAGCAGCCAAACACCTCCAAGCGCAAGGAAATGCTTTGGTGATACTCCACGGGCACGAAACGCAGGAAACGGGCAAGGAGAGTCGGGCTGAGCTCCTGCCGTCTCGGGGTGCTGCTGTCAGAATTCCCCTCCAGAACCTGCGGGATGGAGGGTTTCGGACAGGACAAAATGGGTGATTCAAGAATATGGAATCATCTCGTCCTCTTGGCAAAACAGAGAAGAGCATCGAGGAGAAATTTGTAAGGTTGGAGAGAAAGGGATGGAAAAATAGAAGAGAGTAACCCACACCATTACATGCCTTTTCCATTTTTGTGAAGCTCACAATCATTCCCCAGATTTGGCAACACCCACAAAGGGAGTGTAGTGGAGGAAGAAAAGGATCGATGCTCTTTCTTCTGATCTCTCAGACTTGAAAAACCAAGAGAGACACGCTGAGTTTCTTCTAAGCAGCTTCCTTTATTGTTCCTCACCTACAGACGGAATCTTGCCAAACTAAAGCAAACTGCAGTACTTGTTTCAGTAAAGATACACGGGGTCCTTGGCTTACGACCACAACTGAACCCAAGATTTATGTTTTTGTAAATTTATGTTATAACCTTTCTTGCCACCGCTGTTAAGTGAATCGTTGCAGTTGTTAAATGAGTCGCACTAATTGTTAAGTGAATCTGGAGTCCCCGTTGACTTTGCTTGCCAGAAGGTCGCAAAAGGGGATCACATGATCCCGGGACATTGCAACCGTCATAACTATGAGTCAGTAGCCAAGCCGCTAAATTCTGATCATGTGACCACGGGGATGCTGCCACAGTCGTAACTATGAAAAATGCTCATTGGTCACTTTTATCGGTGCTGTTGTAACTTCAAATGAAGACTACACGAACTGTTGTAAATTGAGGACTGCCTATATACTCTGAGAACCTCCAGGGAGGGGCCAGACTTGAATCTCTTCCTCCAAACCAAACTGTCTAAACTTTGCTTCTTCTTCTGGAATGTAGCCCCTCCCTCCCTCCCTCCTTGGAATCCAGACCGCATTCCACCACACGATCAACTTAAATCAGAATTGAGCTGGAGGAGACCTTGGAGGTCCTCAGGTCCAGCCCTTGCTCAAGCAGGAGCCCCTCTGCCATTTCAGATGGGTGGCTGTCCGATCTCTTTTTCAAAACCTCCAGTGATGGAGCACCCACAAGTTCTGGTGGCAAGCAGTTCCACTGGCTAATTGTCCTCACTGTTAGGAAGTTTCTCCTTAATTCCAGGTTGCTTCTCTCCTTGATGAGTTTCCATCCATTGTTTCTTGTCTGACCTTCTGGTGCTTTGGAGAATAATTTGACCCCCTCTTCTTTGGGGCAGCCCCTCCAATATTGGAAGACTGCTATCATGTCATCCCTGGTCCTTCTTTTCTCTAGACTGGCCAAACCCAAATCCTGCCACCGTTCTTCGTATGTTTTAGCCTCCAGGCCTTTAATCATCTTAATTATTCTTCTTTGTGCTTTTTCCAAAGTCTCAACCTCTTTTTTGTAATATGGGGACCAAAACTGGACGCAGCGTTACTAAGGCTTTACACAGCGGTACTAAATGTTCCCGTGATTTTGATTCTGGGCCTCTGTTTATACAATCGTGGATCGTGTTAGCTTTTTTGGCTGCTGCCGCACACGGATAGCTCGTGTCAAAAGTGATCGTCCGTTAGGACTCCAAGGTCCATCTTCCAGTTACTGTTTTTGAGCCAGGTTTCACCTACTCTGTTCTTGTACCTTTGGGGTTTTTTCCTGCCCAGGTGTAAAACCTTGCTTTTCTCCACATTAAATGTCATTTTGTGGGAGAGGGCAGAGAGCTCAAGTGTGTCAAATCCTTTTGGATCCTGAGCTAAGTGGGTCTAAGTCTACATGGAGAGAAGTAAGCAGTGGGGTGCCACAAAGTTCCATCTTAGGCCCAGGACTCTTCAGTGAGCCTTGGTGGCGCAGCAGACTAAAGTGCTGTTAAGTAGCACCAGCTGCCTGCAATTATTGCAAGTTCAAATCTCACCAGGCTCAAGGTTGACTCAGCCTTCCATCCTTTCGAGGTAGGTAAAATGAGGACCCGGATTGTGGGGGCAATAACCTGACTTTGTATGAAAAAGAACACCGCTGGGGGGCCCCCCCGAAAGCCCTATTAAGCAGGTATGTACAAAAGTATGAAGGCTATTGCTTTACGCATTGTAAGCCACCCTGAGTCTCCGGAAAAGGGCGGCATATAAATCGAATCAATCAATCAATCAATCAATCAATCAATCAATATCTTCATAAATGACTTAGATGAGGGAATAGAAGGGGAACTTTCCAAATTTGCAAATGATACTCAGATGGCAGGAATAGCCAACACCCTAGAAGATAGGCTCAAGGTCCAGATGAATCTTGACAGACTTGAACCCTGGACCCTATCTGACAAATTGAAATTCAATGCAGAGAAAAATAAAGGCAAGAGAAACCAAAAGTACACATACAGACTGGGGGAAACCAGGCTTAATAGCAGCAACTGTGAGAGGGATCTTGGAGTCTTAGTGGACAACCAGCTAAATAGGAGCCAAAAGTGTGCAGCGGCAGCCAAAAAAGCCAACGCAATCCTAAATTGCATTAACAGAGGGATACAATCAAGATCACGGGAGGTACTAATACCATTCTATAAAGCCTTAGTAAGGCCACACTTAGAGTACTGCATCCAGTTTTGGTCACCACACTATAAAAAAGAGGTTGAGACTCTAGAAAAAGTGCAGAGAAGAGCAACCAGGATGATTAGGAGACTAAAACATACAATGAACGGTTGCAGGAACTGGGCATGGCTGGTCTAGTGAAGAGAAGGACCAGGGGAGACATGATAGCCGTCTTCCAATACTTGAGGGGCTGCCACAGAGAGGAGGAAGGGGTCAAGCTATTCTCCAAAGCACCTGAAGGCCAGACAAGGAATAACGGATGGAAATTGATCAAGGAGAGATTCAACCTAGAAATAAGGAGAAATTTCCTGACAGTGAGAACAATCAACCCATGGAACAGAAGTTGCCTTTGGAAGTTGTGGGAGCTTCATCACTTGAGACTTTCAAGAAAAGATTGGACTGCCATTTGTCAGAAATGGTGTAGGGTCTCCTGCTCGAGTGGGGAGTTGGACTAGATGACCTATAAGGACTCTTCCAACTCTGTTAATGTGTGTGTTAAGTCCTGCCCGCTTAGTGTCATCTGCAAATAATTGGACCAGAAACCTTGAGATAGAGAAATGAGGAGGCCAGAAGATCGTGGATCCTCCCATGGATTGGAAGTGGGGAGATGCCATACCTGAGCCTGCAGGGACGTGGTTGGGCCATATCCAGGCTTGGTGTAGTTCCAAAAATGGACCCCATCGTTGCTATAAAGCAGGCGATAACGTATAACGAATCCCCCAGAGCTGCCTCCACCCTGAGTGGCCACCGCTGTGATGAAGAAGGGCTGGAGAAGGTCCACCTGGAAGTAGGGATTGGGGTCAGACTGGAGTGGGCTCCATCCTGGCTCTGTGTTCCATCTGGAAAAAGAAGACACCAAAATTGGCTGTCATCAAGACCATGTACCGAAGAGAGGGACCTTCTGAACGGCTGCCTTGAGCAAGTCTTCTTCTGGAGACCTTCCCTGGATAGAAGAATGAGCTCCCATCATGCTTTTCTCTCCTAAAAAGCGAGACTGGAAGAGCCAAATAACTGGTAAAGGTAAATGGATGGATGGGGAATTCTAGGAGATGAAGTCCCCCCCATCTTCAAAGAGTCAAGGCTGAGAATCAAATGCATGGAGGGATGGAGATATGAAGAGATGAAGAGATGGATGGATGAAGTGTTGGATAGATAAAGAAATGGATGGATGGATGGATGGATGGATGGATGGATGGATGGATAGATGGAGAGAGAGATGACAGGGAGATATAGATCAGTTCCCCTCAACATGCCATCTTCAAAGGGTCAAGGTTGAGAAACAAGTGGGTGAGTGGGTGGGTGGATGGATGGATGGATGGATGGATGGATGGAGAGTTGGATGGATGGATGGAGAGTTGGATGGATAGATAGAGATGGATGGCTGGAGAGATATAGAGGAGGGGATAGATCAGAACTTCTCAACTTTCTGGCTGAGGAATTCTGGGAGTTGAAGTCCACCCATCTTCCAGTGGCTGGGAGGTTGAGAAACAGATGGATGGATGGATGGAGGGAAGGATGGATAGAGAGATGAGTGGGTGGAGATATATAGAAGAGGAGACAGATCAGAACTTCTCAACATCCTGGCTGAGGAATTCTGGGAGCTGAAGTCCACTCATCTTCAAGTGGTTGAGAAATGGATAGATGGGTAGATGGAGGGAGGGACTGAGGGACTGAGAGATGAATGGATGGATGGATGGGTGGATGGATGGATGGAGAGATGGGTGGATATAGAGATGCAGAGGAGAAGATAGATCAGAACTTCTCAATATCCTGGCTGAGGAATTCTGGGAGTTGAAGTCCACCCCTCTTCCAAGGACCAAGGTTGAAAATCCCTGCTCCTGTTGGTGTGCTGCTAGAATTCTCTCAATTGGAGTAGCTCCAATCCTGCCCCACTTACACATTGGGCACCCTGTTCAGCCGTCCGGCATCCGGGGGATGTCCTTCCTGGTGGGAGGAAGCTGTCAACTGCTGGTAGTGGACACGCCCATCCTCCAGGCCGAGCGGCTCATTGCAAGAACCTGAGTGGAGGGATACAAGATGGCACAATGTTAAGGCAGTGAGACGCACCATTCCTGAAACCCACCCACCCTCCCTCCTTCCTTCCTTCCCCGTCTCCTTCTTTCCCTCCATCCATCCGTCCATCCGTTCCCCTGTCCTTCCATTGCCTCTTCCCCCCCTTTGCCTTCCTTCCTCCCCGCTTCCCTTTCCTTCCTTCCTTTCACTTTTCCCCCTTCCTCTTTCTTCCTTCCTACCTCCCTTCCACTGCCCTCCCTTCGCCTTCCCTTTCCTTCCCACTTCTCCTTCCTTCACCTCTTCCTCCCCCGTCCTCTTCCCCTCCTTCCCTCTCTCCCTTCCTGCCTCCCTCCCTCCCTTCCCTTTTTCATATTTCTTCTTTGTATTTCTCTTTCAGTTAGATAAAAAAGTTTCCCATGAAAACGGATCTCTCTCTATCTCCCCTTACCTGGTGGAGTGGGACTGTGGGCCTCAGGCAATGGCCTTCCACCTGGGGACACCTGCAAGGGAGGAAGAGGAGATGCTACCTGGTGCTCTGGATACGTGTTCCCACATGTCTGTAGGAAGACATGCCTTATGCTCAGTTGGGAGAAAAGAGGAGGGAGGCAGGATAGGCAGCCAAGAAGCTTCTTCGGCTCCACCTGGTCATTTGCATTGTTTTCAAGAGCCGTTGAGGTCACTTGGAGGTATATCTGGGTCCTGGGTCAGGGTAGTGGAACCTGAGCAGTGGAAATGGGGGTACAGCCTTCTTGGAACAGCAGCTTGCACGATTTGCACTGCTCGGGTGACCCTGAGGTGACACAGACAAACCTCCAAGCAGCCTCCATGGCTCTGTAAAAAGAATGCAAATGACCAGCTCTTTGCAAGGACTATCAATCCTTCTATTCCTCACCATCTGGTCGGAGCCGAAGAAGCTTCTTGGAAGAGAAGCGATACGTCTTCAGAGGAAAAAAAATGAGAAAGATCAGTTGCCTCTTGAAAAAAGTACTTTTGGGATGTAGAAAAACCTTTGCAAACTAGAATAAGCTCCATAGAAGAGCAGAGCAAACGGGTCCCCCATTCTCTGGAGGTTCTCAAGAAGAAGCGGGACGTCCATCTTGGCTCTTGAGGGCCATAACAGAATCCACTAATCCCATCAATTTGTACAGTTTAGCTTCCGGCCCCTTAATCATCTTAGTGCAGTGGTGAGATTTAAATAATTTAACAGCTGGTTCTCTGCCCTAATGACCACCTGGGTAGGTGCGGCAGGGTGGTCATGACTGGGTGGGCGTGGCCAACTTGACGTCACTCACTTTGAAGAGCCTTGCCTTGCCCAGCCTCTCCTCCCCTGGCCTCCCGGCCCCGTCCAGCCGTTCGCCTGTCCGCTTGGCTTCACCCAGCTGCTCACCCAGCCGGTCAGTGGCTTGTCTCACCTCCTGGCCGCTCACTGGCTGGGAGGGGAGGAGCGAGGTGGGGCCGGGTGTGGTGTGGCATGCTATTCAGCCGGTTCGCCGAACTCCACAAAAAAATTAGCTATCGGTTCTGCAAACCAGCTGAATCCCATCACTGTCTTAGTGGCTTTTTTTTGCACTTTTTCCCAAAGTCTTTTTTGGAACGTGATCAAAACTGGATGCAGCGCTCCAGGTGTGGCCTTACTGAGGCTTTACAATGCAGTACTAAAACTTCACGCAATTTTGATTCTATGCCTCTGTTTATGCAGCTGAGGACTGCATTAGCTGCTGCAAAGTTGGAAGGGACTTTGGAGGTCTTCTAGTCCAGCAGAGACCTCCCTGCCCTAATCTCAACCTCTTGCTGCTTGTTCCCCTCAAGTTTCTCCCCTTCATAGCCAGGTGACCCCAAAACATGGGTTTGATTGTCCTCTCCTGACCCATAGGCACCCTGGTGGTAGGGTGTGTGTGTGTGTCTCCTTACCGCAGTGGGCGGGGCCACAGAGACCTGCCAATGTTTTTCTGAAGTCCATGGGCTGGAAGGAAGACCAGAAGAAGTTTGGTTAGGTGAGAAGTCTGAAGGATCTCATGAAGATCCTTCAGAAGACAGAAGGGTTGTACCTGCCCTCCCTTAGATGGGCAGCTTAGAAGTGGCTGGCTGGGGTGTTTCCCATCCTGTTTCCAGTGACACCTGGTTCCCTCCTCATCTTACAATTCTGATCCTCTATTGGGGGATGATGGACCCACCCACCAACATTCCCTGATGCCAGCCCTCAACCCAGATTTCTCTGTGGCATCAAATCACCCATCAACTCCATTCTGGCCTCACCTGAGGACGCCAGGCTGTGGCACACTGCTCACAGCCATACAGCCGATCTCATCAGTGCCATCTGGGCAGTGAGTCACTCCATCACACCTCTGGCTGGCTTCAAGGCAGAGGTTGGAAAAGGTGCAGGGGAACTGGGGAGCTGGGCAGCCCTCTGGGGTGGGGGGCTCCAGGGAGGGGGCTACACCTGCAATTGGGGAGGCAGACCAGAACAGAACAGAAGAATTCCATTCCATTCCATTCCATTCCATTCTTTCTATTCCATTCTGTTCCATTCTTTCCATTCCATTCCATTCTTTTTATTCCATTCCTATATTTCTATTCCATTCCATTCCATTCCATTCTTTCCTTTCTATTCTGTTCCATTCTTTCCATTCCATTCCATTCTTTCTACTCTATTCCATTCCATTCTTACTATTCCATTCCATTCTTTCTTTCCCATCTTGATCCTATCCCATCCCATCCATCCCACTCCATTCCATTCTTTCCATCCCATCCCTATCTTTCCATTCCATTCCATTCCATTCCATTCCATTCCATTCCATTCCATTCCATTCCATTCCATTCTTTCTATTCCATTCCATTCCATTCCATTCTTTCCTTTCCATTCTGTTCCATTCTTTCCATTCCATTCCATTCTTACTATTCCATTCCATTCTTTCTTTCCCATCTGATCCCATCCCATCCTCCCACTCCATTCCATTCTTTCCATCCCATCCCTATCTTTCCATTCCATTCCATTCCATTCTTTCTTTTTTCCCCATCCCATCCCATTGAATACAATTCTATTCCATTCCATTCTTTCTATTCCATTCCTTCTATTTTATTCCATCCCATCCCATTCTTTCCATTCCATTCCATTCCATTCTTTCTTTCTTTCACATCCCATCCCATTGAATACAATTCCATTCCATTCCATTCTTTCCATTCCATTCCATTCCCACCCTGGATGGACAGCTCTTGTCCTGCCGCATCTCCAGTATCAGCTCACCACAACGCAGCTCGTCCGTGAAGTCCCCGCAGTCGTCCACTCCATTGCAGATGGCTCCATGGGGTCCGGCTGGCACGCAGCGTCCATTCCGGCATTCGAACTCGCCGGCCCAGCAAGGCCTCCATCCTGGAGGGGACGTAGGCCACCCTGGTTGCTCTGGGGACACTGAGACAAGACAAGAGAGAGTGACTGAGAGTCTCACATCCACAGGGAAGGGAAAATATCCATCTGAAATGGTACAGGCAGTCCTTGACTTACGACAGTACACTTAGTGACTGCTGGAAGTTACAACGGTAACGAGAAAAAGCAACTTCAGATCCTTTTTCACACATGACCGTCACAATGTCCCCTCATTCATGTAATCCAAATTTGGACGCTGGGCGACCAACTCGTATTTAATGATGGTTGCAGCATCCCGGGGTCGCAGGATCCTCTTTTGCGACTGCGGGGAAGCCAGATTCCCTCAATGACCCTGTGATAAACCCAACCCAAATTGCTCAACAACGGGGGCCAGAAAAGTCATCCAATGAGGCCTGGCACATTTGACCAATGTCTCAGTTCGCGACATGAAATTCAGGCTCCGCGGCAGTCGTACGTCGAGGACTACCTGTCACGGTCTCACTCAGCCTTGGTTGGGGGATTCTGGGAATAGGGAGTCCACACATATCAAGTTGAGAAACTTGAAACTTGAGAAACCACGGACGCAAATACATCCACGCATGCGTGGGCTTGCAAAAAGTGGCAAGACGGTGTCAGAATTCCTACAACATCCAGAACCTGACCGGATAACACATTTACCATATTGTTTGGAGCAGGGGTGGGTTCTAAAATGTGTTACTCCCGGTTCTGTAGGCGTGGCTTATTTGGTGGGCGTGGCTTGGTGGTCATTTGACTGTGTGGGCGTGGCTTGGTGGTCATGTGTCTGGGCGTGGCTTAGTGGTCATGTGACTGGTTGGGCATAGCTGGGTGGTCATGTGACTGGACGGGCGTGGCCAGCTTGACATCACTCACGTCAAAGGTTATGGTTAGGGTGCTAACTGTAGTTTTCGGCAGCCCCCAGTCAGCCTCCAAAAAGCCTCCAAAAAGGCCTCCAAAAAGGCTTTCTCTGCAGGCCACCAAAACATACCGGCAGAAAAAGCTACTGCTGTTTCCGCCATGTTCTTCGTGCATGTGCATCCCATTGGACTTGCAAGGCAATGGGATGCGCGTGCGTGAAGAACATTGTGGCGACGAACATGGCGGCTGGGGCAAGCGACCGGCGACCAGGGGAATCAGTTCGGGGGCGTGGCCAGCTGGACACCGTTACCGGTTCTGCGACCTTCGCCAAATTTCCACCAACGGTTCGCACGAACCGGTCTGAACCGGTAGCAACCCACCACTGGTTTGGAGTATAAGTCGCTCCGGAGTATAAGACACACATTAGTTTTTGGGGAGGAAAACAAGAAAAAAAATTCTGCTTCTGCCTACCAGCATCCATCGGTATTCACCTGGCTAGCGTCCTTGCAGCAAACAGCAAACAGCCTGGTCAGCTTCAGCACGTGATCGCAGCCACATTCAGCACGAGCAGCTGATTGGCATTTGGATTGGCCTCCCAGAATACCGCCAATCAACTGTTCCAAGCTGCAGGAATTGCCACAGCCCATCGCTGCCTCTATGTGTCACATTTTCAGCCTCCGTGTGTCATGTTTTCGGGCTCTACATGCCCCGTTTTTGGCCTCTGCGTGTCACATTTTTGGCCAGTTCCAGGTGGCGGGGATTGGCAGTGGTGGCAATCTCCGCCACTGATCCCCACCGCCTGGAACTGGCCAAAAATGCAATGCACAGAGGCCAAAAACAGGGCATGCGGAGGCCGAAAATGCAATGCGCAGAGGCAGCGATGGGCTGTGGTGATCCCCGCAGCCTGGAACAGATCTAAAATGGAGCATGCGGAGGCCGAAAACGTGACACGTGGAGGGCAAAAATGGCTGAAGGGTGAGGGTTGGTGAGTAGGTGGGGCTTTGGTAGCATTCGGTATATAAGACGCACCACAATTTTCACCCACTTTTTGGGGGGGAGTGCATCTTATACTCCGAAAAGTACGGTAGTTCTCGTCGCGTGTAGTGTGAACCAGCCAAAAGGTCCCCTTCTAATGTTCATTTGCGGAGTCTACAATTTGTGTCACATCAGTGCCCGTTCCTTCCTCCTTAGCCCACCCAGAAATCCTGCATCCCACCTTTCCCGCAACCCAACAGCTCCAGGCGCAGGAAGATGCCGTTGTGGAAGTCATGGGGCAAGAGGCGCACGTATTGGGTGTGCACCATGCGCTGGAAGGTCCGGGCCACGGGGGTCGAGTCGTCAGAGTTTCCTTGGAAGAGCTGGGGAGGAAAAGATGAGAGATACCGAGTTTGACCTAGAGGTTAAGGCGCCCAGCTAGAAACTGGGAGACAGGGAGTTCTAGTCCTGCTTTAAGTATTTATTTATTTATTTTATTTATTTAATTTGATTTATATGCCGCCCTTCTCCGGAGACTCAGGGCGGCTTACAGTGCGTTAAGCAATAGCCTTCATACTTTTGTATATTTATACAAAGTCAGCTTATTGCCCCCACAAACTGGGTCCTCATTTCACCTACCTTAGAAAGGATGGAAGGCTGAGTCGACCTTGAGCCTTGGAGAGATTCGAACCAGCAGTAAATTGCAGGTAGCTGTGTTAATAACAGGGTGCTTTAAACCACTGTAGTACCAAGGCTCTGTATGTATGAAAGCCAGCTTGGAGACTTTGGCCCAATCACCAGGAGATGGGGAGTTCTAGTCCCACCTTAAGCATGAAAGCCAGGTGGGTGACTTTGGGCCAATCAGTAGGTGACAGTGAGTTCTAGTTCCACTTTAGGCATAAAAGCCAACTGGGTGACTTTGTGCCAATCACCAGGAGACTGGGAGTTCTAGTCCCGCCTTAGGCATGAAAGCCAACTGGGTGACTTTGTGCCAATCACCAGGAGACGGTAAGTTCTAGTCCCGCCTTAGCAGAGTGTTGGACTAGAAGTCCTCCGAGGTCCCTTCCAACTCTATTATTCTGTGATTCTGTAAGGGTCTCCTGTTCAGTCAATGGCTTGGGTTAAATGACCTCCAAGGTCCCCTCCAACTCTGTTCTTCTATGATTGTGTGTCTTCTGCTCGAGCAGGGAGTGGGACTAGAAGACCTCCGAGGACCCTCCCAATCCTGTCATTCTACTTTGTCTCTGTCCCCATCTTGCCCGGATGTCTGCAGGTGGCCCTCAATCAGGTCTATCAGGAAGCAATCACCTGGGGGCTGTCTGAGGAGGAGGAGGTCCAACCCCAGTCCACTCCTCAACAGAGGCTTACAGGCCAAGCCTTTGATCTTGGGCATGCCACCCAGTTCCAGAAGAACTGGAGTTCTCATGAAAGTCTCTCCTCAAGAGGACACTCCAACCTTTGGCTCAGGCCTGGTGCTCCTGGAGGTGACCTCTTGGTAGTTGTGCCATCTCGCACCATCCAGGCTGAACTGGAGGAAGAAGCTGGTCACATAGGCATCTGAGGTCCCTGCTCCTTGGATCACGACTCCTGGGGAAGACGGAGGGAAATCGATGAATGTCCAAGAAACTCCAGACACTTAGATGCCTGCAATGGTAGAGGCATCCTAAACGCATGACAGGGAACCTCAAGATAGTGGATTTCTACAACACACACACACACACACACACACACACACACACACACACACAGAGAGAGAGAGAGAAAGAGAGAGAGAGAGAGAGACAAGAGACAGAGACAGAGACAGAGACAGAGACCTATTTCCTATTTTACTCCAATTTCAACCAGAACTCTTGGTGGAACTTCAAGGAATGGCTGGAACTGGCGATGAGGTACAAAAAGAATCGGCCACGGTGAATTAGCCATGATGAATTGGCCACAGCACATTGGCTGCGGCGAGTTGTCCCATTCTGTCTAGACCAGACACCTACCTGTCAGGTTCCTGGGCTCCCCCAAATCCACTTGCAGGAAGGGGGGCCGAGAGAGCAGCTCCGGATACACTTCTGCCGGAGGGGCCCAACCCTGCAAATCAGCCCCGGGCAGCAGGCGGCCTAGCCGAGCGGCATGTGCCGGGTTCTCCGGCTGTTGTGCAGAGGCGGTGAAGCTGGCATCCGGCAGCGAGGCGATGCCCAGCGGGCCATAGCAGAGATCTGTGTAGACAGAAGATGGTCGAGGGGGCAGGAATATAGTCAGCTGGGGCTGAGACCCACGCCCCATCCCAAGATTTGCGTGGTGCGTGGTTTCCACAAAAGGACAACATGGTATATGGAGTTCCTTACCGCCGAGCGGAGGCAGGGGGTATGTGCTGAGTGGAGGAGCTGTGGGGAAGGGTGCGGAGCTGGCTCGGGAGGTCCCCAGGGGTCCCAGAGGCAGAGCACTCGGGATGGCTGTCTGGTTCTCCGCTGCAACAAAGCACAGAAGTGGAAGGCATCCGACAGGGTAGGGAGGAGGCATCCTTAGGAGTAGCACTACGGCAGACCCCTATCAAAGTGACTGACACCATCAGGGGATATGAAAATCACTCCTAAGAATCTGATCCCACATAGGCAGAAGTGGCCACTGTTCCCAACTCATGTGTGGTCTGTTGGGAGCGTCCCAATGCAATCTGGCTGGGCCAATTCGGAAGCCACAAACAACTCCGGATCAGTGGTGGAATTTAATTTTTTTTTACTACTGGTTCTGTGGGCGTGGCTTGGTGGGTGTGGTTTGGGTTGGGTTGGGTTGGTGGGGGTGGCTTGGTGGGCATGGCAGGGGAAGGATACTGCAAAATCGTCGCTCCCATGTAACACCTCTCCTGCGCGAGCTGCATTGGCTCCCGGTGGTCTTCCGGGTGCGCTTCAAAGTGTTGGTGACCACCTTTAAAGCGCTCCATGGCTCAGGACCTGGTTATCTACAGGACCGCATTCTGCCACCGATTGCCTCCCACCGACCAATACGCTCACACAGAGAGGGCCTCCTCAGGGTGCCGTCAGCCAAACAGTGCAGGTTGGCGACCCCCAAGGAGAGGGCCTTCTCTGTGGGGGCACCTGCCCTCTGGAATGAATTACCCCCGGACATATGAAGGATCTCCGACCTCCGTGCCTTCCATCGCCCTCTGAAGACCCTATTATTCCAGCAAGCTGGATTGACAGGATAAAGGTTTTAAATTGGGTTTTGATAGGGGTTTTAAAATGATCTTAGTTGGATGTTTTAAATTTGGCCGAATGATTGAATTATTTTAATAAGCTTTTAATTTTTGTTGTACATTGTTTTACCATGGCTGTTCACCGCCCTGAGTCCCTCGGGAGAAGGGCGGTATACAAATATAATAAACTAACTCACTAACTAACTAAAATCTCCATTCCCACCTCACTCCAGGGGAAGGATACTGCAAAATCCCCATTCCCTCCCTATTCCCGGGGGAAGGATATTGCAAACTCTCCATTCCCACCCCACTCTGGGGCCAGCCAGAGGTGGTATTTGCCAGTTCTCCGAACTACTCAAAATTTCCGCTACTGGTTCTCCAGAACTTGTCAGAACCTGCTGAATGGCACCCCTGCTCCTGGATTCAGGTTCCCAAAATTTGGGATGTTGTGGGAACACAGCTACTAGTAACCAGGCTTTCAGAGGGGTGGGCTTCAGCTCTCAGAATTCCCCCAGCTACCAAGTTATAAGATGGATGTACTTCAACTTCCAGAATTCCCCAGCCAGCATCCTTTAAAACGGATGGACTTCAACTCCTAGAATTTTCTAGCCAGTGTGATTTAAAATGGGTGGACTTTGATTCCCGGAATCCCCCAGCCAGCATGCTTTAAGAGGGGTAGATGTCCACTCCCAGCATGCCAGGGGAATTCTGGGAGTTGAAGTCCAAACATCTTAAAGCTGGCAAGATTGAACAATGCTGCGTGCAACAAATGTGGCTCACCACGGCAGTGGCGATATGGAACCTGCGCTATCGCCACCCTACGTCCTCCCCCCCCCCCTTTAGGACTTACCCCCTTCCGTGCAGTAACAACAGGCGTCCGCTCGGCCCTTCACCAGCACCCGGCCCTGTGGGACGGAAGGAGGAGGGTCAACATAAGGATTGGACACCTCGAGAGGTCGAAGAAAAAGGAAGGGGCCAGGCTCACCTCGGGGCAGCCCACCGCGCTGTAGGGACAGTACTGGGAGCATTGGACGGTGAGATTAGGCAAACACTGGCAGACTTGGCACTGGCCGGAACGCCAGCGGTCACCAATGGCGTGAGTCCGGCCGTGGTGTTCGCACTCTTCACACGGCTCCGTCTGGCATCTGCAGAGGATTGGAAGGAGAGATCTTGGACCCACACGAGGTAGCCAAGAGAGGCAGAATGGAAGGGTGGCGTCCTCCTCGCGAGAAGATGCGAAGAGCAACTGAGATGCTAAGGGGGCGATGAACGGTTGTGGGATTTGGGTGTGGCTAGTCTAATGAAAACAAGGACCAGGAGGGACAGGATAGCAGTCTTCCAATATTTGAGGGGCTGCCCCAAAGAAGGGGGGGGGGTTTCCACTTATTTTCCAAAGCACCAGAAGGCGGGACGAGAAGCAACGGGTGGAAACTAATGGAGGAGAGAAGCAACCTGGAATGAAGGAGAAACTTCCGAATAGGACAATTAACCAGTGGAACTGCTTGCCACCAGAATATACTGGAGGTTCTCAAGAAGCGATCGGACGCTCATTTGTTCAGAATAGTAGAACAGCGGTCCCCAAACTTTACAACGTGGTGGCCCGTTGTGGGTGGTGGAGAAAGGGGAACCAGCCTCAAGTCGTGGTGGCTCTGTGCATGCATATGCGAAGGCCAATTAGTCATGCAGCCCAGTTCCAAACAGCCCACAGCCTGTGAGTGGGCCAGGGCTTGAGGTAGAGTAGAAGGTCTCCTGCTTGAACAGAGGGTTGGACTAGAAGACCTCCAAGGTCCCTTCCAACTCTGTTCATCTGTTAAGAAAGGCAGTTTGGCCCTGCAGAAAACTAATGCACACACCCCTTTGTAGCAGATGATCAGGTGGATCCCGATGTTGGGATCAAATGCGTCATTTGTCAGGGGTCCCTACGCCCCCCAAAAGGACCTAAATCCAGCCTCACACACTCCCTTTGAAGTCTGTCAACTTGGGTGCCAATTTGCCTCGACCGTTAGTAGATCAGATTCTCGTGGACAGATAGTTGTCAACTTACGACCACAATTGGGTCCAGAATTTACATCGCTAAGTGAGAAAATTTGTGAAGTCCATTTTATGACTTTTTTTGCCCCGGTCGTTAAAGTGAATCCCCGCTGTTGTTCAATTAGTAATCCGATTGGGAAACGAATCTGGCTTCCCCACTGAATTTGTGGGTTGGCAGGTCGGCAAAGGGGATAGTGTGACTCTGGGACATCGCGAACCATCATAAAGGGGAGTCTATTGCCAAGCGTCTGAATTCTGACCCTGCGCCGAAATGGTAATAAGTGAAAAAAAGGCCCCGGTCTTTTTTTTTTCAGTGCTGTCATAACTTTGAACGGTCCCTAAGTGAGCTGTTGTAAGTGGAGGACTAGCTGATTCGGTGAGCGTGCAAGAAATTTGCGGTGTTTTTGAATCCTGCTGGATCCTGCTTTGTTGCTCCCGACGCAGATACTCCTTTGTTTGGTCTTCTGTGTGGAGTTGAGGGAGGGGGGTGTTGACTCACCTCCGGGCCTTGCGGTAAATGCCCCGGCACTGCCGTCCGTTGCCGTGTTTGGTGGGGTTGTTGGGACTACGGAAGGACCACTGGATACTCTGCACCCCACAGGGACCCAGACATTCGCCCCACGGCGACCACGCTGACCAGCCGCAGTTCACTGGAGACCAAGGCAGGATAAGTTTAGATGGGGACCAAAGATGGAAGATCCCACCATCTCGCCCGAAGGAGGGAAGATGGGAGCTGTTCTGACCCAGCCTTAACAGAACCAATAAACAGACTCCTTGTACCGAAAAAACCCTCTTTATTTAGCTACTGTGGATTAATGGCATTCACACACCGAAAAGTCAAGGCAATAATCCTTCAAAGGGTTAATTACACTAACAGACTTTATCAGTTCCTTGAGATAATTGCCAGGCCAGGGAACTTCCAGCTGCAAGGCTGTAAATTAAGTTCTGGCAAGCAGTCTCTGGGGTGCGAAAAACAACGAGCAAACCTTCTGAAAGAAATCCGAACGGTTGTCTCCTACAACCACCACTCCCCTTTCCTTCTATTTATTTCCCAGCCAGGGAGGGGCCATTTAGCGTCCACATGTGTCTTTCTTCCCGAGTCGGCTCCTTGTCCTCAGTTGTTCTCCTCTCCTAACAGCTCTGCGCATGCGCACATCTGGAACAGGCCCCAGCTGTTCTTCCTCCCCACTTATCTCCACCTCCAAAGGCAGCTGGGAAATGCCGGATGGCCCTGGCATTCATCAGAGCCTTCCCCAGACTCCAGGACTGGCCCAAGTCCCTCCCCAACCTCCTCATCGTCCGAATCTGCCACCAGCTCCACTGGCAGCTGGCGGGCCACAACAGGAGCCTGGCACGGGGCTGACCTGTACACTCCGGATTCTGCCGGCAACGTTTCATCTGTCCTTCCTGGCAAGTGCAGATCCGGCAGTTGACTTTGACCAGTTGGCCAGGCCAATAGCGGACACCGGCCACTTGGCAAGGGCACTCTCGCGGACGCACACACTGCTGCTCGCTGTTCAAGACCAGGCCTTCCGGACACCAGCAACCTGGAGAGGAGAGAATAACAGGATAGCAGAATAGCAGAATGGCAGAACAGAATAGCAGAATAACAACATAGCAGAATGACAGAATAGTGGAACTGAAGAACTGAATAACAAAATGACAGAATGGCCAGAACAGAATAGCGGGATGACCGAATAGCGGGATGGCAGAACAACAGCAGAATAGAATTGCAGAGTCATAGAATAAGAGAATGACGGGATGGCAGAATGACAGAATAGCGGGATGACACAATGACAAAATAACAGGAGAGCAGAATAACAACAGAAGAGTAGAACCACAGATTAACAGAATAGCAGAATGAGAGAATGAGAGAATAACAGAGTTGGAAGGGACCTTGGAGGTCTTCTACTCCAGCTTCGTTGCTCCAGACTTTAGCGGATTCTCTGGACACACGACTACAGCACGTAGATGATGGACACCAAAGCTTATACCAACCGACTACCCAGAGACTCAACTACCCCTTACCTGGTCGGCAGGGCCTGTCCTTCCGGCATCTTGTACGGCTGGAGAGCTCGGTGCAGGAGGTGGGACACGGGGCGCACTTCTGGCTCACCAGCTCTCCCGGGCAAGTGGAGGCATTGAGACAGTCCTCACGTTGACACAACTCTGCGAGGGGAAGAAGCTGAGAGCTGTGTCTACTTGCAGGACAATATTTCAATCCATCAGAATAGAGCTGGACGGGAACTTGGAGGCCTTCTAGTCCAGCCCCTGCTCAAGCAGGAGACCCTGCACCATTTCCAACAGGTCCAATCTTTTCTTAAAAACCTCCAGGGATGAAGTCCCTACAATAGAGTTATCAAACTCAATCCTGTCGCGGGCCGCCTCAGGAGGTTGTTTGTCCTTGGGGGGCCGGGGTGGGTGTGGCTTGGTAATCGCGGCTAACTGGGTGGGCGTGGCTGGGGCTGGGGTGGCAGGGGCTGGCCCCTCGATGTCTCCAGGATGGCCCTGTTGGCCAATTCCGTAGCCTATTGCAGGCCAAATGCGGCCCGCAGGTCCCACGTTGGACACGTCTGCCATACAATTTCTGACAGCACTTCTGTTCCACTGGTTAATTGTCCTATTTGTGTTAATTAATTTGTGTTAATCAATGGACACAAGTTGTCCTATTTGTGTTCATTGTCACCATGTGCCGGGCAGAGCATGGAGGCATGTCCTGTCATTCTGCAGGGCCAAAATGAATGTCCAGTACAGGTAGTCCTCGGGTTATGACCGCAATTAAGACCCAAATTTCTGTTGTTAGGCGAGACATTTCTTGAATGAGTTTTGCCTCATTTTATGGCCTGTCTTGCTGCGGTTGTTGAGTTAGTAACATGGTTGCAAAGTGAAGAGCCTTGGTGGCGCAGCAGACTAAAGTGCTGTTAAGTAGCACCAGCTGCCTGCAATTACTGCGAGTTCAAATCTCACCAGGCTCAAGGCTGACTCAGCCTTCCATCCTTTCTAAGGTAGGTAAAATGAGGACCCGGATTGTGGGGGCAATAAGCTGACTTTGTATAAAAAAAAGAACACCGCTTGGGGGGGGGGGCAAAAGCCCTACTAAGCAGGTATATACAAAAGTATGAAGACTATTGCTTAACGCATTGCAAGCCGCCCTGAGTCTCCGGAGAAGGGCAGCATATAAATTGAACCAATAAATAAATCTGGCTCCCCCGTTGACTTTACTTGTCAGGAGGTCGCAAAAGGGGATCATGTGACACACACAGGGGACATTGCGACTGTCATAAATATGAGTCAGTTACCAAGCATCCGAATTTTGATCATGTGACCAGAGGGGAGCTGCATGTCAAAAATGGTTGTAAGTCACATTTTTCAGCATCGCTGTCAATTTGGACACTAAACCAATGGTTGTAAACTGAGGACTACCTGTAACGATTACCCCGTCCCACTTTCCGTCGCTTGTTCACCCATAATCCCCGACTGACTTACGGATTTCTATTGAACCGGAGGATCCATCTGGGCCTTCGGTGCAGTGGCGGCCTCCGTTCTGGGATGGGAGACATTCGCGGTGACGCACCACCACCCCGCGGCAGTCCTCGGTGCAGTTGGACCATGTGGCCCATTCACGCCATTGGCCATCAACTTTTCGGGTGAGAGAGAGAAAAAAATTAGGGGCTGCCTGGGAGGAAGGGTCCCTGCGAATGTAGCATCTCCTACGTCCAACGCATCAGGAGCTACGGAGGGAACCGATCACTGAACGGCTGCAGACGAAAGCAGGGGAGGATCGAGTGTCCACACCAAACTGTGTTGAATGTGTGAACGAAGTCCATTAACAGGAGGTAGGGGTCCCAAAGCCTGCTCTTACCGGGACAAGCCACTAGGAAGCACTGCTGGGCCTGGGTCTCCTCTCCGAGGCAGTGACGGAGGACGTCGTCCGCTCGCCGTGTGCAGCTCCTCCGGCGGATCTGGAGTCCCGTGCCGCACGAGCGGCTGCACATGCTCCAGGCTGCCCAGGGGGTCCAGAGGCCGCAGTCCCGCTCATCAGAGGGCAGCCAACCCGAAGCCTCCGTGCCATCCGCACAGTTGGCCAGACCATTGCACACCTGCAAGAATGTACAACCAGAAGGGGCGTAAGAGGGCTCCAAAAATAGGAAACGCAGGAGCCCCTCCAGACTGATTTCCTCTTTCTGCCACCAAGGACAACCTCGAAGCCATTAGGAATCACAGAATAACAGAGTTGGAAGGGACCCTGGAGGTTATCAGTCCAGTGGTCTCCAACTTTCCAGCATCGTGGACTGGCTGGGGGTTGAAGAGGGGATGGTTCCACTTGAGAGGCAGCTAGGAGCACACGTGTGCAGCTCCACAAGTTTTCCGAGGTGAGAACAATCAACCCATGGACCAGAAGTTGCCTTTGGAAGTTGTGGGAGCTTCATCCCTGGAGGCTTTCAAGAAGAGACTGGGCTGCCCTCTGTCCGAAATGGTGTAGGGTCTCCTGCTTGGGCCTGGGGTGGACTAGATGACCTACAAGGTCCCTTCCAACTCAGTTCATCTGTTAAATCCGTTTGTCCAACCGCCGTGGCTCAAGCAGGAAACCTTGTGCCATTTCAGACAAACGGTTGTCTAATCTCTTCTTATAAACCTTTGCAGGGATGGAGGGACCTACAAGGAGTGTCCCTCGCTCTGCCCAAGAGCGTCTGCAGTTGATGCCTCTGCCCCAGAACGGTGGGCCAAGGAGTTACATGGGGGGCATTGTCTTCTCGCACATCCTGAAGTTGGGCACACTGTCATTCTTTCTACATCCCTTGGGAACGACTAAAACTCGGAGGGCAGAAAGGAAAGATGGAGGAGTGGAGGCACGAGAGGGCAAGAGGACAGGCCGAAAGCCTACTACTCGACTTACAACCCGTTGTTTAGCGACAGTCCCAAGTTATGATCGATTCCCCCAAACAAGACTTATGACCCAGTCATAAAGTCTTTTATTGATTTTAAATTTAGTAACTGCAGCTAGACTTTTGGTGGCGCAATATTGGAAGAAGGAAGATCTGCCTACTATTGAAGAATGGACATTAAAAGTGGCCAATTTGGCAGAAATGGTGAAAATTTCAGCATATTTGAAAGATCATTCACAAGAAAGATATATATCGGAATGGAGAAGATGGATTGATTATATTCAAAACAAATATCGGACTAAAAAGTATCAAATAGCTTATGAATGAACAGAAAAATTAAGAGTATTTATATTTAGTTAAGCAAAAGGGGAGTTAAAAGTGTGAAGGTGGGGATAGGAATCCTTAGTTAATTAGCTTAGTTTAGCATATGATTGTTAATTGTTATACCCTGTATTTTGTTCTGGGAAGTTCGGGGGGGTGGGGGGGGTAAGGAAGGGAGGGGGGAGGGGGAAATACTTGTAAAAAATTTTTTTTCTTTTTGTAAAACTCTTTAATTAAAAAAAAAAAGACTTATGACCCAGTCCCAAAGTTCTGACGGCTGTCTCCCTTGCGGTCACACGACCGTACATCAGGTGCCCGGCAAGGGGAACACATTACGTTCCATGGGCAAGTCCCGTTTTACGCATTTTATGATTTTTTGGGGGGGGGCAAAAAGTGGCGTTTATTTCGCTTTTCAGCAAAGATGGCCAATAATGAATCAGGGGTTCGGTTAACCACCACTGAAAAATAGATCGAAAAATCAAGTTGATTGTATTGGTGACCAGCGTCACAACCGTCATGGCTTACCATCATAATGGGCTCTGTTACGGTTGTAAATCGAGGACTGCCTGTCGATTCCATCACTGGGCTTGTGGGTGACTTTCTTTACGACGTCACAACTTATTTATTTTATTGATTTATTTTATTTTATTAAATTTCTATACCGCCCTTCTCCCGAAGGACTCAGGGCGGTGAACAGCCACAAGATAAAACACATAAAATACAAAAATTTAAAATAGATTAAAAACGAATTAAATAATTTGGCTGAATTTAAAATACCCCATAGTTTAAAACAAATTAAAATTTATATTTAAAATTTATATTTAAAAGGGGAGAAGATTTATGACCATATGACCATAAATAGGCAGGCTCCATGATAAGTTGAGGACTACGTATACGCTACGTTATTCTATTCTATTTCATATTCTATCCTATTATTCAGTGGTGAAATGTAAAATTCGTTACTACTGGTTGTGTGAGTGTGGCTTGCGGGGGTAATATGACTGAGTGGGCTTGGCCAACTTTTTTTTTTATTACTTTTAAAACCATTTTTTCTACAACCTCTTCACGAAGAGGTTGTAAAAAAATGCTTTTAAAAGCCTCTGACGATCCCAGCCAAGCCGTGCGATCATCAGAGGCTTTTGTGTTTTACTTTTAAAAGCATTTTTTCGGCAAAAGAGATTGTAGAAAAAATGCTTTTAAAAATTAAAAAAAAAGCCATGGGGGGTGGGGCAGGGATTTTTGCTATCGATTCTCCAAACCACGCACCTCCATCGCTACCGGATTGGGTGATCCGGTCCGAACCGGGAGCATTTCACCCCTGCTATTATTATACTATTCTATTGTAATATTTTCATACAGATCATCCTCAACATATGGCCACGAGAGAGGCCCGAATTTCCGTTGCTAAATGTGACATTGTTAAGTGAGTTCTGCCCTGTTTTACGACCTGTTAAGTGAATCTCTGTGGGTGTTAAGTTAGTTGCAGAGTCGTTAAGCGAATCTGGCTTCCCCATTGACTTTGCTCATCAGAAGGGTTGCAAAAAGGGGATCACGTGACTCCGGGACACTGCGACCGTCATAACTGTGAGTCGGTTGCCAAGCATCTGAATTCTGATCACGTGACCACGGGGATGGTGCGAGGGTGGAAAACAGTCCTAAGACACTGTAGTGCCATTGTAACTTTGAATGGTCGCTAAACAAATCGTTATACGTGAAGGACTACCTGCACCGTCATTGTGGTATTGCTATGATAGATTCCCTGATCTATCTTCTTTGTCGTTTAATGACCTCCATAAACTCTTGCAGGGTGGAGTCTGGGCAACTGAACGGAGCTAGCAGAGTGTTTTTTACTGGCCGGATGCCTTTCCTATCACCAATGCGGAGTTTTATTCGGCAGATATATTCTCATTGTGCCCAGAGAGAGAAATATCTGCCTCTACCTAGGATCGAACTCCTGATTGTGAGGCGAGAGCTCCACCTCTAGGCCACCGCACCACTCTGATTCCGTAATCTATCCGGAGGCTATTTCAGTGAATAAAGGAATGAAACAGCAATGAAAAGAAGTGCAGGGACAGGGAAGACAAGAAGGGGTGAGGAACCAACGCCTCAGTGCACCTGTTTAAAGGCAATACAGGCGCCATCACCACAGGAATATTCCGGACACGGTCCAACTGTCTGATTCCTCCTGCCTGGTGGAGCCACCGGGATTTCTGTTGGGATCAGAATGAGCAACCATCAGAGCCAGCAGTACCTCCCCACCCATCATCCACTCCCCCATCACTGAACAGCATCCATTGCCTTGTGTGTTAAAATATGATAACAGACGGTTAATGGATTATCTTATCTTTGGGGTTACCTGTTGACGGCTTTTTTTTAATACAGCTAATGGATACCGGGACGATTGAATCGACAGATACATAAATTCCCACGTCTTTTTAGGTAATAACGTAGTATTTTTATCAAATATAAATGGGAAAGTGTTATCATTCCTTCTCGACCTGTTATGCGAAGGGAGGAGGAGAATGCATCAGATAGTTCTGGTGTCTTTTTATATCGCCCGATTGCGTACGATTGTGTAATTGTGCGATACGACTGGGCAATCATTATTGTGCAATTGCAGGATGCAGCAAACGGCTGTGGTTGCCAATGCTTGCCATACAGTTGTGTGACCATGGGTGTGTGTGTGTGTATCCTTACTGCCCAAACATCAAATCAACATTGTAAGTACCCTCCTGGTAGCTCCACCAGTCATAAATTGAGGGCTACCTGTACGTCAGGAACCTATTTCGATTACTTAAATCAAGTTAAATCTTCAGGAAGTGCAAAATTGGGGAGGTGATTGGAAATTTAAAGTGCCCCCTCCAGGTAGACTCAATCCTGTAGTCTCAATCCTCAGAGCCTGTAGTACAGTGGACTAAAGCACTGTAATTTAACACCAGCTGTCTGCAATTACTGTAAGTTCAAATCTCATCAGGCTCAAGGTTGACTCAGCCTTCCATCCTTTCAAAGGTGGGTAAATTGAGGACCCAGTTTGTGGGGGCAATAAGCTGACTTTGTATAAATATACAAAAGGATGAAGGCTATTGCTTAACGCATTGTAAGCCACCCTGAGTCTCCGGAGAAGGGCAGCATATAAATTAAAGCAAAAAAAAAACAAAAACAAAAAACCCTTCCTGGCGTCCCATCACGATTTTGCACCCTTTCCCCAAAATCGACTCGGCTGCACACTCCTCCCTTCCTTACCGCAGGCGAGCTCGTCTTCTCCCTGGGAGCAGTCGGGCGAACTGTCACACACCCGTGTTACGTTGATGCACATCCGGTCGTTGCAGATGAAGAACCCGGGGCAAGGGGGGATCTGCGTGGAGCCTGCCTCCAAGAGAAAGAAGAGTCGTCATCTCAAGGGCCCAGGGGAGGGGTGGGGGAGTGGCGGTGATCATTAGGGAGAGTCTTTGTCTGAGGGAGACCACTGTTCCTCAGATAGCCGGATGTGAGTCTCTTTGTGTGAAGTGGGGCCGTGCGGTGCAGATGGGTTTGCTGACTACGTACCTGGCTCCCTGCCACGTGGCAGCGACCCTGCCCGAGCTACTCGACGTCATTGCCGGGGTGGCGGTCGATACCCCCAGACTTATTGTCATGGGGGATTTCAACCTCCCATCCGCAGGTGAGGCGTCAGAGGTGGCTCGGGAGTTCATGGCTTCCATGACGGCCTTGGACCTGACCCAGTTAGTTCAAGGCCCCACTCACATAGGGGGACACACTCTGGACCTGATTTTTATCTCTGGTCAGTGGTTGAATGATCTTGGTAGAGGGGACCTAGATATTAAACCCTTGTCATGGACAGATCATTCACTCCTTCAACTAGACTTTCCTACCACCTGCCCCCACCGCAGGGAGACGGAACCGACCAGATGGTTCCGTCCCAGGCGCCTGATGGATCCCGAAAGGTTCCTGACGGAGCTTGGGCCGTTTCCTGAGACTCTAACACACGACTCGACTGAAGAGCTGGTGGCCGCCTGGGAAAGGGCGGCCGCTGGAGCTTTGGACCGCGTCGTGCCTTTGCGGCCTCTGACCCGATGCCGATCTCAATTAGCTCCTTGGTTCTCTGAGGAGCTGAGAGAGATGAAGCGTCGGAAAAGACGCCTAGACAGCATTTGGAGGACTAGTCAATCCGACTCCGACCGGACACAGGTGAGGTCTTATATCAAGACCTACCTAGTGGCGATAAAAGCGGCAAAATCTAACCATTTTTCGGCTCTTATCGCATCTTCAGAGAACCGCCCAGCCGCCCTGTTTAGGGTGACCCACTCCCTTCTTCGGGGGGGAGTGCGGGAAGATCCCTTGCAGGGTCGTGCTGAGGATTTTGTGCAATTCCTGCACGATAAAGTCGCTCGGATTCGGGATGGCTTGGACTCCGATTGGATGAGTCCACGGGAGGAGACCGGGGCAGGTCTTGAGAATGTTATCTGGGAGGAGTTTGAGCCTGTGGCTCCCGAGGATGTGGAAAGGGTCCTGGGTAAGATTAGTGCCGCCACGTGTTTATTGGACCCGTGTCCCTCCTGGTTGGTGCTGGCCTCCCGGGAGGTTACACGAGGCTGGCTCCAGGGGATTATAGGTGCTTCTCTGGGTGAGGGTGCCTTTCCTGCCACCTTGAAAGAGGCGGTAGTGAGGCCCCTCCTCAAGAAACCTTCCCTGGACCCGGCTGAATTAGCCAACTATCGTCCAGTCTCCAACCTTCGTTTTGTGGCGAAGGTTGTTGAGAGCGTGGTGGCACGACAACTTCCCCGGCACCTGGATGAAGCTATCTATCTAGACCCGTACCAGTCGGGCTTCAGGCGGGGGTACAGCACAGAAACGGCATTGGTCGCGTTGGTGGATGATCTCTGGAGGGCTCGGGACAGGGGTTGTTCCTCTGTCCTAGTCCTATTAGATCTCTCAGCAGCTTTTGATACCATCGACCATGGTATCATGCTGCAGCGGTTGAGGGGGTTAGGAATAGGGGGCACCGTTTTGCGGTGGTTCTCCTCCTTCCTCTCCGACCGCTCGCAGTTTGTGTTGGCAGGGGGACAGAGGTCGACCTCGAGGCGTCTCACATGGGGAGTGCCGCAAGGGTCGGTCCTCTCGCCCCTCCTGTTCAACATTTATGTGAGCCGCTGGGTGAGATCATCCGTGGTTTTGGGGTGAAGTGTCATCTGTACGCTGACGATACTCAGCTGTACATCTCCACCCCAGACCACCCCAACGATGCCCTTGATGTGATGTCCCGCTGCCTGGAGGCCGTGCGGGTCTGGATGGGGAGAAACGGGCTCAGGCTCAACCCCTCCAAGACTGAGTGGCTGTGGCTTCCGGCGCCCCGATATAGTCAGCAGGTGCCATCGCTGACTATTGGGGGTGAATTTTTGCCCCCCACAGAGAGGGTTCGCAATCTGGGTGTCCTCCTGGACGCACGGCTGTCTTTAGAAGAGCACATGACGGCCGTGGCCAGGGGGGGCCTTTTATCAGGTTCGCCTGATTCGCCAGTTGCAGCCCTTTCTGGACCGGGACGCCTTGCGCACGGTCACTCATGCCCTTGTCACCTCCCGGTTGGACTATTGTAATGCTCTCTACATGGGGCTCCCCTTGAAGAGCACTCGGAGGCTCCAGCTGGTCCAGAATGCGGCCGCGCGGGTGGTTATGGGCGCAACCCGTTATGCCCATGTGACACCCCTCCTGCGCGAGCTGCACTGGCTCCCGGTGGTCTTCCGGGTGCGATTCAAGGTGTTGGTTACCACCTTTAAAGCGCTCCATGGCTTAGGACCTGGGTACCTCCGAGACCGTCTTCTGCCACCAATAGCCTCCCACCGACCAGTTCGTTCCCACAGAGAGGGCCTCCTCAGGGTGCCATCAGCCAAGTTATGTCGGCTGGCGACGCCCAGGGGGAGGGCCTTCTCTGTGGGAGCCCCAGCCCTGTGGAATGAACTGCCCCCGGAAATTCGTAAGATCTCCGACCTCCGGGTGTTTCGCTGCGCATTGAAGACCCTGTTGTTCCGCCAGGCCGGACTATCAACACAATAGTTTTAAATTGGGGTATTTAAATTTATTGGGGTTTTAAATTTGAGCCACTTATTTAATTATTTTAAATTTTATATCATTGTCTTGTCTGTGTTTTTAAATAGGCTGTACACCGCCCTGAGTCCTTCGGGAGAAGGGCGGTATAGAAATAAAATTATTATTATTATCTTCATCATCGTCGTCGTGTTTTTCCTGCAGGTGCAGGGTCCGCTTTTCGGATCGACGAACACCATTTTGTACGATCAAATACAGAAGTTCTACGACAACTCACCCCGGCCGACTCACCTCAGTCAACTCACCGCAGGATAACTTGCTGCGACCAACTTGGCAAAAGGGACAAATCGTCACGGGACACTTCGACGTGGGATAACTCAAGAGGGGGACAATGGAATTGCAGCAGGCCTTGTTTTGCTTTAGGTTTGAACCTTCTCAAGTTAGCAGTCCTCAAGGCTGGGCTGAGCTGCAATTCACTTGTTCCTCTCTAGAGTTATCCCGCGTTGAACTTTCTCGCAGCGAGTTGTCTGCGGACAGTCGGCTGGGAAAAGTCAGCCAGGAAGAGTTGGCCGGGGGGTGAATTATGCCATTCTGCAAATGCAGCGTCTGAGTCCAAGTAGCTATTTTTTATGTCCACATTTATTGTGTCTTGACATTTTTGCTTGGCTCTTCCTTAGTTGGGCGTGAGTAAGAAAATGACCCTAGAGCAGATCTGGCCCACGATATGGTTGGATCCGGCCCGTGGGGCCGTCCTGGGAAATGTAAGTGGCTGGCCCGCATCGCTTCGGCCCAGTCTACCCAATGCAAAGAGGGAACATGCCAGCAGTTTGGGGAGTGGCATCAAGCTGGCCACGCCCACCCAGCTGGCCACACCTACCCAGTCAGCCAGCCCCAGTGACTGGGGTCAAACTGGCCACGCCCATCCAGTCGGCAACGTCTGCCCAGTCCCCCCGAGGTCAACCACAACCCTGATGCAGCCCTCAATGAAATTGAGTTTGACACCCCTGCCCTAGAGAAATGGAGGAACAATGGGTCAAGGGTGCACCCGGGAGAAGACACTCCTCACCGCAGGTGTCAATGCTCTCATCGGACTGGTCCTGGCAGTGTGGGACGCCATCGCAGAGCTGCTGGTAGTGGATGCACTCTGCCCCGTGGGCGCAAGGGAACTGGTCCAGTTCGCACGTGCGGTTGCAGTGAAGCTCGTCGCTGCCGTCCAGGCAATCCGCTTCGTTGTCGCACACCCAGCCCCGCGGCTGGCACTCTCCGCTGTGGCAGTGGAACTCGTATCGCCCGCAGGGTGGCCCTGTGCGGACGGGAAGGGCAGAAGATCAGATCTCCTTCACCACCGTGTTACTGATGTTAAGAACTGCTGTGGTTCAGCAGGGTAAGAAAAGTCATAAAACGGGACAGAACACACTTAACAACAGAGATTTGGGGCTCAATTGTAGTCTACCTGTATCAGGTAAATTGATCGATGGCTTAAAGGCTGGGTGGGTGGTGACAGCTCCTAATCCAGAAGATCACATACCACACAAGGTCTGACGATCCTCAGATCCCTTGAGATGGCTTACCCAGGGTCCTGTTGATGACAGGCTGACGGGTTCCAGGAAAAGCTGGCGGAACGGTGGGCACAAGAGGGGTGGCCTGTATCCCTGGACACCGAGATGGGTCCTCATCGGTACCATCCTCACAGTCGCGTACCCCGTCACACATCTGCGTATGGCTCACGCAAGTGGCATTTGGACAAGCTAGCTGGCCCGGAGCACACGTTACCGGACCTATAATAAGATGTGGAATTCGTTTCTAGGTTGTGGGCTGAAGCAGGAGGAAGGGGGAAAGAGGGGATGGTTTGGTGGGAGGGGCAAGTGGGTGTGCGCGTGCATGTGCATGCACACCCGTGATGTAAATAGCAACGCTCGCGCAAGCGGAGCCACGATCTCCTGCGATGAGACTCGTGTGAGTTGGGCTGCGGTCACCCGGGACGAGGCTCGCGCAAGTGGGGCCACGGGTGCTTGCGATGAGAATAGCGGGAGTGGGGCCATGGGCACCTGGGATGAGGCTTGCACGAGTGGGGTCCTGCGTGCACGTGGAGGCGTGCGCACCGGCTGGCCATTCACATGGGCCAGGGGTGATTACCCTGCAGCCTGGTAGTGGGCTGCAACCCACAGGTTGGGGACTGCTGGGCTAGATGACTTATCTAGAATTATCTAACGCTTGACATAACTTATTGATGGACAAAGAATCAAATTAGATTAGCTCTGGTTCTTCATCTGTCCTGGTGGATCCTGGATCTCTCTCAGACCACTGTCTACTCCACCTCCTGGGTATTGATCACCCAACTGGCTTACATGCCTAAAGTGGGACTAGAACTCACAGCCCCCTGGGGATTGGCTCTAAATCACCTAGTCGGCTTCCGTGCTGAGGCAGGACTAAAACTCCCGTTCACTTGATCATTGGTCCAAGGTCTCCCAGCTATCTTTCATGCTTAAAATGGGACTAGAACTCACCGTGGTAATTGTCTTAAAGTCACCCAGCTGATTTACATGCCTAAAGTGGGACTAGAATTCACGTTCTCCTGGTGATTGGCCCAAAATCTCCCAGCTATCTTTTATGCCTGGCAGGACTAGAACTCACACTCTCCTAGTTTCCAGGGAGCACCTTATCCACTACACCTATTCCACCTCCTGGTCATTGGCCCAAAGTCACCTAGTTGGCTTTTGTGCTGAGGTGGGACTAGAACTCCCCCTCTCCTGATGATTGGCCCAAAGATACCCAGCTGGCTTTCCTGTCTAAGGCAGGACTAGAACTCCCAATCAGTTTTCATGCCTTAGGTGGGACTAGAACTCACAGTCCCCTGGTTTCTAGGCAGTACCTTACCCACTACACCGAGCTGGATCCTTAATTAATAAATTAATCACGCATACTAACAGAGGGATATACCCACCTAGGCAGAAAGCCTCATCCATGCCAGAGCGACAGTCCTGCTGGCCGTTGCAAACCAGAAGTTTTGGAAGGCACTGGCCACTTGGGCACTGGAACTCCCCAGGAGGGCAGTCGCAGTCGCGTTCATCGCTAAAATCGCCGCAGTCGTCATGCCCGTCGCAGCGGTGCAGGTATGGCAAGCAGCGCCCGGCCGCACAACGGAACTCGCTCAGGCTGCAGGCTGGTCCACAATCTGAGACAGGGGTGAGGAGAGAGGATATGTTTTTTGGGGGGCTGGGCTAGCAAAATCGGGTGGGTTCCTTGCATTTTTTAATTCGTTCGGATTAGTTTGAATAAAAGAACAGGAGGCTGTGAGTTCGATCCTAGGTAGAAGCAGATATTTCTCTCTCTGGGCACACCGAGAACGTATCTGCTGAACAGAACTCCGCACTGGCAACAGGAAGGGCATCCGGCCATTCAAACACTCTGCTAGCTCCATTCAGTTGCCCGGACTCCACCTCGCAAGGGATTATGGGGTCGTTAAAAGAAGAGGATGATGACGACTTTGAATAAAAGAATGCCCGATTTTCACGATGGTCACATTTGTTTCCTGTGGAAGGGTGGTCCCTCCTCCTTCCTCCCCCTTTCCACCAAGGGTCAGCCCGAGTCTTCCCTCAGGATTGCATCTTCCATATTAGTTGCCTTATCTCCATCGTCTCCCGCTCGAATCCAGAGATACAACGAGATACGGGGAATCCTCGCCTTACAACCACTGCTAAACCCACAGTTTCCATTGGTAAGTGAGACGGTGGTTCGAGGAGTTTTGCCCCGTTTTGGGATCAGAGCGGTTAAGCCAATCCCTGCCTCGGTTAAGTGAGTCATTATGTGAATCTGGATTTCCCCTTGTCTCTGCTCCTCAGAGGATCGTATAACACTGGAACCAGATTTGTAAATGACGAGTCTGTTGCCGAGCGTCCGCATTTGGGTTACCTGACCAGGGGGATGCTACGACGGTCGCTAAGTGTGAAAAACAGTTGTAAGTCATTTTTTTTCAGTGCCGTTGTAACTTGGAATGGTCACGAAACACGTTGTAAGGCAAGGATTACCTGCACAATGCCGGAATCCAGGAAGGCCAACAAAAATGGGAATGGAAGTTCCAGAGCCTTTCTTCAAGGGCCCGGGGCCCCTTCGGGCAGACAGGAGACACCGAGGGCTACCGTGGATGTGGCTTCCTCTTTCCCTGCCTGCTTTGGCCCTCTTCCTCCTGGCAGCCCTTCCAGACTCGATCAGGACAGAGCTGGAAGGGAGCTTGGAGGTCTTCTAGTCCGGCCCCCTGCTCAAACAGGAGACCCTGTGCCATTCCAGACAAGTGACTGTCCAATCTCTTCTTAAACACCTCCAGTGATGGACCACCCACAACTTCTGGTGGCAAGCAGTTCCATTGGTTAATTGTCCTAACTGTTGGAAGGGAGGGAGGAAAGGGAAGGAAGAAAGGAAGAGAGGGAGGGAGGGAGAGAGGAAGGAAGGAAGAATGGAGAGACGGAGGAAGGAAAGGAGGGAGTCAGAGAGAGAAGGGAGGGAAGAAGGAAGGAATGAAAGAAAGGAGGGAGAGAGGGAGGGAAGCCCTTCCTTTCTTCTTTCCTCTCTCTTTCTCCTGTCTTCCTGTCTTACAGAAATTCATACAGCTGGAAGGGACCTTGGAGGTCTTCTAGTCCAACCTCCAGACCAAATACCATTTGAGACAACTGGCTGTCCAATCTCTTCTTGAAAATTTCCAGTGATGAAGCACCCACAACTTCTGGGGGCGAGCCGTTCCACTGGTTAATTTCCTCACTGTTAGGAAGTTTCTCTTTAATTCCAGGTTGCTTCTCTCCTCGATTAGTTTCTATCCATTATTTCTGGTCTTGCCTTCTGGGATTTTGGAAAATAAGTGGACCCCCTCTTCTTTATGGCAGCCCCCCAAATACTGGAATGCTACTGTCATGTCCTTATTTTCTCTAGGCTGGCCAAACCCCAGAGACCCCCAGCGCAAGCTCACCTGCCTCGTCTGAGGGATCAGCAAACCCACAATCCAGCTCCCCGTCACAGCGGTCCTGGCGAGCGATGCAGCGTCCGTTGTCGCACCGGAACTCCTGCGGCGAGCATCCGGGTGAGGGGCAGTCCTTTTCATCCGAGCGGTCGGCACAGTCTGCGGTGCCATCACAGCGGTACCCCCAGGGGATGCACTGCCCATCGGCACACCGGTACTGGTCTGGAGTGCAGCTCGAGGGGCAGAATTCGTCCGAACCATCCCGACAATCGTCTTCATTGTCACAAATCCAGGCCTTCGGGATGCACCGCCCGCCCATGTGGCAAGCAAATTCTGATTCGGCGCAGCGGGAGGGGGCACGGCAAGTCTCCAGTGGGGCGGAACATTGCCATAGGCCTGCCTCACATGAGCTGGAGGGGAGACAGAGCATCATTGTCGTTTGTCGTTTGTCGTTTATTAGATTTGTATACCGCCCTACTCCCGAAGGACTCAGGGCGGTGAACAGCCATGAAATAAAACATATCAATACAAAATTTAAAATAGAAATAAAACAAGTTAGATAAATTTGGCTGAACCATATTTAAAACCCCAATAATTTAAAACCAAATTTAAAATTCCCATTTAAAAGAGGAGAAGTTTAGGTCAGGCTGGCTTGCTGGAATAGGAACGTCTTCAGCGTGCGACGGAAGGTACGCAGATCCGGAATCCTCCGTATCTCGGGGGGGGAGCTCGTTCCAGATAGTAGGTGCCCCCACAGAGAAGGCTCTCCCCCTGGGGGCCGCCAGTCGACATTGTTTGGCCGACGGCACCCGGAGGAGCCCCTCTCTATGGGAGCGTACTGGTCGGTGGGAGGCTATTGGTGGTAGCAGGCGGTCCCGTAGATAACCAGGTCCTAAGCCATGGAGCGCTCTAAAGGTGGTAACCAGAACCTTGAAGCGCACTCGGAAGACCACCGGGAGCCAGTGCAGCTCGCGCAGGAGAGGCGTTACATGGGAGCGCCACGTCGCTCCCATCACCACCCGCGCGGCCGCACTCTGCGCCAGTTGGAGCCTCCGAGTGCTCCTCAAGGGGAGCCCCATGTAGAGAGCGTTACAATAGTCCAGACGGGAGGTGACGAGGGCATGAGTGACCGTGCGTAACGGTCATTGAATTGAGGAGGAGGTACGACTAGCATGGAGGGGGAGGGGGGCTTTTCACCCAAGCTGCGACCATCAGGACCTTGAGGGTTCCATCTTTCATCTTGGGATCCCAAATGTGAAAGTCACATCCATAATCCCCAGCCATCACTTCTGGGTGTCTCAAGCTGGCGCGTGGTACCTGTTCCTATGCTCCACGTCCCACCTGATTCTACCTTTTGGCTGTGCTTAGGAGTATTGCCTGGCGAATGAGAACGCAAGACACGTTGAAGACGTGCCACATGGGCCTTTATGTCCCAGCCGAAAATGTGGCACCCAAAATTGATTTCTCGTATTCAAAAGAAGTTTGTAGGAGAGAATTTTAACGATCGACGGCTGCGTAGAAGCGGTGGTCATGGCTGCCCTCGGCCTCCTTTCTTAAGTTATCAGGAAGTTGACCAAACATTTAATTCTTGAGCAAAATAAGGGAGTCCAAAGGATGGAGTTTGGCTGGCTCCAGAGGCCATCACTGTCACGATAGCCTTCTGATTGGTCAACTTGCTTTCCCAAAGGGGGAGAACAAGGTCTGGTTGGTTTCCCCCACCCCGCGTACAAGGGGTACACAGAATGACCAAACATGAAGGTGTTTCTGAACACAGCAAGGGGACCTCAGTGGAATCTAGGGCTGTGTATCAGATCAGGATACCCCCCACCCCTTTTTGCCTCTCCAGAAGGAAATCTGATTTAATGGTATGTGTGAATGAGTGGGGAAGAGACGGAGGAAACAATCAGATAAGGGAAGGTATAGCCTGCAGCTGTCCAATGGGCAGATGAAGAAATTCAGAAAGCTCTGCCTTCAAATCCCCCTCTGGCAGTCCCAGAGGGAGAGGACGGAGGGCCACAGTCTGGGAGGAATGCAGTTAAGCACCCCCTCCTCCGTGACGAGTGACCTTCCCCCAGCAACTCCATAGCTTACCAGTTCCTGCACTCTTGCATCACCAGTGCTCCCAGTGGGAACAGGGTGCCTTCCCAGAAGCAAGGGCATTCTGACGGATCAATGCAGCGTCCGCCTGGCAAGGGAGACAAAAAATGGAGGTTGAGGGCAGAGCGGTGGGGGATGTCCACCTGCATCAAAGGAGCATCGTAGGGAGAGGGACTTCCCTCCTGAAGAGGACTTCTCGGTCAAGGACTGTCTTGCTTGTCTTCTGTGGATCTGGCCAGAAGGTTTACAAGACATAGCTAAGGTTTACAAGACATTGACTGCAGGCTAAGCTTCCCACAACCGTCCCCTTCACTCTCTCTCCCTGTCTCTTTCTCTCCCTCCCTCTCTCTCTTTCCCCCTCTCTCTCTGTGAGTCCTGTCCCAGCTTGAACCTCTAAGCAAGAATGATCTTTCACTCGGTCGAGAAAGGCATCGTTTCCTAGAAGTCAAGTGGGTCACAGTAGTGCAAATCCAGAGCTGAAATTTGCATGCCAAATTCCCCAAGTGAAACTGCCCCCCTCTAAGTCACTTCCCATTGCCTTCAGGTCATCCCCTTCCCCCCAATCATCCAATCATATTCATAGAGGACGGTTTTGGGACGGTTACCTGAAGCGTGGGACAATGCAGCTACAATCCGTTCTCAGATGTCTAGCCTTGAAGCCGTGTTTCAGGAAGGCACACTGAAGTGTTTCATTTCCCCCCGTCCCATCCAGCTCCCCACAGAGTTCGTGGCAGACTGGCACTGAGCAGTGACTCTGTGTGTGTGTGTGTGTGTGTGTGTTGTGTGTGTGTTGCGTGTGTGTGTTCAATCCACTCACCCAGCCTTCATTGGGCTGTAAGATCCCATTGCTTTGACTTCTGGGAATAACACCATCCCCAACCTATCTTCTCCATCTTCCCTGCCACCATCCCAAGGAAGGCCTTCCATACCCCCATTTCCTCCTCTTCCCTAGTTTCCCCTGGCTCTGTCCACAGGCACCAGGCAGCTCCGCCCTCCCCTTTACCCCAAGGCTGCTGCCCCTCTCTTATCTCACCATGCAACACTTTGCCTTCTGGACAGAAGCACCCCTCCACACAGGAGGCGGTCTCCATGGGGCAGTGCTCGGTGAGCTCCAGGCCGAAGTTCTGGCAGGTCGGCGGACAGGCGGGGCCGCAGGGGTCGTACTCCATCCCGTGGTCACACTGTAGAGCTGAGCAAGTGGAGGAGAGGGTAGGTAGAAGGGCAAAGCCTAGATCTGGGAGAGGGCCTCCCTTCAGCCAGGAGGCTCATTCTCCAGATTTTCCTCATCCCCAACCCAAAGGAATGCCAGATTTGCTGGAACGTAGCCTGGATAGAGGGAGGGGCTGCCTTCCAGAGGACCAAGAGAGAGCAAAACTTAGATAGTTTTGGTTGGACTCGTGCTGGAGCCCATCTTCGGGGAACGCCCCTCTCCAGATTGTGTGACGGTTCTCAGTCCTGCGATGCAGCTGGTGCCATGCCATGTCATGTGCATATCCATGCTGCAAAGTCGCAGGGATGACCGCACAACGCCGAGTGATGCGCTTGCGGCCTGCCACAGAGGCAGCGTTCCTTCCTCCCGAGCATGGGAGCAAGGGGAGGAGTGGAGACCAGAACCAGGGACCTCGGAGAAACCGGTTTCATGAACAGCTGACCAGGGATGGACCCTGGACCAGTCAAGACCAGGCAGCAAGAGCTGATTTGACAGAGGGACTCCTTCAGGGAGGGGAGGGGGGTCTATGACAATTCACCACCGCCAATTTGCTGTGGCCAATTCGCCACAGGACAACTAGCCACCTGTCAGGGTTCCAAGGAACACCCCCAACCAAGTAAGACTCCCACTTTCCCACAGCATTAAGTGTGGCAGCCCTGAAGATCCAAAAGAAAAGATGACCTCCTGGGCTGACACCACGGCCAACTTGCCGCGGGACAAGAGTGACACTAATATCAAAGAAATGGTGGAATAGAATCATTAAAGAAAGGAGGGACAGGAGGGTGAAATGTGAAGGATAAAAATTTAGAACAATTCTTTCTCTATTCGAAATCATGAAATTGATCCGTTGACCCGCGGCGAATTATCCCGCATTGAGTGAACTGTGGCGAGTTGGTGGCACTGAGTTGGCTGCGGCGAGTTGCCCATGGTGAGTTATCCCATTCTGTTCAGGGAGATGGAGCAAGAAGGATTTTTTGCTTGCTGGGCTCTTTTGGTCAGTCAGGGTAGTCCTCTGAGCTTCTGGCCTTCCCTAGACCCACCCCAGAGAAAGTCTCCTCCTTTCCAGCCTCCTCCAAAGCTTACGGCACAGTTCCTGGCTTCTCCAGCGTATGGAGACTCCTTGTTGGATGCATTCCTCGGCGTAAGTTGCAATAGCCGTACAGAGGCATTCACAGTCCCCTCCAGAGTCACACCTGAACGAAGAGGAGAGAGAAAGGGGATCAGATCAGCAGGGAGGGCGGCAGAAAGTTCCCACACACACCCTGCTGTGTCACCAAGCCATTTATTCATTGGGCGGGGCCCAGCAAGACACAGCACAGTGCACAAAATTCAGTGGAACAGCTTATAAAATGTGCATGGAAATATAAAACCCCAGAGCAGTGAATTATTTTAAAAACACACAGTTCAAGCAACACATAAAATGAAGGTCTCATCACATTGAGGGGTGTGTGCCATCCCAAACCCCGGTGGCCTTGCACTCAATGGGAGAAGACCTTCACGTGGTGGTCTCTGAGCACAAATGGGAAAGCAGTTTCCTTCTCATCCATGATTAGCTGGCATGGATAGCATGTCACTTCTGTCTTGCCAAGGTGAGTGACCAGATTCAGCAGCTTCGGCAGGTAAGTTGAAGGATCCATTGGGTGGTGCACCTTTTTCTCCTGGTTTCTACTGGTTCGCTCCGGTTCAGGTGAACCGGTAATGGTAGTGGCAGGAGTCTCTGCCCCCCCCGGCACATCATCACGGACGCTCTGTGCATGAGCAGGAGGTTCTGTGCATGTGCAGAAGCGCCCCACGTGAACGAAGCAAGTGCGCGCATGCACACACTTCTGATTCTGAACCGGTAGCGAAGGTAAGTGGAACCCACTACTGTTCTCCTTCAACCTGTTCTTCCTAGTAGGAGAGCTTTACCCGGGGTCCCTATCTTCCCACCGCTGCCCTCTTCAGCTGACCCTCACTCACCCGCAGGCATCGAAAACACACCACTCGTAGAACTGTTGGCAGGGCAGCTCCTCACGGCAACGGGCAAAGAGATCCTGAAGGAGGATCCCGCAGCGCTTCCGAGCCCACGTCGCACGGTGAGAATTCACCTGGGGGGTAGAGATGTGGAGTCGTGGGAACACCAATAATCTCATTTTCCAATTTGCAACCACCAAAGGTCCCCCCAGCCACCCGGGACACGCGTTCATTCAATCCTACCAGTGAGTGAGTTTTTCAGGGGTGAAATGCTACCAGTTTGGACCGGTTCAGCCGAACCTGTAGCGATGGCAGTGGGTGGTTCGGAGAACTGGTAGCGATGGCAGCGTGAAGCTCCGCCCACCTGCCCGGTCGTCGTTACCCTCTGTTTTTTACCCTCGGTGCATGAGCAGAAGGGTTTGCGCATGCACAGAGGGTCCATGCGCGCATGTGATGCGTGCGTGGCGCGTACACTTTCAAACCGGTAGGGAAGATAAGTAGACTTCACCCCTGGAGTTTTTCCCCCATCGGCGCAATCACAGGTCGTACTGTGCAGGGATGTTCAAAGTCCTCGGCGTTGACTTCAGGACACAGGAGGCTGATGCGCCAGGAGTTGCCGAAAAGGTCAGCCGTGGGCTCCACAATGCCTTGTTGACTGGAGAAGTCATTCTCCGCATCGCCGTCAAAATTCCCGCAGAGTCCTGCCACTCGGCCTTGGTACTTGGCTTCCAGTTTGATGTAGACCCGAGTGCCTGGGGAGGCAAGGACAGGATGAGGGGCTGAGGCCCAGTGTCCCATTCCAGTGCTGTGCTCACTTGATTTCAGGATACTGATTCAGGCTTAGGATCCTGAGACGAGCTACCGCAGCGTCATTTTTTTTTCAAGAACTATCAAATGTCAGCCATGAATGAGGTCCATTAAGACTTTCACAGCACGAGAGGTGAGCTTCTCACTGTTGAAACTGACTCGAATGTTCACTTATATTCTGCTTTGCTCACAACTTTTGCTCACAAGAATTGGGGGGGGATTCGAGTGCAAGGATGGGGGGGAATAGCTTCCAGGCATTGTTGGGTCTCCTCCTCAAGGACACCCAGAGCAGATCGGCTGGTTCCCAAAACAAAGTGAACAGAAGTGATTGATGGACATGATGGACTGTGGGTGGCCCGCAGGGAATGGGGAAATGAAATGTGTGTGCTTTTGCACAGGAAGCTCAGAGCTGGTTTTGCTTCTTCTGTGCCAATGCAGATTTATTTAGTAAAGTTTATATTGTTGTTGTTTGTTGTGTAATGCACCTCACCTCCGTCCCAGAGCACTGTCAAGCCCATCTGTGTGAGGAGTGCCAGAAAGAGTCCAGCTCTTTCCAAGGTCAGCCCGTTCCCACTGTAGGTCTTGGGCGGCCGCACCGAGACGCCATTCACAGTCACGTCCTTTCCTAGCACGAGCAGAGAGAGGGAAGATCAGGAAGGGCGCAAAGCTGCTGGGATACGATGGCCTCTTTACGCGCCCACGACCGTCTTACCTCGGAGCAGGTGAACGGTCATGCTGCCGATCAGCACTACCACGGACTTAGTGCAGGTGGTGCCACTGGTGCCACAGGGTACGTTCTCGGCAGTGACGGTGAAGGCACCGCTGTTCTCGCGGACCAGGACGTACTCGCAGTCCCCCAGGAAAGTGTACACCCGCCCATCAAAGGTGATGTAGTGCGGATCTCCAGTAGCTACGCAGGTCGCTGCACAGTGGTGGTGGCTGCATTCCCAGCGCTGCTTTCTGCAAATGCTGGGGAGGGAGGGAGGGAGGAAGGGAAAGAGGATTGTGAGCCCCTGGCACCTCTGCTTTGGGGGAGGACATCCCTCCCAATCTCCCACGCAGGCCTGAACAGACGTGTCCTCACCAAGTGTTGCAGTCCCTGGCGATGGTCTCGTTGGGCTGGTAGAGGTGGCCGTTGTGGTGACAGGGGCATTCCTCTGGGGACACGCAGTGCTCGTTCTGTGAGAGGAGAGAAGGGGTGAGATGGAGGGGCCGCCCTTGTCACCCTGAATAGACCCTGCTTGGCTAAGGGAGGGGAAGAGGAGGCTCCTGCAGCAAGAAAGGAAGCCATGCTCATCTGGCATGAACGCAAAGATACGACGAGGGAGAGCTCATCTGGTTCCAAAGCCGTGACGTTCAGGTGAATCTTAGCTAATGCTCTCCATGGAGTGTGCAAAGCAGGAGCAGTGCCAGTGAGTGCCACTGCTTCTATGTGGGAAGACTGACAAAGGTCCTCTCCTTCGTGTGGCTATGTGTGGCTGTGTGCGTGCGCGAATCAACAAAACCAGGCACCTCTTTTGGAGCGGTACAGGGTAATTGTCAACCTGCCACCCCAATTGTGTCCAAAATCTTTGCTGCTAAAGTGGTTGTGTGAGTGGTGAAGCGACCACAAACACTGGCTGGCAGCACAATGCCACAAATCCGAAAATCCTTAATCTCTACCAACACCGACACCAAATGGCACCAGCAGTTCACCTTCCAACGTCCCTGACCTGATGTAACCTCCTCAACACAAGACTCACTGATGACTGACCCAGCCCAAGACCCTCACTTGACACACCCACACCTGAAGTCCTTATAAACGGAAGAACGCCGGCATCCCCTAAACTGCACTGAAACAGGATGAAATGTTCGGAAACCCGCCCACAAACTCGGAGAACGAACCTTCACCCTCATCCTACACCTGAGCTGCAGACATTCACCACAAAATCCACCAGTAGACACACTGACCTACAACCAGGTTATGAACCAGGGGTGAAATGCTCCCGGTTTGGACCAGTTCAGCCAAACTGGTAGCGATGGCAACCGGTGGTTTGGAGAACCGGTAGTGATGGCGGTGCGAGGCTCCGCTCACCGGCCCGGTCATTACTTTCTGGCTTTAACCAGGAAGTAACCTGTTTTTTACCGTCTGCGCATGCACAGAGGGTCCAAGCACGCGCAGCGGTTGGGAAGGTAAGTAGATTTCACCCCTGTTATGAACCCCTCCAAACCAAAACAACCACACAGTCAACCAGAGACAGCGCCGACACTCAATCAACCCATGCAAGCCTCCCACCACCAGCAGTTCACCTCCCAATGACCCTCACCCGATGTAACTTCCCCATCACAAAAATCTCACTGATGACTCACACCTGACCCTTCACAAGACTCACCACAAGACCCTGACCTGACCCATCACAAGACCCTCACTCGACACACCCACACCTGAAGCCTTTGTAAACAGCACAACGCCAACACCCCGCTGAAGATTTTGTTGTGGTCCACCAGCAGCCTGCAGAGCTGACAGTGGAGTCGGACAGTGAGGAGGCTGGGAAGGAACATGGGCCAGTCCTGGAGTATGGGATAGGCCTGGACGAGGGCTCTGTGTCGGAGGCAGAGAGGGGGCCAGGGCCATCTGGGAGTGATACATGGACTCCAGAGTCTCCAGAGTCGGACAGCAGAGAGGCAGAGGAACAGGAGGAGCCTATTCCTAGTGCACGCATGAGAAGAGCTGCCAGAAGGCAAGAGCAGCTAAAGCAAAAGGGACGACTCGGGAGTAAGGCCAGGAGATGATTGGCCCTTCCCATAAGGCTTAAAATAGAAACAAAGGCACTTGGGGCCTTTGCAGGAAGGCAATGATGCTAACTTTGTTTCCAGTCGGCATCTCTTGTTTGTTTCTGAACTCCGTGGGGCTTTGCCAAGTAAGGCCTTTAGCATGGTGTCAAAGAAGATAAAGGTTGGTGATTATCGCAAAGGACTTTTTCCGAAGGACTTGTTTTGGAACTAATTGGGACTCAGCTGGGAATGAACGTAATTCTCAGATGTTACAATAAAATAGGTTTGTTTGGGACTAATTGTGTCTTGTAATGACTCAGTAAGTCTAGGTCACAACAGATGTTACCTAGCCTGGTAACGAAATGTTCAGAAACCTACCCACAATATCGGAGAACGCAACTTCAACCCCCACCTCCGCCCGGATCCATAAATCTCTCCCCAGCAGGACAGGTGGAGAGTCCATATTCCCAAATGGTAGGGATGGCGTTTTCGGTCTGCTCACCAGGAAGACAGTGCCAGGAGGGCACACGCAGCCATCGGAGGCGCCGTCGCAGCTGAGGTTGCTCAGGAGACTCTCGCAGGTGAGGAGACAGGCGTTTAAGGAGTAGACAAGCTCTCCAGGACAAAGGACTGCACCAGGACAGGTCTCCTCTGTGCAACTCCAGGCCCCGTTCACACAAACACTGAAACACAACGGTGAATAATGTAGACCAGGGGTATCAAACTCAATTTCATTGAGGACCGCATCAGGGCTGTGCTTGACCTCAGGGCCGGGTAGGCATGGCCAACTGGGTGGGCGTGGCTGACTGGGTGGGCATGGCCAGCTTGACGTCATTCCCCAAACTGCTGCCATGTTTCCTCTTCACACTGGGTAGACCAGGATGGCCCCATGGGCTGAATCTGGACTGCAGGCCTTGAGTTTGACACCCCTGATGTAGACTCCTGCTCTTTTGCTCCACAGATGTGGGAACCCCTTGGCCTCTTGGACCACCGCCTGTCTGTTTCCCCATCTCACCTAACTTCACCAGCTGAAGGCAGCTTCTCCAAATCTGGACAAGTCCCACTGAGCCCAGCAGAGTTGGCACCCAAGTACAGGTAGTCCTCGATTTACAATCGCAGGGTAAGTTTTGTGACCGTCAGAAGTTACAACAGCACTGGAAGTGGCTTAGAGGGGGAAAGTTTCACTTGGGGAATTTGGCGTGCAGATTTCAGTTCTGGCTTTGCACTACTGTAATCCACTTGACTTCTAGGAAATGATACCCCTCTCAAGTCATGTTCGTTTAGTGACCGTTGGAAGTTACAATGGCACTGGGAAAAGGGACTTAGGACCGTTTTTCATGCTTACGACCATGTGTCCGAATTTTGATCACGTGACTATAAGGGTCACGCACGGGGGTCATGCAGCATCCCTGTGATCACGTGATCAAAATTCAGACGCCTGGCAACCGACGCATTTTTATGACGGTTGCAGGGTCCCGAAGTCACGTGATTCCCCCGTTGCACGCTTCTGACAAGCAAAGACACTGGGGGAGCCAAAAGCACTTCATAACTATGTGGTGAATTTAACCACTGCGGTGATTCATTTAACAATGGGGGCAAGAAAGGTCGTAAAATCAGGGCAACATTCACTTAAGGAATGTCTCACTTAGCAATCTTGGGCTCCTTTGTGGGTCGCATGTCGAGGACTACCTACTGTCAGGGTTCCAAGTAATACCCCCATAGCAAACATAGCTCCGAGGGAGGTAGCGGGTATTCCTCTCAACGAATAGTTTTATTTGGATATACTATATTGGCACAGGCTGGTGAAAACCGACTCTGAATATTCCCACGGTTTTCACCTAATTAAAAATGAAAGTTTTTCCCCTTCCCCAAACAATCAGTCACATGGTCCAATCAAGGTGTCATCCGGTTGCCTGGTAACTTACTCCTCCTCTCTCTGACTAGCTGTGGAAATGTCCTTGGTTCCCAGGAGAAAATATTTTGTTTTGGCTACAAAACTCCAGCTATCTCGATTCCCTCCCTCCAGTGACAACACTGAAGCACTCAAAATGGCCATGGTCAGATTAGCTTCAGGGTTGACACCTATACTGCAGTGGTGGGTTTCAATTTTTTTTTTATTACTGGTTCTGTGGATGTGGCATGGCTTGGTGGGCATGGCTTGGTGGGCATGGCATGGTTTGATGGGCGTGGCTTGATGGGCGTGTCAGGGGAAGGATACTGTAAAATCTCCATTCCCACCCCACTCCGGGGGAAGGTTACTGCAAAATCCCCATTTCCTCCCCATCAGCTGGGACTTGGGAGGCAGAGAATAGATGGGAACGGGGCCAGTCAAAGGTGGGATTTACCAGTTCTCTGAACTACTCAAAATTTCCGCTACCGGTTCTCCAGAACTGGTCAGAACCTGCTGAAACCCACCTCTGCTATACTTCACAGGACATGATACATTAGGCTGAGCCTCCCCAACCTTTCACTCCCAAGCTATGCCCACTTGATGGTCTCCTGGGGCACCCATGTCCATCCCTCTGGTCCTCCAGAGGCCCTCAGCTTCTCAGCCACTGTCCGCCAGGATTGGCCTCTGGATAGCCGGAATGCTCCCATCCACAAGAGCGAAACTGCTGGAATCGTGTGGCAGAGACATTCAATGAAATCAACCTATCCTGTGAGAGAGACTGAGACAGGTCACAGGGTGATTTCATCAAACATCTCTTGTCACTCCGTCGAATCGTGTGATGGAGACGGCATGGGGATGTGCCGGGTGGGGCTGTGTGCAAGTATACAAGAACACCAGCGCGTGGATCGTGGCTGCAGCCCTGTTGCCGAAAAATGTTTATTCAGCTGCCTTTCTGGTGCTGAAATATTTGAGATGACAATGATGGAGGAGGAGGAGGAGGAGGAGGAGGAGGAGGAGGGGGAGGAGGAATAGAAACATAGAACTAGAAGGGACTAGGAAGTCTCCTAGTTCAATCCCCTGCCTAAAGCAGGAGATTTTGTATCATCCCAGAGAAATGGAGGGAGAGAGGAGGGGGAGGAGGAGGAAGAGGAAAAAGAGAAAGAGGAGGAGAAAAAGGAGGGGGAATAGAAACCTAGAGCTAGGAGGAGGAGAGAGAAGGGGGAGGAGGAGCAGGAGGAGGAGAAGATGAAGATGAAGACGAAGAGGAACCATCCTGCAGCTATGAAGGTAGTTTCCCTCTATCTACATGAGTAACTGCCCCGTGCCGAGAGAGAACAGACCGGTGTAAAGCAGAACTGTTGAGCTTCCTTCTGGCTCCATAGTTCTGAGATGTCTATCTCTGCTTTTGCATCCACAGGGATGTCTGTACCCTCCAGTTAACACAACTTGCTTAAAAGCTTTTCTGAAGAATCATGTCTTCCCCTCCTCAGCCCACTTCCTGGGAGTCTCCGCACAGACTGAAGCACCAGAACGGTACCTGTTACAAACCCGTGATGGTCCTTGGCCCCGCTTGCAACCTACCAGCTGTTGCAACTCCTCTGGATTTTGCTGCCGGGCAGGTGAGCCTTCTCCTGGTGCAAGCAAGGACACATGGCCGGCTGGACGCACTGCCCTTCGTGGTCCAGCACCAGGCCTTCCGGGCAGTTGCATCCAGCCACGCAGGCAGGGTGGAGGTCCTCGCAGACACCAAATTTTTCCACAGGAAGGTCGCTGCAGGTTCTTCCGCAGGGGGTGGCGCATTCTTGGTAGACCTGGCCCCCAGAGCACTGCACCGCTGTGAAGAAAGAGGGAGAGGCCATGACGTGTGGATTCCATCTTGAATATCCACTGCAGACAGGCTGGTGAGATGTCCTGTTGCAAGGGGCTGAACTGACGAGGGGGCAGGAGTGGAGGACCAAAGAGGGGTTGGTAGACTCATGCTTGGAAAAGAGACCACCAGGAAATCCCAAGGCAATATGCTCAACTGGGAATGGGGGGGAGCAGGGAGGGGGGGCACAGGGCATCAATGCTGTGGCCAAGAAGACTATTTAGATATGTTCGGGGAGGGGTCTTCCCCAGCTAAGCACAACCCAACCCAACTGACCCAACTCAACCCAATCCAACCCAATCCAACTCAACCCAACCCAACCCAACCCAACTCAACCCAACCCAACCCAACCCAACCCAACTCAACCCAATCCAACCCAACTCAACCCAACCCAACCCAACCCAAGTGACCCAATCCATGAGCGATAACTGCAAGGAGAGCAAACCCTCCCTGGTTCTCCAGACCTCCTTATGACCCTTTAAGACCTAGGACTTACAGGTGGATGGGTGGGCTTTCCACCTCTATCACCTCAACAGCAGGCCTGATGATCTGTGGAGCCTGCATGCAAATTCCGAAGCTGCCTTCTGAGGAGCTTCCAGTAGTTTGGATTCAGCTCCAGGTGATGCCATGTTGAAGGCCACCCTTGGATCAGTTTCTACCACAAGTACTGTAATATTGATTGATGGGTTGAGTTGAGATGGATTGGCTTGGTTTAGTTTGGCTTGGCTTGTGTTGTGCTGTGCTGTGCTGTGTTATGTTGGGTAGGGTTGGACTGGATTGGGTTGACTTGGGTTGGGTCAGTTGTATTGTGTTGTGTTGGATTGAATTGGGTCAGTTAGCTTGGCTTGGTTTGGCTTGGGTCAATTGGATTGGAGTGGGTTGGGTTGGGTTGGGTTGCATTGCATTGGGTTGGTAGAGTTGGGTTGGGTTGGGTTGGATTAAGTTGGGTTGGATTGGATTGGGTTCAGTTGGGTTGGGGCGAGTTGGATTGGGTTGGGTTTAGTTCAATTGGATTTATAGTCTGCCCAATTCCTAATGACCCCAGGTGATCAAGCAATCCTTAATTTCTCTGGGCACCATTTTGGATCAACATATCCCTTTTCTCGGCCAAGCACTCATGAGGAGGTCAGCCTGATCATATCTGCTCCCCTTGGTTCTCTTCCTATTCCTCATCCCCCCCACCACTTCCACTCTCCATTTTCCCAGACTGGAGGCCACTCAATGTAGGTGTAGTTGGTGGGAACTGGGCCAACCGCTCAAAGTCCAAGCCTTGGTTAGCCTCCCACAGGTTTTCCTTTTGCCCATTGACAATGTCCGCACCCCTTCCTTCCATATCGCAGGAACCCCCCAGGACACTTACGGCAGAAGCTCTGGTTCCTCCAGGCCACGAGGGCTCCCTCCTTGGCACACTGGTGGGCATAGGCAGCCAGGGCACCACAAAGACAGTCATCCTCAGCTGAACAGCTGCACACGTCCTCCAGACACATCTGGTAGAAGGGTTCCCGCTCTACTAGGTTGTGACAGAGCTGGAGAGAGGGGTGGGAAAAATTGGTGACCCTTAAAGAAGCTCCATGGGTGGTCCATCTGAGCTGATTGATGTGGTGAGGGAGCGTCGTGGTGGGCACACTCCTTGACCCAGGTACGGTCTCGAAACTGCCTTTTAAAGGGACTTCAAGACTTCACTGCTGTGTCCAAGTTAGGACACCTTAGGGCCGTGATGGCGAACCTATGGCACGCGTGCCACAGGTGGCACGCGTAGCCATATCAGTGAGCACCCCAGCTCAGCTCCAGCGCACATGCCAGCTGATTTTTGGGCCTTCTGGGCCCACCAGAAGTAGGGAAACAGGCTGTTTCCTGCCTCCGGGGGGCCTGGAGTGAGTGGGGAAGGCCCGTTTTTCTTTCTCACCGGGATCCAGATCCTCTCTATGCATCTGGGGAGGGCAAAAACAGCCTTCCCAATCCCTCCGGAGATCCTCCGGAGGCCCGAAATGGCCCGCATAGAATTATGGGTGTGGGCACACATGTGCACAAACCTCCCCCCCCTTTCTGGCACGTGATGGCAAAAAGGTTAGCCATCACTGCCTTAGGGCATATCAACTTCAGAGCTCTCAGAGAAATGGATTTCAATTCCCTAGGTGAGGAATTCTGGGAGTTGAAGTCCACGCATCGCTAAGGTTGAGAAACGCAATGCTGTGTGGATTATGCCACCTTTTTTGGTCTTCTACAGCAGGGATCCACAACACGTGAGGTGCAGCTTGGTACCGGGCTGTGGCCCATTCAGAACTGGGGCACCCAAGTGGCAGGCGCGCATGTTTATGCAGCTTCATTTGTGGGAGTGGCAGGCGGGCTTGCCTGTCACTTGTGGAAACGGAGCTGCGAGCGCTTGCACGCTCGCCTGCTGCTTGTGCAAAATCGTCCCCTATCCACCCCCACCACTACCGCTGCTGATGCTGTCGCCGGCCTGCAAAGCCGGAAAGGTTGTTCTATAGGAGTCTTCAATCTTGGCGACTTGAAGATGTTGTAAAATGGGGCAAAACCCCACGTAAGCACGTTCCCATGTAGAAATTTGAGGTTCAGTTTTGGTCCTGATTTAAGTAGAGTCTGGAGTGGCCCCCCTAAAAGGCAGTGGAAGCCCCGCCTCCTTTGCCCATAGGCCCCTCCCAACAGCACACCTGGAACAACAGCCCTCCTCTCTCACCTGGAAGGGTGCGCTGTGGACAGCCGCACAAGCTGTCTCAGCGTATTGCCGCCGTTGGGTGTAGGTGCTGCAGGAATCGAAGAGGACGTCCGCAGTGGGGGGACAGGCATGGGGGAGTTGGAACTTGTGGGCAAAAGCAGCCACGCCAGGCTCCACGTCACCCTCCGGGGTGGTAAACTCGTCCTGCTGGTTCCAGTTGTAGGTCCCACAAAGGCCTCGGACCTGGAGGAAAGCGGGCAAGAGCCGGCACAGGTGGCAATTCTCTATCGGACACCCGGAGGCCTCCCGCTCAGCCTGACGGATCTGGGGATTGGCTCTCATCCAGAAGCAGCTCAGGGTTCAGTTCTTATGGTGTGACATCATTTATTGCATGTGGCAAGCGAACAGGGAGAGAGGGAGGGAGGAAAGAAGGAAGGAAGAAGGTAGGAGGGAAGGAAGGTAGGAAGGAAGGAAAGGGAAAGGAAGGAAAGAAAAAAGGAAGGAAAGGAAGCATGGAAGGAGGAAGGAAGGAAGGAAAGAAATAAAACAGAAAGGAGGGAGAGAGGGAAGGAAGGAAAATAAAGGAAGAAGGGAAAAAGGAAAAGAGAAAGAAAGGAAAGGAAAGGAAAGAAAGAAAGAAAGAAAGGAGGGAAGTAAAGAAGGAAGGGAGGGAGGGAGAAGAAAGTGGGAAAGAGAGAAGAAAGGAAGAAAGAAAGGAGGGAGGAAGAGAGGAAGGGAGGAAAGAAAGGAAGGAGGGAGGGAGGAAGGAAGGAAAAGAAGCATGGAAATAGAAATGAAGGAAGGAAAGAAGGATGGAAAGGAGGGAGGGAGGGAAGGAAGGAAAATAAAGAAGGAAGGAAGAAGGGAAAGAGGAAAGGAGAAAGAAAGAAAGAACAAAAGGAAGAAAGGAAGGAGGGAGGGAGAGAGGGAGGGTGAGAGGGAGGAAAATAAAGAAGGAAGGAAAGGAGAGAGGGAGAAGAAAGTGGGAAGGAAGGAAGGAAGGAAAGAAAAAAAGAGAAACAGGAAGGGATTGGAATAAAGAGAAGGGCAGGTCAGGGAAGAAAGGGAGGGGGAGAGGGTGGGGAGGAATCCAGAAAGAGAAGGATGCCACTGTGCAGATTACCACCAACCCCCAGCAGGAAGGAGGCACCTGCCCCACAGCTTGCTGTGCCTAACCGCCACTCTGGCTTTAAATAAATTCCTCCCCACATCTGGGGGATCCCCCTCCTCACACCCAGCCACCCCCTCCCCAGGAGGCATAGCTGGCAGAAGCCCTCCCGCGACTCACCTTGTGGGCAAAGCTGGGCTGGAGAGTGATGTAGGCGGCGGGGAACTCCAAGCCCCAGAACAGGTGAGCCCCGAAGGCCTGGAGGAGCAGGAAGGCGGAGGAGGCACGGCGGACAGTCAGGTCAGCGTTGCCGAATGGGAGGGCGACGTCCTGGCCATTCACTGAGACGGCCCCTGGTTGGGGGGGAACAGAGAGGAACAGAGGAAGGTGACCAGGCGCCTGGCAGGGAATGACTAGGGAACATCACCAGGGCTGGAAGGGAAAGGAGGGGGAGAGCGGGGAGGACTCTCTGAGCTTAGTGGTTTACTTGCAGACACTTCACAGCCCAGCTAGGTAACAACCTCAGTGCTAGAAAGGTGCGTTGATCTCTGTTTACCTACAATTGCTCGTCTTGACACTATTCGTGGGAGTGTGATTTTTCCCGCCTTGTTTGTTTGTTTGTTTATTGATTGATTGATTGATTGATTGATTGACTGATTGATTGATTGATTTATATGCCGCCCTTCTCCGGAGACTCAGGGCAGCTTACAATGCGTTAAGCAATAGCCTTCATACTTTTGTATATACCAGCTTAGCGGTGTTCTTTTTTTTATACAAAGTCAGCTTATTGTCCCCCACAATCCGGGTCCTCATTTTACCTACCTTGGAAGGATGGAAGGCTGAGTCAACCTTGAGCCTAGTGAGATTCAAACTTGCAGTAATTGCAGGCAGCTGGTGCTACTTAACCGCACTTTAGTCTGCTGCGCCACCAAGGCTCTTTTGATTAGTATTGTTTGCTGCTCGATTGCTTGTCTGGTGTTAGTCCCTGCTTATCTGGGCTTCACTTTCTGAAGGATCCTGACCAGTGGTGTTATTCAGCCGGTTCGGACTGGTTCAGGCGAACTGGTAGGGGCGACCTTCTGCCCACCCGCCCCGACACTATGCCGTCCTATTTAGCTACGTTTTCTAAGTGTGCAAGCCGCATTTTCGATGCGCGGTGAAGCGGTGGTAAAATTATGTGAAACCCACCTCTGATCCTGACATTTCATGACCCAACTAGGGAACACCATCAGTGTTAGAAGTGAGTGGGGTTCGTGGAGAGGAGGAGGAGCAGGAGGAAGAGGAGGAGGAGCAGGAGGACTGAGGGGTTCTTGGTGCTCTCTGAGCTTCATGGCTTTCTTGCAGATATTTCATGACCCAACTAGGGAACAACATCAGTGCTAGAAGGGAGGGCAGTTTGTGGAGAGGAGGAGCAGGAGGAGGAGGAGGACTGCACGGTGGTCTTTGTTACCCACCAAAGGTAACTGGCTGGACCCTTGGTCTCACCTGAGAAGGACAGCCGGGCCGAGGTCTTCTGTACAGTGATGGTCACAGCCCGGAGACAGCTGACTGCTCCCTGGTTCCCGCATGGCTCGTTCTCCACTTGGATCTGGATTTTCCCGTTCGTAAAATCCTGCGGGAACACAGATAGTCCTCGACTTACGACTGGTCTCTAAGCGAGTCTCCAAAAGTTATAGGATGGACCCTCCAAAAGGTACTTACAACCCAGATTCAAAGAACTGATGGCTGCCCGCCCCTCCCGTGGTCACATGACCAAAATGTGCTCCCTTTTTTTTTTGGCCAGAAATCGATGTTTCTCGGGAAAAAAAAGAAACTCGTTGCAGACAACAGGTTTGCTTAATGATGGCCGCTTAACAACCTCAGCTTAAGGATCTCAGCACTCATTATAGGACTGCGGCACTCGCTTAACAACCATCAGGGGAAAAAATTTAATATCACGTGGGTGCCTTGATTTATCACCTTTCTGACTTACAGGCAGTCCTCGACTTACAATGATTCACTTAGTGACCATTCGAACAGGGGTGGTATTCATTTACCTTCGCTCCGGTTTGCAAATGTGAGTGTGCGCACCTCCTCAACACATGCGCAGAGCTTCTGCGTGTGCGCAGAGAGTCAAAAACGGGATGTGATGACTTCCCACCGCCGGCGCTACAGGATCACGCGATCCAGATAGAGCCGGCTGAATTTCACCACTGCATTCGAAGCTGCCCAGGCACCGAAAATGGGACTTGCGCCTGTTATTCACACTTACGACTGTTGTAACATCCTTGTGGTCCCATGACCAAAATTCGGAGGTCTGGCAAGTCACACATCGGTCGCCATGTCCCAGGGTCATGCAATCCCACTTTTACGACCTTCGGATGAACCAAATCAACGGGGAACCCAGGCCCCTCCCCGCCTGTCCCTCACCTGCACCAGGACGTAGTGGCAGACGCCACGGAAGGAGTAACGCTTCCCGTCGAAGGTCAGGTAATGAAGGTGTCCGTGGAGGATGCATTCCCCGGCGCACCGATCCTGAGAGCAGACCCACTGACCCGCTCGGCACGTGCTGTGGGAGCAAGCGACAGGTCTGTCTGAGTGGGGAGGGGTGTTTGGGGCGAGACCCCTGCCTTTCCCCCAAGCCAAGCCGGGCTCTGACGTTTACATTGGCGGAAATTTAAGTGTTCAGACGTCTCGTGACCCAACTAGGAAACATCACCAGTGTTAGAAGGGAGGGGGGTTTGCAGGGAGGAGGAGGAGGAGGAAGAGTAAGATTGTGGGGTCTTTGGTGCTCTCTGAGTTGGGTAGTTTCCTTCCAGACATTTTATGGCCCATCTAGGTAACATCATCAATGCTGAATGATTTGCAACTCACTTCCTTGCAGCACTGATGATGTTCCATAGTTTGGTCATGAAACGTTTGCAAGAAATCCACCAAGGACCCCTTTCCTCCCCCTCCCCCTCCTCCTCCTCCTTCTCCCTCCTACCACTGATGATGTTCCCTAGCTGGATCATGAAATGTCTGCCAGCAATCCACCAAACTCAGAGGGGTCTCGAGGACCCTACATTCCGTGGGTTCCCCCACCCCAACTTGAGGTTTGCTGCCCACCAAGTTGGCACCCACAACAGCACCATCAAGCTCAGCCCGTTTCCCCTGTGCACGTCCAGAGTTCTCACATCTCATCTCTGCCACTTTGGAGCACAAGGCATTTCCCCCCCATTTGGGCACCCAAAGCCACTCTCAGGTGACTCGGAGCCACATGTGACCTCTCCCCTCCATCTTACCACAGGTTGCAACGCTGTTGTAGGGTCTCTCCCGAGCGGAACTTCTGCCGGTGGTGAAAACAGGGACACCGGCTTTGGGGGACGCAAGACCCCTCCTCCAGATAGAGTCCCGGGACGCATTCGCAGCCGCTCACGCATTCCTGTCGGCAGAGGTCTCCGGCCACAGTGCCCACCGCTGCGCAGCTGGCCGGACAGGAGGACACACAATCCATGTAGCGTTGTCCCGGTCCACACGGCTTCTCTGTGGGAGGTGGGACCACAACCGATGGATTGAATTTGGGGAGAGCAGGAGAGCAAAGATTACAGAATCAGAGAAGGACAGAGTTGGAAGGGACCCCAGAGGTCATCCAGTCCAACCCCCTTCTCAAACAGGAGACCCTTACGGATTTTGAAGAGCTGGAAGGGACCTCAGAGGTCATCCAGTCCAACCCCCTGCTCAAGCGGGAGACCCTTACAGAATCACAAAGTTGGAAGGGATCTCCCTCTGTCCTCCCTCCTTCCCTCCCTCCCTTCCTTCCTGGTCCGTGGCCCCTTACCACAAAAACCAGCCTTTCTCCAGTTGATGAAGACCCCTCTCTGGGCGCACTCGCGGGCGTAGCTGGCAAAGGTCTCGCAGGCGGCAACGGGACCTGCCCATCGGCTGCACAACAGATACTTGCATGTGTCGTAGAAACTGTGGGGGTCCACCTGCAGGGGGTGAGGAAGGGACAAAGCTTCAGGAGTGGTGGGGAGGAAGGGAGGCAGGCTGTACAGGTCATCCTCAATTTACGACCGTTCATTTAGTGACCGTTCAAAGTTCTGACAGCAGTGTAAAAAAAGAAGCGTTTTTCACACGATCATTGTAGTGTCCCGGTGATCCAAATTCAAACGTTTGGCAACTGACTCATAGTTGTGACAGTCTCAGCGTCCCAGGGGGGTGTTACCCGATCGCCTTTCGATGACTTTCTGATGAGCAAAGTCAAGGGAGAAACCGGATTTATTTAATAACTGTGTGACGAACTTAACGACTGCGGAGATTAAAACGGGACAAAGCTCACTTCCCAAATGTTTCACTCAGCGACAGAAATTTGGGGCTCCCCCTTTTTTTTTTATCAAACCATTGATAAAATATCTCCCATATCAAATAGTATTGTTTATCTTCCTGTTCTCTTATTTCAAATGTTTTATTTTTTTTTTATTTATTTTATTTATTTATTTATTTCAAATGTCAATCTACTCATTTCAGCACAGTCCAACATTTTCATAATAATTTCTTCATCGGTAATTATCTTCTCTCCTTTCCAGTTTTTGGCAAATACAATTCTGGCCGCTGTTAAAATGTCCACAATTAAGTATTGTAGTTCTTTATTAAATGTCTCTGGTAAGATTCCTAATAAAAATATTTCTGGTTTAAAGTCAATATGTCTCTTTGTCATTTTTTCTAACCACGTATGCATTTTAATCCAAAATTTCAAAAAAATTTCCAAAAGTATGGAGATGAGATAGCGTATATGAGATGTTTAAATATTCATCTTTAGTTTAAGTAAAGAATAATTGCTATATGAGGAGATTTGGAGAATTGTAAGCACGAAAGGATCTTAACCGATTGAGATGCTGTCTATAATTGTTTGTAAGGGTGACATTTTTATGTTATCGTTGTTGTGTTTTTTTTGTGTGTTTTTTTTAAATTTTTAATCTAAAATAAAACTTTTTCAAAAAAAAAAAAAAAGAAATTTGGGGCTCCCTTGGGCTCGTAAGTGGAGGACTGCTTCGCGACCGTCGTGGGGGCAGGGGGAAACACCTGACCGGTGTGTGTGTGTTTGTGTGTGTGTGTGTTTGTGCACAACTGACTCCTCACCTGCATATGACACTGGCTGAAAGGACGAGAGAGTAACTTTTGGCAAGTAGTCTCAGCGGCCTCCTGAACATCGCCGTCCTGCACAGCGTCACAGCGGTGCGGCCCCTCCACGGCGTCTCTGCACAGGCTCTGCAGCAAGCAAAGGAAGAATGTAATTAATTGATTAATTTAATTAGAAGAGAAAAGAGGAGGGCTCTTGTTAGGGTGTGTGTAAAAAGTATTTGTTGCTTGTGCAACGAGCAGAGCAGAAACACACAGGGAAGGAGATAAACGTGCAGCTCGTGTGAGAAAAATACTGTATATACAAGATAACAAGCAGTCTCGGTGTAGGTAAAACAGTCCAAGGTCATAAACAGTAATATCAGTCCAGTAAGTATCTTCCCTTACCAAAGCAAACAGACTTTAGTAACTCTTGGTATACAGTACCATATAACAATCCAGTCTAACACCAATCAGCAGAAAGACGCAGGAAGCAACAGGAACAATCAGGAACAAGGAACGCTTCTCTGCGCTGCTTATTTATGCACTGTAGCCTAATTACAGGGTTCAGCAAACCCTGATTACGTGGCTCAGTTGTTTCTTAAAGAAACAGATATATTGCCTGACCAACAAGTTAGGAGTAAGCTACCAGCTGAACCTAACAGCTCTCCAAGACCACCAATAGAGGTGGTACTCAGCTGGTTCGGACTGGTTTGCCTGAACCGGTAGCAGAACTCACGGCCTCTGTGCCATCCTATTTAGGCATGTTTCTGAGGCCGGGGGCATGCGTGGAAGGCCTGCATGCCAGCAAACTGGCCGGGCAAATGCATGGATGCGCGCGTGCTCACATTTGCAAACGGGCAGGGAAAGTAAGTTGAATACCACTCCTGTCTCCAATCCCCGGTCCATGGAATGTCAGCAGCCGGTCCGTGCAAACCAGCGAAGCCCATCCGTGGGATGCAGGCAGCACACAAAAACGACACCACCACCCCTTCGGTCCCAGGTGAAACTTTCTGCATTGATTCCCTTAACATCTGTGGCCAGAAAGCTCATAAAATGGGACATTTAACAAATGTCTCGCTCAGCATCAGAAATGTGGGGTTCCGTTGCGGTCGTAACTCAAGGAGTACTTGGTATCAGATGCAAATGATTGCAATGCCACTGGTACCTACCAACCCGGTCTCTGGAATGCGCCACGAGTTGCCAAAGCTGGCCGCCAGCGTGACCACGTCCCCTCCCACGCGCTGGAAATCATCTGTGGGCACAGAAGGGAGAGGATGTGGGGAGGGTCCAGAGGAGAAAATCGAGAGCCATTGGGGGGCAGGGTTGGAGAAGGGAAGGGGGCTTCCTCTTTCTTTAAGACATCTTGAGCAGTTTAGGATACTGGGAAGCTCTCTGGATGTGCCCACTGCCCCAAAATTCGGCTGTAGGGAAGAGGGGGAAACAGCAGCCCAGACAAATAGAAAAGCATAACAGAATAGTAGAATAACAAAATAACAGAATAATAGAATTGCGAAATAATGGAATAATGGAATAACAGAATTGCAAATAACAGAACAGAAGAATAGTAGAATAACAAAATAGCGGGAAAACGGAATAGCAGAATAACAGAATAACGGAATTGTGGAATTGTGGAATAACAGAATAGCAGAATTACAGTATCACCAAATTGGAAGGTACCATGGAGGTCTTCTAGTCCAACCCCCTTCTCAAGCAGGAAACCCCATATAATTTCAGACAAACTCTGCTTGTCCAATCTCTTCTTAAAACCCTCTTCTTCAAAGGGGCTTCATTGTGGAGATCCTCAGGGGTCTCCCAGGGACCCCTGATTCCTCCTCATGTCCAGGCAGGACTCCATTGGACCCACTCCCCAAAGCAGCCAATGGACGCTGCTTCCATTTCTGGGTGGGGGGCTTACGTTTGAATGGGGGGAGGGTCAGGACAGAGACCAGGGGGTCCCTCGTGGTCCCATCCTCCTGGGCCTGGAATTCAGACTTTCATCTGTATTACCTGCAGGGTTGTCGTTGTAGACGCCGCACAGCCCATGGGTGGCGCCTTGCAGGGCGATCCCGACAGTGACGTGCACCGTGCTGCGTCCGTCAAATTTGACCCGGACCCCCAGGCCGCTGTCCACAAAAAGGAAGTCCCCCAGCCACCAGACGCTGATCCCTAGAGGGGGGGGGCAATCAAAGGGGAGAGATAAGCTCAGGGATGAGATTCCGCCAGTTCGGACCGGTTTTGGCGAACTGGTAGTTATGGCCAGCAGCTGGGCCCGCCCACCTGTTATCCCGTCTTATACAATCACCGTGTTTTTAATGCAGCATGCACACACGCAAAGAGCATGCACACGAGCAAAGCGAGCGTGAGTGCATGAGTGTTCACATTTTTGATTGTGGGTGAACAGGTTGTTAAATTATGTGAAGCCCACCTGTGGATAAGCTGTGGATTCGAATCATGGCAGCTGGCCCTGGACCCTTCCAGGCTCCCACAGAAGGGCATGCACGAACCCTGCAGGAGACCCCCTTTTGCTGTCCAAATCCCATTTGCAAGGGTCCCTCCCCACCCTGACTACGCCCCGCACAGTCCTCACCCTTTCGCAGGAGCGGCTCCCTCTCGGGCACCACGACGCCGTTCAGCGAGACGTTACGGCCGTGAACCGTTACCAAGTCAAGTCCGAAAAGGATGCGGAGATCCTACCAGGCAAGGAGGGCAGTGAGGTTGGGGTCTCGACTCATTCCCCTCCCCTGTTCAGGCCACCCAGATTGGGGAGGTGTTCCCCAGGAAAGCGCTCTGTGCCAACTAGTCCTCAATTTATGGCCTCAGTGGAGCCCCAAATTTCTGTTGCTAAACCAGGCATCCGTTAAGTGAGTTTATCCCATTTGAACAACTTAATCTTGCCGCCGTTCTTACGGTTGTTAAGTGAACCATCCGGTTGTTAAGCCAATCTCGCTTCCCCATTGACTTTGGTCGCAAAGGGGACCGTCATAAGTATGAACCGATTGAAAAATGGTCCCTTTTTTGTAACTTGGAACCGTTGCTAAATGAACAGTTCCTAAGTCGAGGACTACTTGTACATAACCTTCTGGAGAGTTTTGGGAGCGAACGCCAGGAACGCCACTTGTCCCGTGCAGACTTCCCCCCACTTACCCGTCGGCACTGGCCCGGCACACAGCCCCCGCTGCCGGAGGAGACGTAGACGGCCCAGGTGCCGTCGGAAGCCGCGGCCAGGGCGTAGGTGCAGTTCCCCCCGAAGCGGAAATGTTTCCCGTCGAAGGTGCGGTAATGCAAACCGTCCCAGGTGAGACAGGTGGCGAAGGGGGGATTATGGTATCTCTGTTGAGCCAGAAGCACCGAGGAGGTGGGTGGCCGGAGGAGGGACGGCAGAGGCACAGCGCCTGGGGAGGAGGCAGCCATCAGCAGGGTTGCGCCTGGTCTGGGCTTCCCGATCCCACAAAATCTGCCTTGTAATTCTAAATCTAGTCCAACCCCAGTTTAGACTGTTAAGCTCTTTGGGCCTTGCAATTCCAGGCGCTATTTCATGCTGCAGAAGTGCACCTGTCACGCCTGACTATAATTCTGCCAAATCATCATCATCATCATCATCATCATAAAAAATCTTGCAAGCAAAGGTGCATTTCCTGGGGTCTCCCTGCAGGAAAGGGGCGCTCTACCAGGAGGTATGATCATCTAGAGGTCATGTAGTCCAACCCCAGATTAGGCTGCGAAGTCCTTGGGCCTTGCGATCCTGGGGGCTTGTAGAAACTTTCCCGTTGCACCTGTCTAGAACTCCCGAAAAGCAAACTCATGAAGAGGACAGGCACCTCGGAGGTCATCTAGTCCAATCCCCTGCTCAGGCCGGAGAGAGGGGGGGGGTGCCACCAAGGAAGGAGACCACCCGTCCATTGACCAGCAGGGATCCCGCATGAGAATCCTCTCACTGGTCTCACCTGGCATCCTGGCCTCGGTGCAGCGGACGGATGTATTTCTCCCCAACCAACCCGGTGAGGGAGGGAGGGACCCGGCGCCACTCACCTTTCAGGGGCTCCCTAGAGCAGGTAAAGCAGAGCCCGGAAGTGGCATTTCGCCAACTGCGTCCCCACGAGAGGCTGCAGCATTCGGACATGCCGAAGAGCGAGAGGTTTTGCAACCTGGGCCCGTCCTGGCACTGCCCGGTGGAGAAACAGAAGCCCGCCGACGCCATTCCTGCAAAGCAGATCCCGGGATGAGGGTCACGTTCACACAACCAGACCCACACAGACCGAGTTATCTCATTTTGCAGGGGGTGCTTGACTTACGACCATTTTGAGCCCCAAATTTCCATCGCTAAGTGAGACACTGGTTAAAGTGAGCTTGGCGGGTGAGCAGAGACTGAGCCGGGCTGCTCGTATAGGAGCATTTCCCGAGTGACAGGCAGATACAGATAGTCCTCAACTTACGACCAGCATGGAGGCCCCACGTTACTGTCGCTAAGTGAGACATTGGTTAAGGGAGCTTGGAAGCTGTGCAGGGACTGAGATGGGCTGCCCATAGAGGAACATTTCCAGAGTGACGAGCAGATCTAGGTGGTCCTTGACTTATGACCAGTTTTGAGTACCAAATTTCCGGCGCTAAGCGAGACATTGGTTAAGTGAACTTTTTAGGTGAGCAGGGATTGAGCAGGGCTGCCCACAGAGGAACATTTCCAGAGTGATGCACAGATTGAGGTGGTTCTCGATTTACAACCACCATTTTGAGCTGCACATTCCAGTCACTAAGTGAGACATTGGTGAAGTGAGCTTGGTGGGAGAGCAGGGACTGAGCTGGGCTGCCCGTAGAGGAGCATCACCCAAGTGACAAGCAGATACAGGTAGTCCTCGACTTACAACCACCACAAAGGCCCCTCATTTCCATCTGTAAGCGAGATATTTAAGTGAGTTTTGCTCCATTTAATGACCTTCTCTTGCCCCGGTTGTTAAGCGAATCACTACAGTTCTTAAGTGAGTCACACAGCCATTAAAGGAACCCAACTTCTCCGTGGCCTTTGCTTGCCGCCAAAACAGATCGCCTGACTCTGCGAACGTCACAAAAATGAGTCCGTCGCTGAGCGTCCGGATTTTAGTGACCGTTTGGGGACGCCACCACAGTTGTTAAGTGTGAACCACGGTTGGCTCTTTTTGGGGGATGCCGCAACGGTGGGTAAGGATGAACCCCACGTCGCTTTTTCTTTCAGAGCCAAACGGTCACTAAGGGAACGGTCGTAAGTCCAAGGACCACCCATCCTTGCCTCTTAAACCCACCCAAAGTTCCTCACCCTCGCTGCAGTGGGGCCCTGTCCAACCGTCACAGCATGCGCGCACCGTCCGGTTCCAAGCGACGGGCCCGGGGTCCTCGTTCCTGTTGGGGAGGGGGGGGTGGTACAAAGATGGCGGAGAGATCAAACAGGCAGACATGCAACCAGGTTTTGAAACGAAGCCAGTGTAACAGAGGAGGCCGCTAGTCCCTCTCTTGTGGCGTTGAACCTCCCGCACTTTGACAGGCCCAGCTTTGAATCCAGGGTCAGTCTGGATGACCTCCAGGGGACCCTTCCAATTTTTTTTTTAAATTTAAATTTAAATTTTTCGGGGGGGAATTATACACATTTCCCGGTCGATCGAACGATAGAATCCAAAGGGGAATCAAAGGAAAAAAAGAACAGAAAACTAGGGATGGGAAGGGAAGGGGAGAAAATACGAAGTGGGACCTTGGAGATCATCTAGTAGTCCAATCCTCTGCTCAAGCAGGAGACCCTTACAGAATGACAGAGTTGGAAGGGACCTTGGAGGTCATCTAGTCCAACCCCCTTCTCAAGCAGGAGACCCTTACAGAATGACAGAGTTGGAAGGGACCTTGGAGGTCATCTAGTCCAACCCCTTCTCAAGCAGGAGACCCTTACAGAATGACAGAGTTGGAAGGGACCTTGGAGGTCATCTAGTCCAACCCCCTTCTCAAGCAGGAGACTCTTACAGAATTATAGCCGGAAGGAATTTTTGGAGGTCATCTAGTCCAACTGCCCCCCCCCCCACACTGCCTCACTTGTAAATGTAGCACAGGGTCCCCCCTGGCCCGGAGTCTCGGCGGGTCCTGTCCCGGTCGAGGTGCCAACCGGCCCTGGTGTAGTGGTAGACCTCCACGCAAGGCACCACGTTTTCCCGTCGCACGCTCACCACATCTTCTTCCCGCACCTGGACCAGTCTCTCACACCAGCGCCTGTTGGACGGAATAAAACAGTCGTGGGGTGGGGTGGGGTCTCCGGGGTAAGGGGTCTGTCTAAAAAAACCCCCCTCCCCTTCTTGCAAATTCCTCCCCATTCCTTCAACCAAAACCGGCAGTTCCCGAACTCCGAACCGCCTTGTGAAATTCCCTATATGCAACTTGCTTAGCGGTGGAAAGGAGATCACCAGGAGATCCCAAACTACCTTAGGAATCACGTCATTATCTGGGAAGGAGGCAAGGAAACTATTCCTCAGGGTTGCAACCGAGAAGGATCAGAATGTCCCCTCCTGGGAGGCTGGGCTTTGATGTCGCTTCTACTGGGACTGCTCTGTAGGGTCGGCGTTCGGATGCTTTTGTAATGACGGATTGACTCACTTGTTCTTTTCTGCCCAGAAAGATTCGACGGGACGGGAAACCCACTAACCCATCGTTCCCTGCGGAGTTGTGGAGGGGATAACAGGAAGACCTGGGTTGCCTTCTGGGCGTCCATCCTTACCCATCGTCCACTGCCAGCGTCTGCCAGATGGAAAGCCATGCCAGGATGCCCAGAAATTTCCTGGCACATGGAAAGACCGCTTGCCCCATTTCTGAGAGAAGCCCCACGGTGGGATTCGGGGCGGCCGTCCGGTCCCTGGAGGAAAAAAAAGGTTCAAAATGGACTGGCTAAGTTGCTAGTCTTCTTTGAGGTCGGTTTGGAGAAGCTGTTGCTTGGGAGAGCAAAGCCATGCCAATACACTGCAACTACAGGTAATTGAGCCCCAAAATTCTGTCGCTAACTGAAATGTTGGCGAAGTGAGTTTTGCACTGTTTTATGACTGTTCTTGCCCCAGTTGTTAAGTGAATTGCTGCAATTGTTAAGTCAGTCACAAATTGAAGCAAATTGGGGGCTTTCCCCACTGGCTTTTGCTTGTCGGGAAGTCGCGAAAACGGGATTGCATAAGCCCTAGGACACTGCGCCCGTCGTAAAGATGAGTCAATTGCCAAGCAGCTGTATTTTGATCACATGACTATGGGATGCAGCCATTTTAAGAGGCCTGGATTTCAACTCCCAGAATTCCCCAGCTGAGCTACATTTCTCAACTTTGAGAAACATTCTCAACCGGGGAATTCTGGGAGTTGAAGTCCTTTACAGTTGGGGGACCCTCTCTTAAAGTGCTCGAAACAGGCACCCTGGGGGCCGAGTCCCTCCCATCCCCAGATTCAAGCAGGAAATCTTGCTTGCCCCGCCAGCAAGCAGGAGAACAGTCCCCTCCAAAGATTTCCCCAGGCTCATCCAGAATCCGGGGTTGGACTAGAGGACCTCCGAGGTCCCTTCCATCTCTCTTATTCAGTCATTCTGTAAGGGTCTCCTGCTTGAGCAGGGGGTCAGACTGGATGACCTCAAAGGTTCTTTCCAGCTCTCTTCCAATCGATTCCCTGATGGACTGATTTGGGAAAGAAGCCCAAAGCGGAGTCCCCCTCCTTTCTCACCAACCCACCGTTTGGGGACCCTCCCTTTTATATCCCCTCTGGCTTCCCTTCCTACCTGCCGGAGGGGACGACACTCTGCATGAGCTCAGGAGCCCAGAATCCGAAGAGGAGCGACGAGGAACAACTCCGGGAGAGATTTATAACTCTTCTTGGGATTAGTTTGGGAAGCATCTGGAGGCGCTCTGATTGGAGGCTTCCAGCCCCACATAAAAAGGGAGGGTTAGTGGGGGGGGGGAATTGTCCGGCCTCTTCCCCCCTCCTCCTCCTCCACCTCAAAATCCCAAATGGATTTAATTGGATTAAAAAGATTTTATGCGATGGCCGTGAAAGTTTTTCATCTCCTGGGAAATCTTTTTGCCGTCTCAGTTTCTTGATTTTTTGGGGGGAGTCCCAGAGGATCCTGTATCCCCTTATCCGCAGGGGAGTTGCCCCCCTTCAAAAGTCCTGTTTTCCCATCCCCAAGCCCCCCCCATCCTCAACCAACCCCCCCCCCTCTAGGCGATTATTAGAAGTAGAATTTAAGATTAGGAATAAAGTAGTTGGACTTTTTAAAAAACATTTAGCCTATGGGGAGAAGGATTGGGGGTGGGAGTGGACACAATGGCCGTCTCCCGATATTTGGGGGGCTGCCCCAAAGAAGAGACGGGAGAGGCGGGTTTCCACTTATTTTCCAAAGCACCGAAGGGCAGGAAAAAGACACAACGGATGGAAACACATCAAGGAGAAAAGGAACCTGGAATTAAGGAGAAAAATTAAGGGAAGGAAGGAAGGAAGGAAGGAAGGAAGGAAGGAAGGAAGGAAGGAAGGAAGGAAGGAAGGAAGGAAGGAAATAAAAAAGAGAGAATGGGAGCGAGTGAAGGGAGGGAGGAAGGAAAAGGGAAGAATAGGAAGGAATGAGGGAGGAAGGAGGAAGGAACAGGAAGAAAAACAGGGGGGAGGGAGGGAGCGAGGAAAGAAGGAAGGAAATAGGAGAATGGGAGCGAGTGAAGGGAAGGAAGAAGGAAAAGAGAAGGAAGGAAGGAAAGAAGGAGATGAATGAGGGAGGGAGGGAGAAAGGAACAGAGGGAGGGAGGGAGGGAGAAAGGAGGTGGATGGTGAAGGAAGGAAGGAAATAAGAAATAGAGAGAATGGGAGCAAGGGAAGGGAGGGAAGAAGGAAAAGAGAAGGAAGGTAGGAAGGAAAGAAGGAGATGGATGAAGGAGGGAGGAGGGAGGAAGGAGATGGATGGGGAAAGAAGGAAGGAAATAAATAGAGAGAATGGAGCGAGTGAAGGAGGGAGGAAGGAAAGGGAAGATAGGAAGGAAGGAGATGGATGAGAGAGGAAGGAACAAAGGGAGGGAAGGAGGGAGGAAGGAGATGATGGGGAAGGAAGGAAGGAAATAAATAGAGAGAATGGGAGCGAGTGAGGAAGGGAAGAAGGAAAAAGAAGGAAGGAAGGAAAGCAGATGGATGAGGGAGGGAGGGAGGGAAGAACAAAGGGAGGGAGGGAGGAAGGAAGAGAGAGAGAGGAAATAGGCGGAAGCCCCCCAGAGGAAGAGGCTACAACAGTGGCAAGTGTGAAAAACTTTTTTCAACGCTGCTGTAACTTAGTGAATAGTCACTAAGTGAACTGTTGTAAGTCAAGCAACCCCTGCCAGTTACCCTGACCCGATCCACATATCAAAGGTTAAGGTCTGTGAACCCAAAAGTGAGTCCATTCCATTCGGTCATCCAGAGGAACAGCCTACACAACTCAGACACCCGCTATAAAACCCTTCAAGCTGCCCCCCTATCAAAATATATTGTGGTACCCCCACTTTTTTTGGCAACTGGCCCCGAAAAAAAGCAAGTTATGTAATATCTCCTTTCCTCGCAGCCATCGGGATCTCATTTTGGTTTATTTTTGGGAGACCCCCCCCATCCCATCCTGGCTCGAATCAGAGTCCCCAAATTCTTCCCCTGACAGCTTGTGGACCCCACAAAAATTTGGAGAATCAGGTTACGGGGTTCAAAGCTCTCATCCCCTGGACAAAAGATGAGATTGTAACCAGGATCTGTCTTGGCAGGACCCTAATTTGCCAAACGGCGACTCTTTTGTTCCTGGGGGGAGGATCCACCCCCCCTTTCCGGGTCTGTAGACGGACCAGGGCTAAGCCTCCCTTCCTGGACCCGGCTTATCCCTTTAAAGAATTCGGAGTCCCTGTGGGTTGTTTCGAACTCGGCATACTGTGGAAGGCCGATCAAAAGATTTGTTACGCCTCACAGGGATGGTCTGAGAACCAGAGTGGGAAAGTTCCTCATGAAGAGCTTACAATCTTCAGATGGATGGATGGATGGATGGATGGATAGATAGATATAAATAGAAAAAGATATAGATAGATAGATAGACAGACAGACAGAGATAATGATATAGATAGTAGATAGATAGATAAAGATAGACAGGTAAAATAGAAAGATAGATATAGACGGATAGACAGAAAGAGATGATATAGATAGTTAGAAAAAGATAGATAGAATGATATATAGATACTAGACAGAACTAGATAGAAAAAGATAAGAGACAGATATAGATAGAAATAGACAGATGATAGAAAGTTAGAAAAAAGATAGATAGAAAAAGAGATAGAAAAGGATTAGATAAAGATAGATAGATAGATATAGATTGATAGACAGACAGTGTGATAAATAGAAATAGAAAAAGATAGATAAAGATAGGGTAGATAGATAGATAGATAAAGATAGATATAAATAGATATCGATTGATAGACAGAGATGATAGATATAGAGTTAAGATGATAGATAGAAATAGAAAAAGATAGACAGATAATGATAGAAATAGAAAAAGAGATATAGATATATATAGATTGATAGACAGATAATGATAGAAATAGTTAGAAAAAAGAGATAGAAAAGGATTAGATAGATAGATAAAGATAGATAGATATAGATTGATAGACAGACAGTGATAGATAAAAATAGTTAGAAAAAGATAGATAAAGATAGGATAGATAGATAGATAGATAAAGATAGATATAAATAGATATCGATTGATAGACAGAGAGATATAGAGTTAAGATGATAAATACAAATAGCTAGAAAAAGATAGAGACAGATATTGATAGAAATAGATAGAAAAAGAGATATAGATATAGATAGATATAGATTGATAGATAATGATAGAAATGGTTAGAAAAAGATAGATAGAAAAAGATAGGATAGATAGATAGATAGATAGATACAGACGAAGGGAGAGAGGGGGGGGTAGAGAGAATGAGAAAGTGGGGGGGGGGGGGCCCCGGGATGGGGAGTCCTGCCTGACCTCCGAGGTCTGTTCCAACCTTCTTGATTCTGTATCCTGGAGACTGGTCCTCTCTGACGCACATTCCCAAACGTTGGGCCTCCTGCCACTGGGGGTGGGGGGAGGGAATAAAGCCCCCTGCCCAAAACTCTGGTTCCCAATGGAAGCAGAAGCAGTTGGGCCGAAGGGTTTGGTGTGGCTTTTGTTGTGGCTGTTGTGGTTCCTGCACAAAAGGCCACGGCCGGTGTGGAAGGTGAAACGGAGATAATTCTGTACACTTCTGAAGGAATTCCTTGTGTGTGCAATCACACTTGGCGAAGGAAGGAAGGAGAGAGAAAGAAAGGGAAAGAAAGAAAGAGGGAGGGGTAAAGAAGGAGGCAGGCAGGCAGCCAGGAAGGAAGGGAGGGAGGGAGGAAAGAAGGGGAGGAGAGAGAGAGGAAGGAGGGAAAGAAGGAAAAAAAAGGATGGATAAAGAAATAGAGGAAGGAAGGAGAAAGAGAAAGGAAAAGAAAGAGGGAGGGAGGGAGAGAGGCACACAGGCAGGCAGGAAGATGAAGGGAGGCAGGGACGAAAGAAGGAAAACAAAGAAGGAAGGAAAGGAGAGAGGGAGAGAAGGAAGGATGGAAAATAAAGAAGGAAGAAAGGAAAGGAGAAAGAAAGAAAGCGAAAAAAGGGAGGGAGGGAAGAAAGAAAGAAAGAAAGAAAGAAAAGAGAAAGGGAAAGGAAGGAAGAAAGAGGAAGAGGTCCTTTTGCTCTCCCTTTTGGGGGTGGGGGGCGATGGCCCCCCAGCTTGGGCAGAGGGAGGGGGTCCCGGGCTTGAGATTTGGGGAGGGGTCTCCCGTCCTCTCCCTTTTTTGGGGGGGAGGGAGATCAGATTCCCGACTCTTTCCCGGAGGGGCGTGGAAGCCCCAGCGCCGCCCCTTCCCCTCCCTTTCCCCCTTCCCCTCCCCTCCCCTCCCCTTCCCCTCTCCCCTCCCTCCCCCTAGCCCCTCCCCTCCCGGCCCCGCTGCCTTCTGGGCGCTGTAGTCCCGCGGCCTTCCGTGCGCCCAGCCGAGCCGTTTCCAAGCGGGCCCGAGCCGGGGGGCTCCCAAGGCAGCGGGTGGGGGGTCGAGCGGGGTCTTCCTGGCCCGGAGGGGCCGATCCTGCCTGGAGGGGGCGCGATTGCCCCTCCCCCACCCCCTCCCCCTCCCCGAGACCCCCGGAGGCTCCCCCCCCCTTTGGATGGTAAGGCTGGGGAGGGGAGGGGAGGGGGTCGCGCTTGCAGGAGGGGAGGGGTCGCGAAAGAGGGGAGGGGGGCAATGTAGACCCCCTGCCCCACTCCGCCCAGCCCGATCCTCCCCCCACCCCCACCCCAAAAGGAGGACCTGCGGATGGGGGGAGGGGGAGGGGAGGGACTCCTCGGTCCGGTCCAAACCGGTCCAGGGATGGGAGACCACCAGGAGATCCAAGCCCGACTTTCCGATCGGGGCTCCCTGCGGGTGGGGAGGGGGCTTCATTACAGCTGGAGGGGGGGGTTGCTCCGCGTGGGGCGCCCGCGGGCGCTTCTGGGTGGGGAGGGGGCTCTTTGGGGATTGGGGAAGGGGCTTGCTCCATTTCGGGGCGGCCGCGGGCGCTTCTGGGTGGGGGCTTATTAGGGCTGGGAGGGGGAGTTCCTGGTGGGACCCCCTCCCCTCCCTTCCACGCCTCGAAGCTGGAGGTGCCAATTAGGGGAGGGGGCGCCCTAGCGGCTTGTGGGACCCCCTCCTCTCCCCCCAGGACCCCCCCTCAAAAGGGGTGCAGCAGAGTTTGGCAGAGGAGACGCCAGAGGGGAGGGGGCTTCCCTTTTGGGAAAGCCATCCCCTTCCCTTCTAGGACCCCCAGCCCTAAGGAAAACCCACCACCACCACCACGAAGGAGACCTGTGAGACTGGAATTTGAGGGGAGGGGGTCCCACTTTGTCCATGCCCAGAGGCCTGGAAAGGGGCGGGGAGGGGTCGATCTTCGGGCAGACCCCTCCCTATCGGGCGGGAAAGGCAGGCAGAGGGCATTTGGGGAGGGGGCAATAGGCAGGAAGAGGTGTGGATTTAGGGGAGGGGGCCGTGGGAGGAAGGGGAAGGGAGGCAGGAAGTGAGGAGAAGAGGGGGGCAAAGGGAGAAGCTGTGGATTTGGGGAGGGGGCTCGTCTTGCCAGACCCCCTCCCCTTACGCCCCTCCTTTCCTGCCCCAAAATAGGAAGAAAAAGGGTCTTTGCAAGCAGCAGAAAGATTGGCTCCTCCTAGCTGCTTTTACGGTTAGTCCTCGGACTTACGACCGTTTGTTTAGTGACCGTTCCAAGTTGGACCCGCATTGGGGGGGGGAGGGAGAAAGGGACTTTTGCACCCTTCAAGTCCCCAATATTCACCAACATGTATTTACAACAGTCGTAGGGTCGCAGCGGAGTGTGTGTTTGTGTCACGCAACCGTCGTAAATACGAGTCAGTAGCCGAGCGTCAAGCCTTTTGTGACCGTCCGATGGGCTGAGTCGATGGGGTGTAAGCCCAATTCACTTAATGACCAACAACTGCAGGGATGTGTTTGAACGAAGGCAGCGCTGGGAGGTCGTACAATGGAGCAGTGTTCCGCCTGGTTTAGCGGCTAACAAGTGGGGCTTCCGTTGGCGGTCATAGGTTCGAGGACCACCCACATTCCAAAAGGGAAACCAGGTTCGCTGAATATACGCGTCGGGCTAACTTGAACTGCTGCAGTGATTCGCTTAACAGCCGAGTCGAGAAAGGTCGTAAATAGGAGTTAGAGTCCGTATGTCGCTTAGTGATGGGAAATTGGTCGTAAATCAAGGACCTCCTGCATTCAGGAAGCGAAAATACAAATTGCCAAATTAAAAAAAAACAAACAGATTGGCATATCAACCCTCCCCCTCGCTTCCGCTGTGGACCATTGGTGGGGTAGTGGCAGGCTGGCTATTGGCCTCTCTACCTGGGCAGGTGTGTTGACCATACCCCTTCCTTCCTTCCTTCCTTCCTTCCTTCCTTCCTTCCTTCCTTCCTTTCATTTCCTGCCTGTCTGACTTCCTTCTTTCCTTCCTTCCTTCCTTCTCTTTCAGCCTTCCTTCTTTTTCCCTTCCTCATTTTTCCCTTCCTTTTCCATCGTTTCTTTTTTACTTATCTCCTTACTTTCTTCTCCCAGTCTTCCTTTTTCCATTTCTTGTTTCCCTTCCTTCTTTTTCTTTTTCCCCCTCTTCTCTCTCTCTCTCCCTCCCTCCTTTCTCCCTTCCTTCTTTCTCTCACAGCATTCTTTTCCCTTTTTCATTTTTCTTCCTTCTTCCTTTTCCCCCCCATCCTTTTCCTGCTATCCCCCTCCCTCCCTCCCTCCTTCGCTTCCTTCCTTCCTTCCTTTTCCTTTCTCATTTTCCATCCTTCTTTTTCCTTTCTTTTTCACATTTTCTTTTCTTCCTATCCCTCCCTCCCCCCTCCCTCCCTTTCTTTCCCCTTTCTCATTTTTCTTCCTTCCTTTCCCATCCTTTCTTTTCCTGCTATCTCCTTCCCTCCCTCCCTCCCTCTCTTGATCGTCTGGCCACCAGGAGAAGACAAAGGTTGGGAGCATGGCCAGTCACCCTGCCTAAATTGGGGGTCTCCCCTCTCTGCCCTCTGGCTTCTCCCAAAGTGGGTAGAGGGGCACAGAGAGCAAGAAGGGGTGGTCTTGGGTGAGGGGTGGGGGTTGGGATGGGGCTAACCTAAAGGGGGGGTACACTCCAAACCCAAATTTTGTCTTGGCCTTTTGTTTTCTCCCAGGTGCCAGCGCGGGGTGGGGACCCCTCTCTCCATTTGGCGCCCGGGCACTGGTGTGGCTGGACAGGACGGGACGACGCCATGCGTGAGAATCACGCCACCGCAATCGCTCTGGGTAAGTGGGCAGCTAACCACTTTTACCGGAAGTGCCCAACCCCAATTTTTGGGGATCCCCCATCTCGAAGGCTTTGCGTCCCCCCCCCCGAGTCCTTTGTGGCCCTGCCCACTGGGGTCTTTCTCCTTTGCAGGCGCCCCGCTCACCAAACCGGAGACGGCCCCACAGGATGGGGGTCTTTTACCAGCCAAGGGGGCAGCGGAGACGCCCGATACAGGTCGGTCCCGAGATCGAATCCTGGGGTGACGGGGGATGGAGGCTGACAGACAGAAGACGAGGGGGAGAAAGGGGAAGGTCTTTTGACCCCAAAAGTCATTTTATTCCCATGCGGGTCCAGGTGCGAGTCAAGATAGGCTGGTTTAGACTAGTGGTTAAGGAACCCAGTTAGAAACCGGGAGATGGGGAGTTCTAGTTCCGCCGTAGGCATGAAAGCTGGCTGGGTGACTTTGGGGCAATTTTTGGTTTTATTTTACTACTAGCTGATAATCTTACAGGCTTTTAAAAGTATACGTACAGTATACACTTTATAATGTAAAATCATACACAAAATCACTATAAGTCTTTGGGCCCAACCCCCTGTCCATCTGGCTGCCCACGCCCACCGGTAACCACAATCCGGCGGCTGGCGTTGGGGCTGCGCATGGCCGGCTCCCGCCGTAACTGTCTGGCCTGGCACCGATCTGGCGGCAACGGTCCTCCTCACCATCCGGAATGGCCCAGCGGGTGGCACGGCTGTTATGTTCACCCCAAGGGGCGTTAGGGGTTTCTTACCCCTTCAATATTTGTTTCCAGAGAGTAAGTCATCTGAAATTGCTCCAGGCGTTCCAGAGTTATGCTGGAACATACATACACAGCCATTTTTATATTTTATTATTTTATTTTTTTTAATTTTTTTTTAAAAAAATATTATTTTATTTTATTTGAAGTTATTTTATTTTTTGATTTATTTCATTATTTTAGTTTCATTTCAATCAGTTTGATTTAATTTAAATTACTTTATTTTACCTTGTTTTATTTTTTCAAAATTGAAAAAGCTCAAGCAGGAGATCCAAGACCATTATATTTATAATTTATTAAATATGTATTATATATTTTATTATATTTAATCAAATATATATTTATATTTGATATATACTTTTATATTTATATATATTGATATTTATATTTGAAATATAAATATAATAAATATATAATATATTTATTGATAAATATATTTCTTTATAAATATATCTTGTTATTTATAAATAATATATCTATATATTTACATTTATAAATGATATATATTTATAAAGATATATTTATATTTATAAATTTATATGTATAAATGATATATACATAATTATATCATAAAATATATATTTGATTAAATATATTTTATTAATGTAAATATATATATTTACATTATATTTATTTATTTGGTTATTTTCACTTAAATTAAAATATTTCATGTTTTTACTATTGTTATTTTATTTTTATTTTGTAGTTTATTTTAGTTGTATTTTATTATTTTTGTTTAGTTTAATTTAGTATAGTTTGATTTATTATTTTATTTTACCTTATTTTATTATTTATTATTTATCATTGTACTATCTTAATTATTTATTGAGAATAATTAATTATGATTTTAATTTAACTTGAATTAAATTAAAATAATTCAATTTATTTTTTTTTCCGTTCGTTTAAATTTACTTTTATTTTTATGTTATTACTTTATTTCAATTTAATGGATTTTAATTTCTTGTTTTTTTTACTTTACTTGTTTTCATTTAATTCGGTTCAATTTAATTTAACAGAGTTGGAAGGGACCTTGTAGGTCATCTAGTCCAACCCCCGCCTCCCCCTGCCCAATTTAATTTATTCTTTTACTTTATTTTCATTTAATTCAGTTTAACTTAATTGAATTTCTTATTTTATTTCATTTGTTAGTATTTTATTTTTATTTTATTTTAATTACTTGTATCTTTATTTTACTTCCTGGGGGTAGGATCTGGTCATCCCGGTTTTGAACAGCCCATCAAGGCTGACCAGCGGCTGCAGGAAACAACAGAGAGACCCGGTGGGCCAGAAGAGCCAAAGGACCCAGCCAAGAGTTGTCCAGGTGAGGTGGCATCACACCTGAGAATCCAGGACCCACACGGCGGGAGGTCAGCTTGTTAATGCTGTGGAAGGGTGCCTCTGAGTATATGCAGGGTGCATGTATCTCACCTCAGTGGCTGTAGAAGAGCCGGAGAAGATCGGTTGGTCCCAGCCTGTTTGTGAACCTATTTCTGCCCTGGTTGGGAGATCCTCCTGCCCCCCACCCCCACCCCCAGTGCCCTCCCAAATCTCTGGGGCAGAGACGGCCATTTTGCAAGTCGCGGAACGGTTATTTGCGACCAGCTTCAATGCCGGGATTGCAGGTAATCCCTCTTTGTTACAGACCCTGCGAGGTATACTGGGCTGATCGGCCTCGCGTCCCTGCAGGACTGTCAGGAAGGTCTTAATCCCAGATTCCCCCTCCTCCCAATTCTAATCCACTCGGGCTGATTCCGTTTTGTGCTTTCTTGACTTTGAATCCTGTCTTCCGCAGGTGACTGGCTCATCCGGACGGTGAAAGTGGAAGCCGAGGACTACACGGAGTGGGCGGCCGGGTTGAGCACGGAGGCGCTGCTCTCGGGGCTGCCCCTCGCCAGCGCCTGCAAATCGGAAGGTCGCGTCCCGGGACCCGATTACAAGGACGGAGCTGGGCTGGGAGAACTTTCCGGATTGGCCCTGCAGCAGTGGCAGATGTTGAGCGAGGACAAGCCGCTGGGCTGTCCACGCTGCGAGCACCCGGCGCCACCACTCGGCGGCAGCCTCGGGGACCCACGCCCACGTCCCTTTGCCTGTCTGCAGTGCGGCAAGGCCTTTGGGAAGAAGGCACACCTGACGCGCCACGCCCGCGTCCACACCGGCGAGCGTCCTTTTGCCTGCACCCACTGCGGTCGCCGCTTCTCGCAAAAGATTCACCTGGGTTCGCATGAGCGGGTGCACACCGGGGAGCGCCCCTTTCCCTGTGACCGCTGCCCCAAGAGCTTCCGCAAGAAGACCCACCTGGTGCGCCACCAGCTGACCCACACTGGCGAGCGGCCCCATGCCTGTGCGCTCTGCCCCCGCAGCTTTGTCCACCGCCGACATCTGCTGCGCCACCAGCGGCTGCACGAAGAGGAGGTGGCCCGTGTTGGAGACCCTGCAGAGTTGGGACAAGCTGCCCCCTCGTACGGAAATGGCCTGGAGCTAGGCCTAACGGGGACTGTACCCCCGCCTGGAGAGAACCTGGCTGCCTCCGCCATCCTGGGACAGAACTGCAGGGTTCAGGGTGACCGTGCACAAGCTAGTTTCCCGTATGGGCCTGGGATGGAGCTGGGGAAGTTTCTCCCCTCCTGTGTAGGGCACACGGAGCCCGATCAGGGCTCCTTCCTCTTTAAGGCTGAGCCGGAGCTGGGTGGGGTCCCAGGTGCAGAGAGGGAGGACCGGCCCCTGGGGGAAGCCTTCCTGGATCCTGCAAGTTGTAGAGCCCTCTGCGGGGTGCAAACCGCGGAGGGTGCACCGTACTTGGAGCAGGTTGGCAAGATCGAACCAGAGGACGACGCGGGAGCCAGTCAACCACCGGAAGAGAAGCCGTTCTTGTGCTCCGATTGCGGGAAAGCCTTTGCCTGGCGGAAGAACCTGGCGTCCCACCAGCGGCTCCATGCCGAGGGCGGCCGCCCCTTCTCCTGTGCAGAGTGCGGCCGCGGTTTCAGCGATAAGCGCCACCTAACAGCACATCTGCGTGGCCACATGGGCCTCCTGCCCTATGCTTGTCCTCACTGCGAGCGTAGCTTTGCGCACCGTGCCGGGCTGGCTGCCCACCAGTGTGGGGGCCACACAGGGCAGCGCCCCTTCCCCTGCAACGAATGTGGCCGCTGCTTCGCCCACAAGCGCCACCTGCAGAGACACTGGCGCAACCAACACTCGGCTGAGCGCCCCTATGCCTGCGCGCAGTGTGGACGCGCCTTCAGCACCCGGGCCAGCCTGTTGGCGCATGTCAAATCCCACGCCGGGCAACGCCCTTTCGCCTGCCCTCTGTGTGGGCGCGCCTTCAGCCGCAAGTCGCACCTCGCCCGCCATGAGGCTGTGCATACGGGGCTGCGCCCCCATGCCTGTACCCAGTGTCCCCGCCGTTTCAGCTCCAAGACCAACCTGGTGCGTCACCAGGCGGTGCACACCGGGCTGCGCCCATACATCTGCACCCACTGCGCCCGCAGCTTCAGCCGCAAGACCCATCTCTTGCGCCACGAGCGCACCCACACAAGCACCCCGCTGCCCAGCACTGCCGGTTGGGTGACCACCTTGCCACAGAGTTCCCTGCTGCAGCCGGCTGAGCAGCGCCCTCCTCTCCTGTTACCCATGGCTTTGGAATCTCCCTGGCAGTGAGGGCCCCCTAAACCCTGCCCGCCTTGTGCCGTGGGCATCTCGTCGCTTCGGTGCCCTTCGTTCATTCCGAGCAGCTATTCGGCTACGGGGGAAACATTTTGGTGGTCCGGAAAAAAGACACAGATCCCACAAGCAAAAAATGACATTTGTGCGTCCTTGCAATTTGCAACATTGTGGACCGTAGAGCGGAGTTCCCCACCTTTTCCAACTTTGGGGACTGGCACGGCGTGGGAGTCAAGGATGGTTCTGTGTGAGTGGACAGCACGAGTAGACTGCAACCTCCTTTTCCGCAAGTCGCAGACATGAACCTCCACCGCTCTCACTGATAGTGCGCACAACCTCGCCCGCTGCTGCTGTGGCCGTTGTGAACAGATCGCAGCTCGGTAGTGCGCCGTGGCCGTTGTGTTGGGGACCCCTGCCTTAGCGCATTGAATGACCTGATTTACACCTAATTTATTCCGATGGCCAGTCTCGGACGGCCCCGTTCTCCTTCTGCCTTTCGAGGTTTCGACAGTTGTGAACGACACAATCCCGATCTCTCATAACCACGGTCGCAAAAGACATACCACGCTTTGTGAAGGGCTGCCATCCAGAGGCGGCTGACACAGAGTCGGGGGGGGGGGGAGTTTCCCGTCTGAATCTCTCTCTCTCTTTTTTTTTGCAAAACAGCCATTATCGGGATGACTTCTGGTTTTAAATAATAACGGAAACGCTGTTTTTATTTGGGGGGGGGGTTTAGAAAAATAAGAGTAGACAAATCATTTTAATAGCGTCATAAAGCAAATATAAAATACGTTTTGTAATCTTTTTTTCTTTGATGTAAACAATAAAAAAAAATGGAATTCTGCCTCTGGTTGTTGTTTGTTATTGTTTGTTGATGTGTTGTGCCTCGGGGGGCCGTGTCTTTAAAAGTCAAAATATACTGAAATATAAAACATAAAGGAAGAAATATATTTCATACCATTTTGGAGTATTTTCAATTTTTTAGAGCACTTTAAAAAAAACAACACTGGAAAAGCATTCCAAATATATCTTCTAGATGCTATAATGGTGAAATTCTACGATCTCTTTGTCTATTTTATATACTAAATAAGGGGATTAAAATATTGTGTATTTTAGTCTCCTCTGCACCAGCTGAGCCTGAATGCTCTGAATATGAAAAGAAAATGTCTACCTAGATCAGGGTTGAACTCCAGGCTGGGTTGTCTCTGCTGACGTCTGATGACCCAACTAGGGAATGTCATCAGGGCTAGAAGGTGATGACGTTGTATAGTTGGGTCATGGAACGTCTACAAGAAAACCACAAAGCTCAGGGAACACCAAGGACCCCACAGTTGTCCTCCTCTCCCTCCCCCTCCTTTACTCCTCCTCCTCCCCCCTCTTACAAACCCCTCTTCTTTGTAGCACTGATGACGTTACCTAATTTGGTAATAAACGTCTGCAAGAAAATAGCCAAATTCCGCACCAAAAACCCCACAGTCCTCCTAGCACTGATGACGTTACCTAGTTGGGTCACAAAACATCTGCAAGAAAACCACCCAGCTCAGAGGTCACCAAGAACTCCACAATCCTCCTCCTCCTCTTCTCAAACTCCATTGCCTTATGGCACTGATGATGTTCCCTAGTTGGGTCACAAAACGTCTGTGGATTTGAAGTCTGCGCTTCCCCGCCCCCCAAATAAAGGCCCCCCTCCCTTGGAAGCCCCCACCCCTCCTCCGGGAAGAGCAAAAACCTGGAATTGTGGTTTAATTCAAGCTGGTGGTGGTGGGGGGAGAAGAAATAATAGACCCCCCTCCTCCTCCCGTTTGGCAAGGATTTTCTTTCTCACCCCCCTCCCGTTGAAAGCCTAAAAAGAGACCCTAACCCTTTCCACCCGGGTCTCCCGCCACCCGCAATTGCCCGAGACTACGCTTCCCATCCTCCCCCGCCGGTGGGATAACAAAGCGGGTAGAGTTTGCGGACCCAAGAGGGGGGGGCAGCTTCCCTCTCCCCGGGCTGCGGGTGGCGCCCGCGGGCGTCTGGGTTGCAGAAAGGCTGCCCCCTCCCCACTTTTTTCCTTTCTCGGGGTGGGGGGGGGCGGGAATCCAGCCTTGTGCACCGCTGCGCCTTTAAACCGGGTGTAACCCGGGCAGCGTTCCAGCCCCCTCCACTTCCCCCCCCTTGTCCCGCGGGGTGTTGCCTTGGCAACGCGGGCGGTTTCTGGGCAGGGAGGGGCCCGGAACAGCCGGAGGGAGGAGGAGGAGGAAGAGGAGGAGGAGGAGGAGCGAGAGGGTAAGGGGCTGCATGGTAGAAAACGAATGGGGGGTTTTTTGGCTCAAATCCCCCCCTCCCAAAGACCCCAGGAAGGTAGGGAGGGAGGAAGGATGCTCGAGATGCCAAAGGGTTGCCATGGAAACGCCGGGGAAGAGATGCAGAGGAAAGATACTGGTTCCCCCCCCCCCAATTTTCTCCCCGTTTGCATCTGCGCCCCTCCGTTTGGGGGGGGGGGTTGCCGGTGGGAGGGAGAGACGGGAACACCCCCCCTAAAGGGCAGCGTGGGGGAGGGCTCCCTGAAACAGCCCCCTCCTTGGAGACCCTCCCTAGCAACCGTGTTTGTTTTGGGGACGGTTGCCGGGGCCCGTGGCATCAATGTGGGGGGAGGTTGTTGTGGGGGGGCTCTCTTGATCCTGCCAGGTGCCAAAAGGCAAGGCCCAGGGCCGGTATTTTCTCTGCGCCCCCCCCCCCAGCTGCAACAGCCCTGCCAGGTAGGGAAGGCTGGGAGAAAGTGACCGGCCCCCAGCCCCTCTCCCCATCAACCCCCCCAATAAACTCAAGCAGCCCCCCCACCCCGACTCTGGATTATCCACAGCAACGGCTCATAGATCCCTGAAAAGCATATTGCTTGAGAACTAGCGCCTTAGGCATGGGCCGTGTCCTGAAAAGATCCCAAAGAGAGATTTGGGGTACAAGATGGGAGCAATGGCGGTTTTATTGGAACCTCCCCCCCCTCCCCAGGCTTGTCTTTTGCAAGATGAGTTTTGCAAAAGTTGTTTTGTTTAGTTTAGTTTATTTTCTTAATTATTTGATTTTATTCTTTTTTATTGTATTTTTATTTTTATTCTTTTTTATTACTTATTTGATTCCTTTTATTTTTGTTATTTGATTTATATTTGGCTTTATTGTTTTGTTTTATTTTAATTGATTTGATTCCTTTTATTTTCATGGTTGATTGATATTTGATTTTATTGTTTTATTTTATTTATTTTATTCTATTCATTTTTCGTTTCATGTTATGATTTTACTTTTTTATTTTACTATTTCATTTCTTAGGCTTTATTTTACTTTTTGTTCTGTTATTTTTTATTTTATTTTATTTTATCTTTTATCAGTTTATAATTTTTTCATTTTATGATTTTACTTTTTGTTTTTATTATTTATTTATTTATTATTATTGTTATTTTATTTTATTATTATATTTATTATATTATTTATATTATATTTTATTTTATTTGTTTTGTTTTATTTTTATTATCAAATTTATATGCCGCCCGTCTCAGTATCGAACCGGCTGCTTCTAAGGGTCCCCTCCTCTTTCTGGGGCCTCAATCACAGGATCCCTCACATGAGGCAAATGCAGGACATCTTCCCCGAGGATCAGGGATTCCCTGAGGATCAGAGGGCAGCCTGAACCATGAAAGCCCATTGGGTCAGTTTATGTCAATCACCAGGAGACTGTGAGTTCTAGTCCCACCTTAGGCCTGAAAGCCGACTGGGTGACTGGGCCAATCACCAGGAGGCTGGGAGTTCTAGTCCCGCCTTAGGCCTGAAAGCCGACTGGGTGACTGGGCCAATCACCAGGAGGCTGGGAGTTCTAGTCCCGCCTTAGGCCTGAAAGCCGACTGGGTGACTGGGCCAATCACCAGGAGGCTGGGAGTTCTAGTCCGCCTTAGGCCTGAAAGCCGACTGGGTGACTGGACCAATCACCAGGAGGCTGGGAGTTCTAGTCCCGCCTTAGGCATGCTATGTCCATGGATTATGTGATCCCTGAGGAAAGTCAACGGGGAATCCAGATTCGCTGAACGGCCGTGCGATGAATTTGAAAAACTGCAGAGATTCACTTAACGATGGTGACAAGAAAGGTTGTAAAACGGGCAAAAGTAACTGGAACAGTGTCCTGGAGGAGGAATTTTGGGCTGGGTTGCCGTCATAACTAGAGGACTAGCTGTGTTTCTCCCCTCCTCCCCCTGACACGGGTCTCTTTTTGATTTTCCACCTTTCCCTTCCCCGCAGGAGGGATGGCTTAGATCCAACTGGTCCTTCCATGGCCCAAAATGAAGAGTAAGAGGAGTGTGAGTTAAGCCGAACACGACTGCTTCCGAGACCTGTCCGGAGGAACCGAAATGGACTTCCGGGGCGAGAAAAGCGACGATCCGGACTACAACGGCAAGATCACCGTCCAGCTGCTAAAAAGCCGGACGGGAGAATTCGATCTCGAGTCCATCCTGCTGTTAAAGCTGAGAGGTCTCGGGATTCTGGAACTGGGCTGCCTCGGCGAGTGTGCCAGCTTGGAGTGGCTCGACCTATCGGCCAACGGCCTGACCCACCTGGGACCCCTTGCCTCGCTCAAAGCGTTGACCGTGCTCAACGTCGCCGCCAACCGTATCTCGAACCTGGAACCGCTGAGTGGCTGCGAGAGCCTGCAGAGTCTCAACGCATCCGGCAACCAGTTGCGCAACCCGCAACAGCTGCAGTGCCTGGCTGGGTTGCGGCATCTGGACAACGTGCGCTTCCACAATGGCCCGGCTCGTCTCAGCAACCCTTTGTGCGCCACCGCCGGCTACCCGGGAGTCCTGGCGGAAATGTTCCCGCGGGTTAAAGTGATCGACGGTGAACGTGTGTCTGGACGGGGTAGCGAGCTCTACCAGCTGTGCAAGGATCTGGATCGCTCGCTGCAGCGTTGCAGCAATGGCGGGGGTCTCGGCGAGACGGCCAGCCGGGCTCAGCCCTGGGTGGAAGAGGGCTACTGGGAGGTCCAACCGGCCAGGAGAAGCTCCATTGTGGAGGAAGCCTACAAGCAGTTCAGCGAGGCTTTACTGGAGTGCCGGGAGTTGAGTAAGCAGGCTGACCACAGCATCGGCCAGGCTGAGCGGGCCCTTGGTGGGGGGCGTCCCGACACCAACTCGTACCTCTTTTGAGGCTGCCGGCTGCCGAGCGTCGGATGCGCTGGGGAAGGGTTCTACGATGACCCCCGATGGCCAACTCACCACGGCCAACTCACCACAATCAACTTGCCACGGCCAACTATGGCCAACTAGCCATGGGTTAGGGTTCAGGTTAGGATTAGTCTCCCCAACCAACTCATCCCAACCAACTCAACACAACCAACTCATCACAACCAACTTATCAGAACCAACTCAACACAACCAATTCAACACAACCAACTCATCACAACCAACTCAACACAACCAACTCAACACAACCAACTCATCACAACCAACTCAACACAACCAACTCAACACAACCAACTCATCACAACCAATTCAACACAACCAACTCATCACAACCAACTCAACACAACCAACTCATCACAACCAATTCAACACAACCAACTCATCACAACCAATTCAACACAACCAACTCATCACAACCAACTCAACACAACCAACTCATCACAACCAATTCAACACAACCAACTCATCACAACCAACTCAACACAACCAACTCATCACAACCAACTCAACACAACCAACTCATCACAACCAACTCATCACAACCAACTCATCACAACCAACTCAACACAACCAACTCAACACAACCAACTCATCACAACCAATTTGCCATTGTCAACTCTCTATGGCCAGCTCGCCATGGGACAAGTGTTACACAAATATTGAAGAAATGGTGGAACAGAATGCTTCATGAAAGGCTGCCAAAGGAGGGACAGAATGAAACGGGAAGGCCAACGATTAAAAATAATTTTCAGATTTTTAAATTCTTCAAAGTAACTGTATTGTTGAATTGTCCTGCGGCTAGTTGGCTATGGTGAGTTGGCCACAGTGAGTTGGTGACGCCGAGTAAGCCATGGCATGTTGGGCACGCTGAGTTGACCCCCCCCCCCCAAAAAAGGAGAAGGTTTACCAAACTTACCAAACTGTTGCTCTTCCTGCCTGCACTGGGGGGAACCTGCGAGGGCATCTATGCTATCCCCCAAGGGCAGTGGTCACTTTGGTTTGGGAGCATGGTGGCCTCTCTCTCTCTCTCTGTGTATGTGGGCACCGGCGGGCCTGCTCCGAAAAGCCCCCTCCCCCAATGCTGCCTAACAAGTTAACCACAATTCTTTGTCCCAGACTAATCCTAGCTTTCTCCCTTAAACAAGCATTATGAATCTCGGCCTGGCTGGTGCAGCTGCTTCTGCTCTTTTCTTGGGGTGTGGTGGTGTGGGTCGAGCTAGAAATTTCACAAAGTGGAGACATGACAACCCATTAAAAAACAAACAAACATCAGCATGTTTGCAATTCCCTCTTTTTATTTTGGTGTCCGTGTAACGAAAAGACGGTGTGCAGATTTGCAAACGGGAAGCCAGAATTTGCTATCCGAAGCAAATTCACACAGCCCCATTTGCACGTTCCCACAATCTTCACGGCCCTACACTGCTATCTTGTGTATCATTGTCTCCCATCCGGTTGCAGAGAGGCCTGGCTCCTTTCCCCAAAATCGCAGAGGGCACGTCTTGCGCCTTGTCCCCAAATGTGCTTTTTTTCAAGAGACAACTGGACGTTCTTGGTTTCTTTTTTCTTGAAGAGGTTTCGCTCCTCATCCAAGAAGCTTCTTCCATTCTGACTAACAGTTCAGTTCTTTGGTCAGAAGTGAAGAAACTTCTTGGATGAGAAGGGAAATCTCTTCATGGCAAAACAAAAACAAAACAAAACCCAAGCTGATTGGATGTTGTGGAAGGGAAGGACTGATATTCCCTGCACACAGCTGGTCATTTGCAGTCTTTTAGAGAGCTCTTGAGGCCACTTAGAAGTTTGTTGGGGTCACATCCAAGTAGTACAAATGGGGGTGGAGCTTTTTAGAACTGCAGCTTGCATGATTTGCAGTACTTTGCACTACTTGGGTGACTTTGAGGACACCGACAAACACAAAGAAGCCTCCAAGTGGCCTCAACGGCTCTCTAAAAAGGATGCAAATGACCAGTTGTCTGCGAGGAGTATTTATTTATTTATTTATTTATTACATGTATTTATATGCCGCCATTCTCCCGAAGGACTCAGGGCGATGAACACAAGTTAAGAAACAAGTACAATAAAATCATAATTTAATCCAAATAATTAATTAGTAGTAAATAATAAAGCCCGGGATCAGTCTCAGCCTATTTGTTTGAAAAGCCAAGTCTTCAGGTCCTGACGGAAGGAGCGGAGATCAGGAGCCATCCGGAGCTCAGTAGGTAATTCATTCCAGAGGGTGGGAGCACCCACAGAGAACACAGAGTATCAATCCTTCCGTTCTCCACCATCCGATCAGATGGTTTTTTTTCTTCGTTGAAGAGGTTTCCTTTCTCATCCCAGAAGCTTCTTCACTTCTGACTGAAGAACTGAACTGTTAGTCAGAGCGAAAGAAGCTTCTTGGAGGTGGAGCGAAACCTCTTCAAGAAAAAAGAAACCAAGATCGTCCACCTGCCTCTTGGAAAAAGAAGCTTTTGGCACAACCACGACCTGGAATGACTGAGAGTCTCTGTAGACGTCTTACGCTCCCTAGACATCTTACGCTCCTAACCCTAACCCTTCCGGGGATGATGGACCACTGTGGATGCCCACAGAGCAGAAATGACAGGTGTGATGAAAACTCAACTTGCAATTTTATTGGGAGAATTGTGAGGGAGGGGAGGGGTTAATGCTTCTGGAACAGTGGACTTCTGTCGGAGAGGGACGATGCCCAGATGTCCGCTGGATGCCAGTCAGCCAAGTCTGCGCAGCTCTGTATTGGGGAGGGGGAGAGAGAAGGGGAGACCTTCAACATCCTCTCCAGATAGTAAGCGGTCCAAAAAAGCCCAGAGATAACAGAAGGGCAACAGAGAGGAAAAAATCTATCTGTCTGTCTGTCTATCTCTCTCTCAACTGGACAATTTTCAGCTGAATCCTTCAATAATGTGTGTGTGTGTGTGTGTGTGTGTGTGTGTGTGTGTGTGTGTGTGTGAACATCATCAGTGCTAGAAAGGAAGAGGAAGAGTGGGGGGTCCTTGCTGCTCCCTGAGATTGTTGGTTTTCTTGCAGACGTTTCATGACCCAACTAGAGAACATCATCAGTGCTAGAAGGGAAGAGAAGGAAGGGGGGGAGGAGGAGGAGGAGGAAGACTGTGGGGTCCTTGTTCCTCTTGGAGGTTGATGGAAAAGGGCCAAGGACCTACCTGGCCAGGTGTGCTGGGAACGATCAGGAAGGAAGTCCAATAGAAAAGGCAAACTTCCCGGGGTGGTATTGGTCTTCGTTGGCCGATTTGATGGCCCGGCATTCCTCTTCTTGCTGCCTTCTCACTTCCTGTGTGGGGAGGGGAAGGGTAGAAACCAGGACGGGGGGGCTGGCACCTCCCAAGATGGAGGAATGTGGGAAGAGACCCCCCCCCACACACATTTGCTAGTTTGTGGGAGGGGGGGAGGGGGCAAATGACATGGAAATGGCCTTGGCATTTCCCAATGGGGCCAATGGAACCCCTCAAGGAACTTGGTCCATTCCCGACGGATTATAGAATGACGGAGGTCGAAGGGCTCTCGGAGATCATCCAGTCCAACCCCCTGCTCAAGCACGAGATCCTTGAGGAACCATAGAAGGATGGAGTTGGAAGGGACCTCAGAGGTCTTCTAGTCCAATCCCCTGCTTCAGCAGGAGACCTTTACAGAATGGTGGAATAACAGAGTCACCTTGGACAACCAACCAAGTCTGGTATTCCGTCATTCTGTAAGGGTCTCCTTTTTGAGGAGGGGGTTGGACTAGAAGACCTCCGAGGTCCCTTCCAACTCTGTCATTCTGTGATTCTGTTCAGTTCCCATTGGGCCGGTCGCAGCATCCACATATCCGGAGAGCAAACAGCTGTGCTGGCATTGCCAGCCAGGCGGGAGGGAGGGAGGAGTCAAGCGAGCATGCAGCTTGGAATCGTTGCACAGACACAAATGACATAAGCGTGAGAATCCACAAAGCCTTCTCCGGCGGAAAACAAACCAGGATTCTTGAGATGTTGGTGATCGACAATCACCAGGGGGAGGAGGTCTCAGGCCGGACCCCAGCCCTCTGACAGCACCTAGCTGACGGCACCATGGGAATTTGGGGACTTTGGGGTCTCCTCTCACTGGGGAGTAGCAGAGATGTGGGTGTTTGGGAGCGGATGAGGGAGGGGGAGGGGTTTCCGACTCACCTGGAAGACGGGATTGTGTTCAGATAAGCATCGGAGGGATTTGTTGATGAGGGTCCTGGGATTGGCGACATCAAACTTGAAGCAAGCTAGGCATTTCTGTCTCCTCTGGAGAAGAGAGAGAGAGAGAAAGAGGAAACGAGAGAGAAAGAGAAACAAAGAGACAGAATGAGAAAGAGAGAAAGAAAGAAAGGAGAAAGAGGAAAAGAAAGAATGAGAAAGAAAGAAAAAGGAGAGAGGAAAAGGAGACAGACAGAAAGAAAGAAAGAAAGAAAGAGAAAGAGAAGGAGAGAAAAAGAGAAAAGAAAGGAGAAAGAGAAAAAGGAAGAGATACAGAATGAGAAAGAAAGAAAAAGAAAGCGAAAGAGGGAGACAGAAAGAAAAAGGAGAGGGAAAAAGGAGGAAGAGAAAGAAATACAGAGAAAGAGAGAGAGAGAAAGAAGGAAAAGAAAGAAGGAAAAGAAAGAGGGAAGGAAGGAAAAGAAAGAAAAAGAGAAAGAGAAAGAAAAAAGAGAGAGACAAAGAGAAAAAGGAAAGAGAAAGAGAAAGAAAGAAAAAAAAAGGGGGGAGAGAGATAGACAAATCATGGTTAAGTTACAACACAACTCTAAGACTACTTCTGTGAAGAAGGCACAGAAGAGGCTGCACTTCCTGAGAATGCTCAGGAAGATAAATCTATCTCAGCATCTCCTTCTGTCCGACTATCGCAGCACCATTGAGAGTGTCCTGACATACGGCATTCTTGCATGGTACGGGAGCAGCTCTGTTAGCGGACAGAAATGCTCTACAGAGAATCATTAAAACTGCCCAGAATATCATCGGACTCCAGCTACCAGCCCTGGACGACATCTTCGAATCTCGCTGTTTGAGGAAGTTGCATCACATTCTCAGAGACTCTTCCCATCCTGCTTACAATCTTTTTGGACTGTTGCCTTCTGGCAGAAGATACAGAACAATTAAAACTCGGACCACACACCTTCTGAATAGTTTTATTTATCCCAGAGCTATAATTGCACTCAACAATGAACTAAAGGGCCACCATCAGTGAGCTGTTGGACAGCATGACTTGGTCTGTTGTGTGGATGTTTGGGTGGTTGAGGGGTGGGGAATTGTGGTGGGTGGGTGGGGAATGTTTGGGGATTGTTATGTGTGTTGGATCTGGTCTTTGGGTGTTAAGTGAATTTCATTGTATGGGTATACTGTTTATACACGTACAATGAGAATAAAGTTATTTATTTAGCTTTTATTTATTTGTTTATTTAAATGTGTCCATTCGGCCTCAGAACGGTTCAAACAGTAGTTGTACAAGAAGAACAACTCACCAGCGGAATTCCCCGCCACCAGAAGTCATGGCTGCTCCATCACTGGAAGTTTTGAAAAAGAGACTGGACAACCCTTTGTCTGGAACAGTAGAGGGTCTCCTGCTCAGGCAGCGGGTTGGACCAGATGACCTCTGAGGTCCCTTCCAAGGCTGCGACGCCCGGAGAGTTTCCTGTGTGTCTTTTTGAGGTTTGGCTTGCGAAACGATGGTTTTGGCTTTGTTGCTTGTTGTGATTTGCAAGATTTGGTTCCGGGAAACTGGGGGGGGGGGGGGGGGTCCGTAACCTTTGTGTGTTTGTGTGTGTTTGTGTACTCACGCCGCCCGCTTTGATCTGGCAGTTTTGGCTCCTCCACTGATGTTTTTTGCAAACGGTCTGGACAAGGTCGACTTCCAACTGGACATAGGTGCCCATCGGTAACTCCTGGGAGGAACACAAAAGTTCAAAGGACAATTAAAATTAAAAACAAATGAAAAGCGAATTAAAGCGAATGAAAATTCAATTAAAAGCTAAGACCAGGTAAGGAATGGCAGAGACCCTCACAGGACCAAGAAGGGGGTATTTGGGGAGGGGGGGATATAATAGCAGGGGGCTGCCCCAAAGCGACGGATGGAAACACATCCAGGAGAGAAGCAACCTGGAATGAAGGAAAAATTTCCTATCATTGAGGACGATTAACCAGCGGAACTGCCTGCCACTGGAAGTTGTGGGTGCTCCATCACTGGAGGCTTTCAAGAAGAGACTGGACAGTCACTTGTCTGGAATTAGGTGGAGGGTCTCCTGCTCGGCCACGGGGTTTGACTAGATGAGTCTCCAAGTCTCCTTCCAACCCTGCTATTCTCCTGCTTTGAACAGGGGGTTGGATTGGAGCCTTCTTGTCTCTTGTCGTTCTATGAGTCTGCCGTTTGAGCAGGGGGGCTGGCCTAGATGACCTCCAAAGTCCCTTTGTTTAAGTTGCCTTGTTTAACTCCGCCCCTCCAAACTAAGTCAAAGCCCAACAGAGGAGCAGCTGCCAACAGCTGGAGCGCAATGGAGCTTCCCTATACCGCAGCAGTCTATCTGACACCCGCCTCCGGGGCCCAACTCACTGGCTTCCCCTCCCCTCTCCCTTCTTTCCAGCGGGGACTTTCCCCGGGGCGGTGGCCGTCGAACCCAGGGAAACGAAACCCAAGCGCAGCTTTCCAAACTGTGCTTGGACCCAAAGACCCCCCATCAGACCGGGCTGTCAATCAAGCCGCGTGTCCCCACCACCCCCCACCACCACCACTCCCAAGGCTGATGCCAAGACGGGCAACCCCGGAGATGCCTCCGTGGCTTGGTTTGGGAAGCGTGGGAGAGAGAAAAACCCTTCGGCGGGTGAGGAAGGGGGACACGGAGAGCTCACTCCCACGCGTGCTGACCTCCACCACCTCGGAACGCCACCCGGACCAGATTTCCTCTGGTCTCACGCCCGTGGAAATCCTTCAGCCACGCCTGCCCACCTCCCACCTACTCCCTTGCGGGCTCCCCACGGAACGTCGCCCGGACCAGACTCCCTCCGTTCTCGTGGAAGTTTTCCAGTATTCCCACGCGTGCTAAATTCCCACCAGCTTCTTGGTCTCCGCTGGGAACGGCGTCCGGGTGAAGCTCTGCTCCCGTGGAAGCCCCTCCGCCCCCTCCCACGCGTGCTTCACGCCCGCCCCTCCTCCCAGGCCGCCTGACCTCCACCACTTCTCTGGCCGTCTCCCCTCGGAAAGCCGCCTGGACCAGGTTCCGCCCGTGGAAATCCTCCAGGACTTTCTCCAGGGCGTTTTGCAGCGCGGCCGGCCGGCCGAACTCAATCAGGACTAGCAACACGCACAACAGCAACCAACGGGACATAGTGAACTTCTGCGCGGGTCCGCCTGCGCTCCTCCTTCCCCTCCTTTGGAGCTGGGATGCTGGGTGGGTCATCGGTCCGCTTCCCTCCCCGCGCCCCCTTGTTGTTGTCCCGCGGGGGAGTGGGCCAAAGATACGCCCGCCCACTGGCTTCATTGGGCTGGGAACTCCCCCTCCCCAGTTGCGAAATCTCCGCTGGCTTCTCCGAAACTCTCAGCCCGTTTCGGGGAAAGAGACTCCGCGCGACCCATTCTGGGTGTTTCGTTAGACACCCCCACGAGTGTCCGGGACAGGCGACCCGCGGGGGGTGGGATTGGCCGTTGCACCGAAGCTGCCCTTCTCAATCAATCGCCAACTGGCCCCGGGCGGAGGGAATAGGACCGTTTCGGGCGACGTTTCGGACTCGGTTTCTTGTTAGACGCTGCCCCACCCCAATTTCCCCAGGCTTTAAGAAAGAGGAGACTTCAATTCCCAGAATTCCTGGGGGGGGCACAGCTGGACTTCAGTTCCCATAATTCCACAGCTGAATGGAGTTTCAGACTCCCCAATCCCACGTGGGTGGACTGCAACTCCCAGAATCCACATCTGGCATAGGTGGATTTTTGACTCCCAGAATCCCCCTGCCAGAATGGGTGGATTTGATTCCTAGAATCCTCTAGCGGGCATGAGCAGACTTCGACTCCCAGAATGCCCAGATGATGGACTTCAATTCAATTTGGCTTCAACTCCCAGAATCCCTCAGGCAGCATAAATGAACTTCAACTCCCAGAATCCCCAGATGGTGGGCTTAAACTCGACTTGACTTTGACCCCCAGAATCCTCAGCCAGCAAGAGTGAACTTTGACCCCCAGAATCCCCAGCAGATGGATTTCAATTCTTCAACTTCCGGAATCCCCCAGACTACTGGGGGATTCTGGGAGTTGGTAACATTTCCCCCCCCCCCCAATCCCGGTTAAAGTTTCTATAATCAAGAAATATCACACTCAACAAAACAGGGCAGAGCTGAGCTACATGGAGCAGGTTTTGGATTACAGAGCCCATGATTCCCCGCTTCGATGGCCGCGGATCGAGGTGACGGGGAACCATGGGGCCTGCAATCCAAGGCCCACATTCGGAAAAGCCTCGCTTGGGAACCCTGCGGCCTTCAAATCGCCGAACTCCAATTCCCAGAGAACCGCGCGAGGAAAAGCTTTTTTGGGGGTGGGGGCGAAAAGAAAAAAATCAAATACTCGGCGGGCCGTTCTCGCGAGATTTCTCTTTGAGACGTGCGAGGGCACGAAGTCCCTGTTTGTCTCTGAAAACAAATCTATGAAGAACAGATATTCGCCCCGATTGCGAAACGAAGAACTCTCTTTCCCGTCATGCTGAGCGTGGGGAGGGGTGGAGAGAATTCCCTTAGGGCGGGCCTGTTAACCTGGCAATGCGTCATCCGCAGACCGCGCCCATCCGGGCTCCGCGAAAGAAAAAAATGTCCCGAGACGCCGCCAGTTGCCACGTGACGCGGTAGCGTTTGACTCCCCCCAGGCTCCAGGGGCCGATGCGCGCGCAGCGAAAGGCGAAGGGAGGAAGTGCGTCGATACGTCACTTCCGCTTCCTCCATCCGGGTCTTTTTCTTTCTTTCTTTCTTTCTTTTTTTTTTTTTAAAAGAGCCTCGCCTCCTTCGGCCCGAAGAGCGAGAGAGAGCGCGAGCGCAGGCGCGGGGGGGGAGGGAGGGCGCGCGTGTGACGTCACCGCGTGAGGTCAGCGTCTCGGCCCGATGATGCGTCGCTGACGCGCGACGCGTCCGCCACGGGGCCCGGACCGTCGCCCTTGTTGCTATGGCGACCCCGCCCGCCGGGTCAAGGGGTCACGGCGCGGCCTGGTGAGCGGGGGGGGGGCTGGCGGCTCGGGGGGGGGGGGGGCCCGTGGGGGGGTCCCACGTGGCGGGAGGGAAGGAAAGCCAGGCCCGGCCGGCCTTCCCTACGACGGGTGAGCGGCGTCGGGCCTAGCGGGGGAGGAGGGGGAGGAGGGAGGGGGCTTAGGGGAGCAGGACCCCCGCCTCATATCCAGCCAAGGAAGGAAGGTTCGCCCCGTCCCCAAGACGAGCTGAAAGGGGAGGGGGCGCAACAGGGCGGGGTGGGCGGGTGGGGAAAGCTTTCCCCCTTGGCTGGATTTGAGGCGGGGGTCCTGCTCCCCCTCCCCCAAGGGAAGAAGGGAGGAAGGGGCTCCTTTTTGGGGAAGGGGGTCTGGCCCTGCAGTGACGTCTCTGCCCCCACCCCCGCCAGAGGTCTTTCTCCTGGTGGGGAGGGGGAGCATTAGCTATGGGGGGCTGGGGGGGGTGGACCGGGGGGGGGAAGGGGGGGGGGTGGGCCGGGGGAGGTTGGGGGGGGGGGGGGGAGGGATGGAGAGAGAGAGAAAGAGAAAATGGGAGAGGGTGGAATTAAGGAAGAGAGAGGGAGGGGGAAGGAGAGAGAAAGGGAAGAGAAGGGAAGCAGAGGAAGAGGATGGAAGAGAGAGAATGAGAAAGAGGAAAAAAGGAAGGAGAGAGAATGAGAAAGGAAGGAGAGGCAGAATGAGAAAGAGAAAATGGAAGAGAAGAGAATTGAGAAAGAACGAGTGAAAGAAAGAAAGGAGAAAGAATGAAAGAGAAAGAGGAGGCTGAGAAAGGATGAAAGATGGAATGAAAGGGTGAATCAAAAAGAATAAGAGCAACAGAGAAAAATAGAAAGGAGAAACAATGAGAAGAGGATGAAAGACAGAATGAGAAAGGTAGAATGAAAGGTAGAATGAGAGAGAGAGAAAGTCAGAATGAGAAAAAAAGACAGAATCAGAGGGAGAGAAGGAGAAAGAATGAGACAAAGAAGAGAAGGAGAAAGAGACAGAATAAAAGAATGAGAGAGAATGAGAAAAGGAAAGCGAGAAAGAGAAGAGAGAATCATAGAATAACAGTTGGAAGGGACCTTGGAGGTCAACTAGTCCAACCCACAAAGCTAGACAGAATGAGAGGGGGAGAAAGAGAGAGAATGAGAAAGAGAATGAAAGATAGAATGAGTAAGAAGGAAAATGGGAAAGAGAACTAAAGAGAAAGAGAGAGAGAGAGAGACAGAAAGAGAAGATGAAACGGGAAATAAGAGGGAGGGAGGGAGGGACAAAAAAAGAATGGGAGTTGACAGGTGAAGAAGATTCCCATAACTTCAGATGAGCTGTTTTCTCCTTTGGTGGGGCTGGGGGAGGGGTCCCTTCCTCGCTTGGGTAGGGATCTTGGTTTGAGTCTTAGTTTGCCTCCTGTTCAACCCAGGTTTGAACCCTGAGCTTCAGCAGAATAACAGGAGAGTTGGAAGGGACCTTGAAGGTCTTCTAGTCCAACCCCCTGCTCAAGGCAGGAGACCCTCTATCATTTCTGTCCGGTCTCTTCATCCAGTGATGAAGCAATCACAACTTCTTGTGGCAAGCAGTTCCACTGGTTAATTGCCCTCACTGTTATGAAGTTTCTCCTTAATTCCAGGTTGCTTCTCTCCTTAGTTAATTTTCCATCCATTGTTTCTTGTCCTCCCTTCCAGTGCTTTGGAAAATAAGTTGACTCCCCTATTCTGTGGGGCAACCCCTCAAATACTGCAATATTACTATCATGTCCGTCTGTCCTCGTACACACACACACACACACACACACACACACACACACACACCGGTCCTTCTTTTTTTAAAAAAAACAACTAGACTAGACTTCCTCCATTTCAATGTTTTGTCTCGAAAAGAAATTTGATATTTTCCTGATTTATGCAGGGACTTTCCAAAAAGCCAACTGAAATAAATGGATTGAAACAAACAAACAAAAAATTATCGCTCCATGCTGGGATGAAAAAAATGCTTACCAGTTCCTGGTGAGCCAGGTAAGTTGGAATGGTGTTTTTTTTAATGCCGGCCTCAAGTATTTCCTCTCTTATTTATTTCTGTGTGTGGGTAAATTACCTAGATAAGTTGGAAGGAGAAGGTCATTTTTTTGATGTATCAATAAGAAAAATAAAAAACGTGTGTATCAGTGGTGGGTTGCCCCCAGTTCGCACCGGTTCTATAGAACTGGTAGTAAAACCAGCGGGAGGCCCCGCCCACTGACCCCGACGTCACCAAAACGCTTCTGCGTATGCGCAGAAGAGCACGCGAGTGAAGCGAGCACACGCGTGCGGCCCCCCTGCGAACTGTTAGTAAAGGTAAGTAAAACCCACCCCTAGTGTGTATATAATGTTTTATCAATAAGAATAAAATATTAAACAAGTTTGGGTGTGTGTATTTATAATATATATACCGTGTTTCCCTGAAAATAAGACAGGGTCTTATATTAATTTTTGCTCCAAAAGACACATTAGGGCTTATTTTCTGGTTAGCTCTTATTTTTTGGGGAAATACGGTACTAAATGCAACTATCTGGCTGACAATCTTAATCAGGGCTTGTTTTGAGGGTAGGGCTTATTTTACAAGCATCCTGAAAAATCATGCTAGGACTTACTTTCTGGTTGGTACCTATTTTCGGGGAAATGGTATTATATTGTACATTATATAATATATATTACATAAGAATTTTATTACTATTGATATATTTTATATATATATCTACACATACATACCTACCTACCTACCTACCAGGGGTGAAATGCGGTAGCGATGGAGGCGGGTGGTTCGGAGAACCAGTAGCAAAAATCTCTGCCCCCTCACCTCCCCCCCCCCATGCCCAGCTGAGCCGCACAATCATCAGAGGCTTTTTTTAAACTTTTAAAAGCATTTTTTCTACAACCGCTTGAAGAGCCTTGGTGGCGTAGCAGACTAAAGCACTGTTAAGTAACACCAGCTGCCTGCAATTACTGCAAGTTCAAATCTCACCAGGCTCAAGGTTGACTCAGCCTTCCATCCTTCCGAGGTAGGTAAAATGAGGACCCGGATTGTTGGGGGCAATAAGCTGACTTTGTATAAAAAAGAACACGGCTTAGGGGGGGGGCCAAAAGCCCTATTGCTTAAAAGCATTGTAAGCCGCCCTGAGTCTCCGGAGAAGGGCGGCATATAAATCGAACCAATAAATAAATAAATAAATAAACCTCTTCGGCCGAAAAAATGCTTTGAAAAGTTAAAAAAAAAAAGTCTCTGATGATCGCGCGGCTCAGCTGGGATTGTCAGAGGCATTTAAAAGACCCCCCCTTTTTTTTCTTTTAAATGCCTCTGACGATCCAAGCTGAGTTGCCTGATTGTCAGAGGCATTTAAAAGAAAAAAAGCCTCTGCCGATCAGGCAACTCAGCTGGGATCATCAGAGCCTTTTGAAAGCATTTTTTTACAACCTCTTCGCCAAAGAGGTTATAGAAAAAATGGTTTTAAAAGTAAAAAAAAAAAAAAAAGCCACGCCCACCCAGTCACATTCCCCCCCAAGCCACACCCACAGAACCGGTAGTAACAAATTTTAGATTTCACCACATAAATACGCTTTATCAATAAGAATAAAATACAAAATAAGTTTGTATGTATAATACAATATATATTATAAGAATTTTATTCTTATATTTATTAAATATATTTAATGTCTTATATTTTATTCTTATTGATAAATTATATATATATATATATATATATGTTTTCTCATATATATATATATGTCTTCTCAAGTTTTATATAATATTTATATATCAATTATAAAATATAAAACAATGTGTGTCTGTGTATATATCTGTGTGTTTTTGTGTATGTATATATAAATAAAAAATGTTTTATTAAATAGGAATAAAATACAAAACAGAAACACCAAACAGAAAAAAAATCCCATACATCCAACGGTAACAACAGCAAAGAAAAAAGCAAAACGTTTGCACGTAAAAGGAAAAAGAGAGAAAAAATGTGAGCCCAACGTCTGACATTAAGTATTAAAAAAAAATCCGCTTTTCTTTTTCTGAAAAGAAAAATAATAATAAATCAATTCTCCTCTCTTTAACAGAAGGGGTCTGTATAAATATTAAACGTCTATTAAAAAAAGAATGTTTTTTGAACACTTATGAATGTGGCAGCATGCCCATGATCAAGACACTTGGAAACTGACACACATTTACGACAGTTGCAACATCCCGGGGCTCACGCGATCCCCCTTTGCGACCGTCGGGCCAGCAAAGACAAAGTGAAGCCGGATGCAATGCAGAACCGTGGCGAGAATAATCGTAAAACGGACCGTAACAAATCACTTAACAAATGTCTCATTTAGCAACACCCCCGTTTTGGGGTCGACTGTTGCTCTTAAGTTAAGGACTGCCTGTAATGGGATCAACCCAACATCATACATACATACATGCATTCATACTTACATATATGTATGTATGTGTGTGTGTGTGTGTGTGTGTGTGTGTGTGTGTATATATATATATATATATATATATATAAATTGGGAAACAGCATGTATGTATGTATATATAATTCACATCAGGTATTTATATAATTATATATAATTATAATTACCTGATATAAATTATATATACATACGTACATACACTGTATGTATATGCATATCTGAACACACATATATGTTATATATATGTGTATGTGTGTGTGTGTGTGTGTAGAGCAAGATGGGGCTCCTCTTGCCGTCTTACCTGATTTCCAGCTCTGTGTTTAAATATTTTTGGGGAGGGCATTTTTTGGGGGGGAGTCTTATTTTAGCGCATGCGCTCAAAAGCCCAATTGGGCTTATTATCAGGGGATGTCTTATTTTCAGGGAAATGGTATATACATACATACATACATACAATACATATATATAATACATATAAATGTATATTGTATGTGTGTATATATGTATGTATATATATATATCAAACTATTCAAAAAAATAAAGGTCAAATATTTATTGATATTTGTGAATTGGGATTTCACTGAACTATGGCTGTAGAAAGATCTTGATTAATGTAGGAAAAACCTGACTGATATATGGATGGATGGGTGGATGTATATGTGTTATTTATCATCTCTATTATCTATCTGTCATCTAATATGTGTGTCTGTCTGTCTATATCTATCCTGTATCTATATTCTGTATCTATCCATCCGTCCTCTCTGTCTGTCTGTCTGTCCATTTATCCTGTCTATCTTCTCTCTCTGTATCTTATCTATCTATATTGTCTGTCTCTGTCTCTATTTCTGTCTGTCTATCTATCTCTATCATCTATCTCTGTTGTCTGTCTTTCTCCCAGCTGGAATACCAGCGTTATACAGGCAATCCTCGACTTACGACCACAACGGAGCCCCCAATTTCTGTCATTAAGCGAGACCTCAGTGAAGTGAGTTTTGCCTCATTGGATGATGTTTCTTGCCACGGTCGTTAAGTGAATTCTGCACGACTTAGGTGAGTTACTCTTTGGTTGACAAATGTGATACAGGCAGTCCTTGATTTATGACCACAATGGAGCCTACCTAACATGTCGTTAAGTGGGACCCTGATTTAGTGAGTTTTGCCCCATTCAATGACCTTTCTTGCCATGGTCGTTAAGCGAATCCTAGTATTGCTAAGTGAGCCCCACAGTTGTGAAGGGAACCCGGCTGCCCCACAGACTTTGCTTGTCAGAAGGTCGCAAAATGAGATCCCATTACCACTACCACCCCTTGGGACGCTGTGACCATCGTAAACTGGAAGCCGATGCTGAACGTCTGAAGTTTTGATCACGTCACCACGGGGATGTTGCAACGGTCACAGTCTTCAGTCCCATCATAACTGGGAATGGTCCCTAAATGAACGGTCGTAAGGCAAGGACTATCCGTTGAAGATAGATTAAAAACATGTTTTATTTTCAGGGAAACACGGTATATATGTATGTGTATACACACGCGCACACACGCACAGACATACATACAAACACACACAGAGATGAGATAGATAGATAGATAGATAGATAGATAGATAGATAGATAGATAGATAGATTTTCCTGGTATGGGGTCTCCTGCTTCAGCAGGGGGTTGGACTAGATGACCTCTGAGGTGCCTTCGAACTCTGTGATTCAGTGTCCCAAGGTTTTCTAGTTCTTAGCTGCCGAATGGTTGGAGCAGAGGGATGTAGGTGTGTGTGCTTTTTTTTCCCACCAGCAGGTAACGCTTGAGCTGGTCTTCCTCTTCCTCCTTTTCCTCCCCAAGGAGCTCAGAAAACTTCCACCATCTCTGGATGTTGTGATGGAGAACTACGAGCTGGTGACTTCTCTCGGTAAGAGCCATCCTGACAGCATTCGCTAGTTTGGTAATGAAACGTCTGCCAGGAAATCATCCAGCTCAGTGAGCACTCAGGACCCCCCAGCCCTTCCTCCTCCTCCTCCTCCTCCTCCTCAAACCCCTCTCCTTTCTTGCCCTGATGATGTTACCTAGCTTGGTAATGAAATGTCTTCCAGGAAATCACCCAGCTCAGTGAGCACCCAGGACCCAAAAATCTTTCCTTCTCCTCCTCCCTCCTTTCTTGCCCTGATGGTGTTAACCTAGTTTAATAATAAAACATCTGAAACAAAACCACCAAGTTCAGAGAGCACCAAGTATCCCACTGTCTTTCCTCCTCCTCCTCGGGTGGGGCAGCCAGTTAATGAAGCACCCCTCCCTCCTGAGCCCCAGGGAAGAGGGGTCTTCTTTCGGCCATCTGCCAGGGAGGAGGGGCTGGTTTGTTTTGTCCGGCTGTGACCCGCCACATCAAATCTTTTCCAGGCTATCCGGTTCTCAAACCCGATCTCCTGTCTCGGATCGAGCGGGTCGGAGAGCCGTGCGTGGGTGACCAGCTGGATTCCACCCGCGGGATTCCCACCGATCCATGTCCAGGTACGTCTGCGGGCTGATCCCGTACACACACACACCCACACACCCACACCCACACACACACACCCGTGCTAGCCAGGGTTCGGATGGCCGCACCTATTTTTCATTTCCTCAGGTTTCCTTTCCTGACTGTGCATGGGGCTGGGTTGCGGGTGCCTGACAAACCCAGGCCCTTCAGGGGTGTCGAACGACACAACATGTGGCAGTTGTGGGATGGCCTTCCTTGGCCTTTGTGGCCACTTTGGGAGAGTTTTCCTCGTCTCGGTTCAGTTCACCAGGAGGGGAAATAAATATATAATTACTATTATAAATACTATAATTCTGCCAGCACCCTTCTTTCAATAAGGTTAGCTTGATAGTTGAGCCAGCTTGCTGTAGGGGTGAAGATGCTGGCTTAGGAACCAGGAGCCTGGGAGTTCTAGTCCCAACCTTTGGCACAGTGGTGAAATCCAATTTTTTTTACTACCGGTTCGGTGAGCGTGGCTTGGTGGGTGCGACAGGGGAAGGATACTGCAAAATCTCCATTCCCACCCCACTATGGGGCCAGCCAGAGGTGGTATTTGCCCTGTTCTCTGAACTGCTCAAAATTTCCACTACCGGTTCTCCAGAACCTGTCAGAACTTGCTGGATTTCACCCCTGCTTCAGCATGAAAAACAGCTCGGTGACTTTGGACCAATCACCAGGAGACTGGGAGTTCTAGTCCCAATTTAGGCATGAAAGACGACTGGGTGACTTTGGGCCAATCACCAGGAGACTGGGAGTTCTAGTCCCGCTTTAGGCATAAAAGCTGGCTGGGTGACTTTGGGCCACTCACCAGGAGACTGGGAGTTCTAGTCCCACCTTAGGCATGAAAGACGACTGGGTGACTTTGGGCCACTCACCAGGAGACTGGGAGTTCTAGTCCCACCTTAGGCATGAAAGACGACTGGGTGACTTTGGGCCAATCACCAGGAGACTGGGAGTTCTAGTCCCGCTTTAGGCATAAAAGCTGGCTGGGTGACTTTGGGCCACTCACCAGGAGACTGGGAGTTCTAGTCCCAATTAGGCATGAAAGACGACTGGGTGACTTTGGGCCAGCCCCCCTCTCTCAGCCCAGCCCCAACTCACAGACATGGCCCAAATCAGGGCTTGGTGGGACCCGGGAGATGAGCCGCTTCAAAGCACATCTCTTCCCATCCTTCCAGAAAATTCTGTGAAGAAGAATTCACGGGCTCACCTGTTCCTTTTGTGATCTCTTCCCCCCCCCCTCCTCAGGTTACCGTTTCTTCAAACCTGAGAGCCTGTCTTGGATTGAACGGTGGGAGGAACTTGGGGTCACCGACCGTCAGAAGTTGGAGGAAGGCAAACTCTGCGCAGGCGCCTGCCAAGGTAGGCAAGCCTGGGGAGCGCCTGGTTTTACAGTGGAGCAAAACCAGGAATTTGTCTCCAGTACACAAGCAATTGGCAACATGCAAAGCAACGGATAATAATAATAATATTAATAAAAGTGGGAAAATAATAAGATAATAAAAAGGATAAATAACAGAGGTCGTCCTCGACTTAACGAGCCGAGCTTAATTGAGCCAAAAATTTCTTGCGTGAAGTTCAATTTTGCCCCATTTTACCAACTTTCTGGCCACTGTTGTTAAGTGAATCACTGCTGACGGTAAGTCGGTAATAGAGTTGTTAAGTGAATCACTGCTTGCCCCTCAACTTGGCTGGTCGGAAGGTTACAAAAGGGGATCCAGGTGACCCAGGTACACTGCAACCGTCGTAAATGTGAATTGGTTTGCAACAGTCCCATCTCAATTTTGTTTGCGTGACCATGGAGACTGTTGCATCGGAAGTGTGAAAAATGGTCGTAAGTCATTTAATTCGATGCCGTTGTAACTTTGAACGGTCACTAAAGTCAAGGACTACCTGTACTACGGCAACGCTCAAGCAGATTAATAGGTACCACTTTGGTAGGAAGGTTTCAGCGTTCTGTGCGCCTTTGCTGTATAGCCATACCAGTTACATGACCCATGGAAGCGTCTTTGGACAGTGCGGGCTCCCTTGGCTGAGAAACGGAGATGAGTGTCGTGTCTCAGAGTCAGAAATGAGTGGACGGCATGCCTGTTGCTCGCGCGAAAGCCGTGCCCATATATGCCCTCGCCTGGTGCTCGCGCATCCCGATTCCAAATAGGCCAGGGCTGGTAGTGTATCATGCCTCGGGGGGTTGGGGACCCCGGCACTATTTCATTCCATTTCTTTTGTGTCCCCTCCCTCCCTCTTTTCGTCTGCTCTGGAACAGCCGCTGGGCGGAGCAAAGCCATCAAGGAAGAAGAGGGCGGACAGAAGGGCTTTGTGGCCAGCTTGGAACGCTACCAGCTCTTCCCCGAGAGTTCCCGGGCGGGTCTGTTCTTGGCCCCGAACCCCGGGCAGCTGAGACCCCAACCCCGAGTCAAGAAGGAGGAAGCGGCCTCCTGTGAGCCCAACCTGGGTGGCCCCGGACGTCCCTCCCAAGGCCTGGGTTCGGGCCCCTTCACTTGCGTGGTGTGCGGCAAGTGCTTCCGGCAGAAGCAGGGCCTGATCACTCACGGGCGCATCCACACCGGTGAGAAGCCCTATCCATGCCTGGAGTGCGGCAAGCGCTTCCGCCAACGCCCCAACCTGCTGACCCACCAGAGGGTTCACACCGGTGAGCGGCCGTTCCCCTGTCTACGCTGCGGCAAGCGCTTCAGCCAAAAGGCCAACCTGGCGGCCCACCAGCGCACCCACGCCGTGCAAGAGGGGCTGATAGCGCCCGAGCCGAAAGTGCCGGTGCCGCGCGGCAGCCGTTCAACAGAGAAGCCCTTCCCTTGCAGCGTCTGCGGGAAAAGCTTCAGCCAGCGACCCAACCTCATCACCCACCAGCGCATCCACACCGGCGAGAAGCCCTTCCCCTGCACCGAGTGTGGGAAGCGCTTCAACCAGCGGGCCAATCTCATCACCCACCGACGTATCCACTCGGGAGAACGTCCCTTCCCCTGCGCCACCTGCGGACGGCGTTTTAGCCAGAAGGGCAACCTGGCGGCCCACCAGCGCACGCACTCGCAGCAGCGGCCCCACGCCTGCTCCTGCTGCCCCAAACGCTTCAAGGGGGAGTCAGCTCTACGCGCTCACCAGCGTACCCATCGGCAGGTGCTGGGTGCCGATCCACTGACTAGCACCCTCCTGGCCACCCCTGCGCTACAGCAAGCCCTCCCGGGGGACCCCGCTTCGGCTGCGCAGCGAGCCACTCCTGGCCCCCGTACGGATATGCCCGGAGACCCTTCCCCCGGTGTCCACCGACCCGCCCCCTCCAGCCAGCATGGGGCCCCTCATGGGCAGAGTCTTCCTGCGGACCCATCCCCTGGTCAACACACGGCCGGCCCCTCGGCGCACCTCCAAGGAGTGGCCCCCGGCTCAGAGCAGGGCCCGAAGCTGAGCGCTCCGCCCACCATTCTGGATCCCCACGTGGAGATGCTCCATTGCCAACGCCGGCTGGGCTTACCGTTGCTGCCCACCTCCAGCGCCCATTCGGTCGTGCCTATGGGGCAACCCCCGCCCATCACCTCCAAGCCCAAAGGGTTGTCAGCTGCCCCCCGGCCCACCACCACTGTGGAAGCCCCGAGCGAGATGCTTCACTGCCTCTGCCACACCGGCAGGGCCTCCTTGGTCATTCCACACCCCCCGCATCTGGGGCAGCTCCAGCCCGGCAACAGGGATGCCCCCGGCCGTGCTTGGCTGGGCCTCCCCTGCCCAACACGCACCCTTCCGCTCCAGCAGGGTGGCCAGGCGCACCCAGCTGCCCCTAATCCCAGACTTTGCTCGATTCCTGATTCTTTGCGGTAACTTGTCTGCACGGGGCGAGCACAGATTGGCCGGGACTGGACTCCCCTCGGATCTCCCCTGGCAGCGCCCTGTGGGGCGGACTGCAGGGTTTATGCATGTATCCTAAACCGGGAAGCCGCCGTCTGCCCCCTCCTGCTCTAGGGACACCCATGGACCCTCCTTGGATCCACCTGGCCAAGACTCTTTCTGTCTCAAGAGGCAGTCCATCCTTCCAGCAAGGGCACTCTTCCCCCCCAAAAAAGTGTCATATGGCAGGAGGACCAAAACCGTGCCCACCTTGTCTTACCGCTGAGCCCTCCCCCCCCCCCGAATCTCCCTAGACGCCCCTCCACTCCCGAACAACAGAAGACCCAGAATTTGGCAGCAGTCAAAACAAGAAGTGAAGATGGAAGAGCACCCCCCCCGCCCCGGAAACGACTGATGGCACCACCCCTCGATGAATCTTGGGGGGGGGGAATTCCTCGTACCCAGAGATGGCTCTCAGCGCACCCCAAGATGGTGGGTCTGCTCTGTTATCATGGCTTTGCAAAGCCGCCTCGGAGACTCCGGAGACCCTGTTCCCTCTCTTGCGAAGAAAAGATTTTTTCTCTTTACGAAAGGAAAAATGGAAATAACTCATTCCAGTGATGTACTCTTGTCATCACGCCGGCACCGCTGCACAAACCAGACGGCTGAACTCTTGCCGGCAAGGGAGTGCCGGCTTTGTGCCAAACTGAACAGGCCGGTGGTCATGCTCCCCGTGTGTCCGTCGGGGTGATGCAGAACTTGGATTTTTTGGGGGTGGGTGGGTGGGGAGGGAAAAAAGACATTGGGGGTGGGGCCCTGCCTGGCACTCAACTCCGAGAGTTTAATGAGCCCCCAGGTCAGGAAAGCCACATTTTCCCCCCAGCAACATGGGGCTGTCTTGGGGGTGGGGCAAGGCAGAAGGAAACCCCCCTCCCCTCTGCTCCCAACAGCTGGACTAGAAAGGTCTGACACTTGCGGGGAGCCGACACCAAAGAGGTTGGACTGTGGTGGGGCTGAAAGACGGGTGAGTTCCTTGCACAAGGAGGGGGCCAGAACGAACAAGAAGCACTTTAGAACGACCTGTCGCCCCTGGACTTGCCCCCTTCCCCGCGTGGCACCCACGAGGCTGGGTCCTAGCCCTGGCTGGAAGGGGTAAAACTGAATTTTATGGGAGGGGGGTCTGTGCCTTAAGCTGGGAAGCCTTCCTGGAAAGAAAGGGGTGGGGTCTCCTTTCGCACAGGAGGGTCCCAAGATGGTCAAAACATAGAAGGGGAGCCTGCCGAGGGTCCAGGCTTAGGACGGGGAGGAAGGAGGAATAGTGACAGCCTCCCCTCCTCCCGCCAAAGTCTGCAAGGGATGAGAAGTGGGGCGGTAGGAGGACTTGGCCTCCTCCCCTATCCCAGCTTCTCCTGGGTATCCGGTGCCCATTGAGCTAGGCTGATTTCGGGGCCCAGGGATGGCACGGATTTTATCTGGGGAACGGGCAGAGGTGTTGATGCCTATAGATGCGGTTGAGCGTGCGAACGATGCTAGGAGGGAGAACCTGTGGCTCGTGCGCGGATCCATGCATGGGCACACAGAGTGGCAGCTTCATGCATGGGTCGGGGGGTGGGTTTGTGGATTGGCACAAGGGGGCTCCTTGCAGTCTGCAGCCCAAGTGATGGAAGGTGCCTCCCGCCGGCAGCTTTGGAAAAAGAATCCAGACCTCCAGCCATGAGTGTCCTTCCTCTGTGGCTCTTTCCCAGCGGGCTTTGAGGGGTGCATTCTTTTAACTAAGTCCTTGCTCAGCAGTGCACCCTGAGATAAAACCGCCAGGAAGTTGGGGGGTGGGGGGAACATGGTTTGTTTGTTTTTTAAGCTGGCGAAATGCAGCCGTGCCCGTCTGGAGGTGTGTTGAGGGCTTGGCCCATCGCGAAGGAACAGACGGACTCAATTCCCCCCCCCCAAAAGAAACACAATTGTCCAAAAGTTGTTCAAGGTCAAGTAAGTGGGAGTTGGGCGACTTGCCCCTTATCTTCCCTGACAAGAGTTTTGGGCAGAACTGTCCTGCCATGCATGGCATGGAGATAGTTTTGCAAGTACAGGGGCAGCCCCTGAAGGCAAGGGAAGCTGTAGTCAAGCCCCTACGTGACCACAGGCCTCTTCCCCACAACCAGGGCCTTGGGGCAGGAGGTCGAGAGACCCAGAAGCCCCTCCATCTGGGACTCTTGTGATCAAAGAGCTGTGACTTGCATTCGTTGAGTTGACGTGCTCGGAAAACAGTGTTCCAATGTGTGGTTGGGCCTTTGCCTGTTGGCCAGGCCCAGGATGACCAGAAGGGGGGCAGCCCTGCCCTGCCAGCTGCTGGAGAGCCTCCAAATTCTGCCTTCAAGTTTTCGTTTTCTCGGTATTGAAGGCGAGTCGGGCAAGCGACAAAGTTGGGGAACGGTTAACTCCATAGCTAGCCCGGAAGTTGCCGCTAGAGTAGGGGTACCCAATCCTGGCCTGTGTACCAACACCAGTTAGCAGCCTGCCGGGAACCTGTGCAAGCAAGCGAAGCCCGATCCGCGCATCCGTGGGATGCAGGCAGCGCATAAAACTAATTCCTCCAGTCCGCGGAAAATTGCCCTACACAGAACCAGTCTGCCGTGGCCAACTCTTGGTGGCCATTGTGCTAGAGAGAACCAGCTGCCTGGTCCCCTTTATTCCTCGGGGTGCTGGGAGGTCAGATGCAGCGCCCCCCCTGCTTTGCCCAGGCGAGATACGGCTTTGTAGCCCTTTGTCGTTGTTTTTGGCTGATTGTGGTCGTGTGCGGGCAGCATCGGCGGGATTGTACGACGTTCCTTGCTGAAGCAGGCAGGGTCCTCCCTCCCAAAGGCTTTTCGGTAACGTTCCTCCTTCCGGGGTGCCGAGGCAGGTTGAAAAGGTGAAACATCTACCTGAGCTGTTCTGAATTTTTGGCTGCTGGGGTAGTGGTGGTGGTGTCTGGGAATACCCTGCAGTTTTTGTTCGGATCAAATATGGCCTCTGTGAAGATGTTGCAGGAAATATCAGCGGCAAGGTCTGCAATATCAGTTGCAGGGTCTTCTGGAAATTTGGTTGCTTAGCCCCCAGTATATGGGGGAGAGGGTGGGTCAGATGGAAGAGATGTTTGAAGGGGGGGTGTCCTGGGTTCCCTCAGCCCTTTTCCTCCCCGTGTTGCCGATTTGCACCTTCGCGGAGCTGCTCACAGCCACGGAAACCTCTCCCCTCTTAACCGTGGCCAGCTAAAAGAACCATGGCCTTGTCCCCACCCCCCCAAAAAGTGGGTTCAGAGGGACTTGGTGGCTCAGGTCGACAGGCTTAAGCAGGATGTGTAACAAAGCCGCATTTGGAATGAGGGCACTGTGAGGTCATCCGGATGCACCCCGTTCTTTGGGGTGAGGAGATGCAGCAATGCTTTTCCCATCCCAAAAGAGCGAGGTTGCTGTTCAGAGGCAACCCACCTTCTGGATAGTGGGTCCCCCTCGATCCTTGGGAGTGGGACGAGGCTGGAAGGATTGGGGAGAGGTCAGAGGTCAGCCTGGCAGGCAGAAATCTCCCAGCTCTTCTTCCGGGATCAGACCTGTTTTGGATGAGGGACCGAAGGACGTCTTTGCTGGATCCGGCCTCCAGAGCAGCCAGTCAGTTGCTTGCGCCCCGAGCATGCAGGGGTTGCCATTTCTGTTGTCTGTGCCCCAGCCTTCCCCCCATTTCCTCCCAGCATTTGGGGGGGGGGGTGTTCTCTGTGCATGGCGGTTACCCCCCTCCAACCACGTCGCCTTCGGAGAAATGCACAACGCCCATCGCTGCTGACATCGTTTGTTCACGCTGGACCTCCTCAGTGCATCGAAATTGCTCAGAGCTCAGGATCCAGCACAAGAATTGGGGAGGGGGTCTTCCTCCCCTCCCCACCCACTCCCTCTCCCCCCTGCAACTTTGCCCCGAAAATGACTTTTTTTTTTGCTGAGCGGGTCTGGAGTCCCTGCAAATGGAGGTAGAGCCGCTGATGGAAGAAGACGGCGGTCAGGCCCAAAACCGGACACGAGAGACTGCTATCCCCCCACAACCCCACACCACATCCTTGAAACAGAAGCCAGGAGATGACTACCCCCCTCCCCACATCCTTCCCAGCCACCCGTGCTTGCATCCCCTTCCACGAGCGGCCTCCGAAAGACCCCACGTCGGCCACTTCATGCCCCATTAATCCAGACGGGGCCGTAGGGCCTATTCCAGATGTATTATTATAATAATTATGTCTTATTTTCTGAGCTATGTTTATTTGCAATAAAGGCTTTCTTACAGTTGCGGTGGGTGTTTTTTTTGCAAGGGGTGGGGGATAGGTGCGAAAGGCACGGGACCCAACAGCAGGAAAAGCTGGATTGCCAGCAGGAAGCGGATTGGATCACCGAACTTTTTGGAAGAATTGCAACTAAGGTGATGAAAACATACCAAGAATGGTGGCAGGATTCGGATAGACCTCCTTTAATGAAAAGAAGCACTTGGGGTGACACGATGGAAATATTGCAGTATTTGAAGGGCTGCCCCAAAGAAGAGGGGGGGGGGTGTCCACTTATTTTCTAAAGCACCAGAAGGCAAGACAAGAAACAATGGATGGAAATTAATTGAAAAAAGCAATGTGGAATTAAAGAGAAACTTCCTGACGGTGAGGAGGATTAACTGGTGGAACTGCTCACCACCTGAAGTTGTGGGTGCTCCCGTTGCTGGAGGTTTTTAAGAGGAGACTGGGCATTCACTTATCTGCAATGGTACTTACAGGGTCTCCTGCCTGAGCAGGGGGTTGGACAGATGACCTCCAAGGTCCCTTCCAACTCTATTCTCTTGAATTCAGCAGAAATTTGGGGGGGGGCCTCCGGTGGGGTTCCTTGCTCTAAAAAAAGTTTCCAGTTCTCCCTAAGGGAGGGGCTTCTCTCTTTCTCTCCACCCCTCCCCAATTTAGAGCTTTATAAAAGCAAGCAGGCTCCGGAAGGGGCGTTCAGAAGAGGGGAGGGCCAGGGAGACCCCCCCCCACGCACACACGCACCGTTTCTCACCACCCACCAAGGATCAGCAAAATATCCCTCCCACCCTGCTTGTTCCCTCTTCGGAGCAGAGACCCCCACCCCAAACATGGGGAAATTAAGAGCCGAGGGAGGGGGGGGGGGTTTGAAGCCAACAAAAAAAGTTTAGGGGGAACTTTTTTTATTTTTCCCCTCGGAAAGTCAAGTTGCTAGACCCGCAGAATCTAAACCCGCTCCTCCACGGCGGGGGAGGGGGGGAGCTCTTGACGACCCTTCGGAAGAGCCAGTGGGGAGGGGGTTTCGTGTCCTCCAGCTGCAAGACCCCTTTTAGAAAGGGGGAGGGTCCCTCTTTCCCTTAACCCGCTCCTTCCGCCCGGAGCGATCGGACGAGGCCGGAGCCGTTTGCGCGCACGGGCTGCGCTCCATCCTTTTCGGTGGGTGGTACAAACAGGGGGGTGGGTGCCTCGAGCCGCCCCGCGGGACTCCGATCCTCGCGCTGCCTTGCAACGGCCGGGGTCTGCAGCAGCGGACAGGGGGGGAGGGGGCGCTGGGGGCGGGGGGGGGGGGGGGGGGGGGGGGGGGCTGGTTTCGGAGACAGAAAGGTGGGTAGGGGGGCGTCGGTCTGGGTTGGCCCCGCCCTCCTGCTCCGGGAAGGCCTGGAAAAACTACACTTCCCGGCGTGCAGCTGTTTGTTACCTCCTCCTCCTCCTCCTCGGAGTGTAAATCTTGCAAGGCTAACAAAAGAGCAACCGGCTAAGCAAGCAGCAGCATCAGGACCAGCGAACCGGGGTCCGCAATACGGAGCCGCACTCTTCTCCATCCTTCCAAGACCGCCCCGCGGAAGAGTGTGTGGGGGGGGGAATAAGAGCCATGGCCGGAGGGACCCCCGCGCAGGTAGGCCGAGTGGGCCCGGGTCTCTCTCTCTCCCTCCCACCCACCGGTGCAACCCCGCCTTTGCACGCCCCAAGCCCCCTCCTCCGCTGGTGGGAACAGCTCTGCCGCTGCTGTTTGCGGGGGCGGCGCTGCTGCTTGGCTTGCCCCCTCCCCTTATTCTGATGGAAGAAAACCTCCTACCCACCCCCAGGAACGACCCCCACCCCACCTCCACATTGCTGCCCGCGCGGGGGTCGGGGTGGCTCGGCTCTTAGACCCGGGCTGAGACCCCCTTCACAGAACCTTCTCTTGCATCCCGCCCCTTCCCCTCTTTGCGCGGCGATGAGGGGGGGGGAAAGGAAAGTTGCTTTGCTCCGCCTTGCGGGTAGGTAGTAGGACCCGCGATCCCATCGCTCTTTTGAGAAGTGGGGGCGGGATTGGGGGCTGGAAAGAAGGAAACCCCCCTCCCCTATTTTCCGTCCGGGACTTGCAAAGGGAAGGCTTGCAAGGCAACCGCCTCCCACCCACCCAAGCGCTTCACTTATAGGACCCCGGAACCGGGAGGGGGGCGCAGCTGATTTGCAGAAGATGCAAAGGAGACCCCTCCCCCCCAGGGTCCCAGCTGGGAAAACATCTGGAAGAGAGTTTCCGTGCCAAAGTTGCACGTTTGAAACCTGTGCAGGAAAGTAAGCTGGCGGCGGGGTCTCGGAGAGTAACCCCCACCCCGGACCTTCCTTTGGTGTGGGGCTCAGGAAAGGAAGGAAAGAGGGTGGGAGGAAGGAAGGAAGGAAAAAGAGAGGAAGGAAAGAAAAAGGAGAGAAGGAAAAAGAAAGAGGGAGGGAGGCAAGGAAGGAAAGGGGAAGGAAGGAAGGAGAGAGGAAGGAAAGGGGAAGGGAGAAAGAAAGAGGAAGGAAGGAAGGAAGGAAAAGGGAAGGAAGGAAGGAGGAAGAGAAGGAAGGAAAAGGGAAGGAAGGAAGGAGGAAAGAAAGAAAAAAGGAAGGAAGGAAGGAGAAAGAGAAACAGAAGGGAAGGAAAGGAAAGAGGGAAGTTCTCTGCCCCTCCCCCTGTGCACTTTTTTGGGAGGGGTATCTCCCTCCGCCTGGCTGGAATGGAACCAGAGTGGGGCCACTTCCCGTCCCGTCCTCACCTGGCCATCCTCCCGACAGGTGCTGGCGGCCTTCGGGGATGTGGCGATCTGCTTCTCAGCGGAGGAATGGGCAGAGCTGGATGGATGGCAGAAGGACCTCTATCGTGAAGTCATGGCCGAGAACTTCCAGCTGGTCTCCTCGCTGGGTAACGCCTGCAGGGTTTCCCCAACACCTCTCCCTGGCGGCGGGAGGGGGTGGGATTTCGTGGGTTTGAGGGGGGCATTTGGGACTGCCAGAAATCCTCCTTCACTATCCTAGCGGTCAGCCTGAGCTCCGTAGAAGGAGTTGGCAAGGAACAGGGGCAGAGAATAATGGAATTGGAAGGGACCTTGGAGGTCATCTAGTCCAATCCCCTTCTTTCCCTTTGCAGAATGTCTACTGGCCATCCCTGAACTCTTGTCCCAGCTGGCACGAGGAGAGGTGTCCCAGATCGGTGCCAGGCCACCTCCGGGGCAAGATGGGGAGTGCCAAGGTAAGGGGGAGGGGGTCTCCCACTCTGCATGGGCTTGGGGTGTTGGGTGGTGACTCTGTACCCGTCTGCCTGGATCGGGTCAATTGTTTCCGGGGTCCTGAGAGGCAAAGAGGGAGCTTGCTAGGGGAGATTCCCTCTTTGTGGGTGGTTTAAAAATATTAAATATAATGAGGGAGGGAGGGAGGGAGGGAGGGAAGGATGGAAGGAAGTAAAAAGAAAAGAGAAAGGGAAGGAGGAAAGAAAAAAGACAGAAAGGAAGGAAGGAAAGTAAAGACAGAGAAAGGAAGGAAAGAAAGGAACGAAAGTTACCAAGAAAGAGAGAGAGAGAGAGAGAGAAAGAAAAAGAAAGAATAAAAGAAAGAGAAAGAAAGAAAGAAAGAGAAAAAAAGAGGGACATAGAAGAAAACAAGAAAGATGAAAGAAGGGAAAAGAAAGGAAGAAAAAAGAGAAAGTGAAAAAGAAGAGAAAGGAAGAAAATAAAGAAAAGGAAAAGAGGAAGGAAGGAAAGAAAAGAGGAAGGAAGGAAGGTAGGAAAGAAGGAAGGAAGGAAAAAGACAGGAAGGAAAGAAGAAAGGAAGAGATGTCCTGGGTTCAAATCCCCCCACTCCAACTGGGATGATTTGTCTCTTCGCAGTTGTGAGACCGGAGCAGGAGGCGAAAAGCACCGAGGGGTTGCAAGGGCCTTCTGAGCAGGCGAAGAAGGCCAGCGCCCACCATCCCTCTACGCCGGGAAAGAAGCCCAAACGGCCAGTTTCGCAGGCTGGAAGAAAGGAGCCCCCTGCGGGTGAAGGAGAGGGCATCCCGGAGCCGAAGCCCAGACCTCGGAAGCGGGAGAAACCCTACAAGTGCCCCAAATGTCGAAGAAGCTTCCTGGGACGTGTCGCCTTGGCTGCCCACCGGCGTCTCCACGTCCGTAAGTGGCCCCGGGTCATCCCCCAGGCAGCTGGACACTCCCCGCATGCCCCAGAGCTGGCCGGGCCCCAGGAGGGCGAGATGGGCACTGGGGCCAGCCCCTTCCCCAGCAGCCAGGGCGAGGGCACACTGCCCTTCTGGCCAGAGATGGCTTTGCACCAGCAGGGTCCACCAGCCGCCAGCTTCAACCCGTGGGCTCTTGGATATGGGCCGCAGCCGCTGCCCGGCCACCAGGCACCCGGGCTGCCAAGCAACGGGGAGTTTATCTGCGACCAGTGTGGGTGGAGCTTCCATGGCTGGGAGGAGCTGGTCACCCACCAGATGGCTCACATGGCAGCTGAGGGCATCGCAGGCTCGGTGCCTAAGGCGGAGGCGTTGGCACACCTGGCCACTGACCGGCCGTACGCCTGCACGCAGTGCGGCAAGAGCTTCCGGCACAAGCCCAACCTGCTGGCCCACCGGCAGGTGCACACAGGCGAACGGCGTTATCAGTGTCAGGAGTGCGGCAAGTCCTTCGGCAGCAAGGCATACCTGGCCTCCCACCAGCACATCCACACCGGCGAGAAGCCATACGTCTGCGCCCAGTGCGGCAAGAGCTTCCGCCACAAGCCCAACCTCATCTCCCACCAGAAAATCCACTCGCGGGAACCCCTCGCCCACAGCAGCCCGCACCCTCTCGAGGCCTTCAACGGGGAAGCATTTGCCAGCCAGCAGCGTCCGGTGCCTGAGTCTCTAGGTCTGGATGCCTTCCAGCCTGTCCGCCTTGCTGCCGACATGCTCCTGCCTTGCGCCCGGGGCACCACCCCGCTACCCCAGCTGGCCGGGATCCTTCCTCCACCCTCGCCCCAGCCGGCGGTGGATCGTCCCTTCGTCTGCCCGGTGTGCGCCAAGCAATTCCGTTGCAAGCCGTACCTGGTGGCCCACATTCGGATCCACACTGGGGAGAAGCCATACGCCTGCAGCCGCTGTCCCAAGCGCTTCTCCCAAAAGTCGAACCTAGTCTCGCATGAGCGCTTGCACACGGGCGAGAAGCCTTACGCCTGCCCGCTCTGTCCGCGCGTCTTCAGCCAAGGCTCCAACATGCGGGCGCATCAGCGCAGCCACAGGAACATGACTGGAGCCGAGGTGGAGGTGGGACTCCGTCCGGGATACCCAGGCCAACAGATTCAGCAACCGAATTAGAGGAGGGGATGGTCTTTCTGCAGCTGTGCGCCGAGTCTCGGCTTCTCCCCCTCCAACCTCTCTTCCACGTTTTCCTTGGACAAGGGTGCGCACAAAATCTATGGAGAAGTCCTTCCTGCCTCCAAGGGCTGTCCCTGACACCCTGGAGGCCAGCAGAAGGTGCCTTAGTTTTCTTCTGGGGGGATGTGAGAGGGACCCCAACACCTGGCACCGTGCCCTGGGTCTCCAAGAACTGAGGAGAGGCTGGCAAGGAGACAACGACTGCTTTTTAGGATTTTGCTGGCGTTGAAACTCGGGAGCTACGTCGCGGCGTGCGGGAAGTTTTCAGAATACAGAACGACCGAGTTGGAAGGACCTTGGAGTGGTCTTCTAAACCAACCCTCTGCCCAAGTAGGAGACTCTATCAGGTTCCAGATGGATAGCTGTCCTGTTATCTTCAGAGGTGGAGCAAAATTGGGGTGAACATCCGTAGGCAGAATTGTTCCCGAAAGAGTCCCAGGTAGAGGGGTGCACAGTGGGTGGAGAATTGGCTTATCCCCTCCCTCACGACATTAACTCTTCTTCGGTCTCCAAGGGCCGTCCCTCGGGGAGGGAAAAGGGGAAAAAAAAGTAGGGCAGTTTCCACAAATGATTCCCTCCCACCCTAGTGAGATCAGTACAGGGACCTCAGTTTCACCATGATCTACGGGACACCAACAACAACGACGGGCAAAACGTACGGCTTAAAAAGGCGAGCAGGGGATCGTCCCTGCGGGGACAAAGGAGGGTCTTCTGGTCCATCTCCAAGGCCCCTGAAGATCCCTGGAGACCCTTCTGGATCTCTGTGGGAGAGCTGCGTCGTTCGAGTCCCTGCACGCGATGAAGGCTGGCCGCGTCGCGCCACACTCTTGCTCTTGTTATTTCCCTATTTATAGAAAGAGTAGAATTTGGGTTGTTGGAAAGAGGTGAGAAGAGGCCGGATTGCCTGCTTCCAATTCCTGACGTCCGTCAACAGCCGCGAGGCTAGCTCTGTGCTGGAAAACGATGCGTTAGTTCACGTTTCCACCAATTTCCTACTGTATACTCTTAAAAAATAACATAAATAAAGAGGTAGATGTTACTTTTGAAAGCCTGGCCTGCGCTTGCTTATAATTCATGTTCTGTTCTGTTCATTCTTTCTAATTCTAATATTCTAATTCTATTCATTCTACTTCTAGTATCTATTCTATTCTATTTTTATTCTATTCTATTCTGATTCTCTTCTCAATTCTCTTCTCATTTTAATCCTATTTAATTATTCTATTCTGATTGTGCTCAAATTGTATTCTATTCTATAGCCTCATTCTATTCTAATTCTACTATTATATTTAATTCTATTTTTTTCTCATTCTATTCTAATGCTGTTTGATTCTATTCTTCTTTGCTTCTATTCTATATTCTCATTTATTTTATCCTATTCTAATTCTACTATTATATTTAATTCTATTATATTCTCTTTTCTATTCTACCTAGCAGAGATTCACTGAACAGCTGTTGCAAGAAAGGAACGTCAGAGGGGGCAAAACTCCTTTCACCCATCCCTCACTTAGCGTTGTAAATGTTGGCCGCAAGTTGAGGACTACGTGTAAACTAGGATCTCCTGTCGGAGCAGGGGGTGGGTGGGTTGGACTAGAAGACCTCCAAGGTCCCTTCCATCTCTATTCTGGGCTTCGGGGCTAGAGTTTCCCAGTCTTTTATCTATCTATTTATTTTTTCCAAGCAATTCCTGCTCTCCTTGGTCCCTTTTTCGTCTTCGCGCCGCATCGGCAGCGCGGGGGTTAAAAAGAGAGTAAACTGGAGGGGCGGGGCATCTCTGCTGCTTGCGGATTGGCCGGTCTTTTTTTTCCCCCAGGGACACCGATTGCGCAAGCGCACAACAACCGCCGCAAGGCTTTTATGTTTCCTTCGTTTGGGCGGCGTCGGTCGACCCCGGTGACGCCCTTCGGGGTGGTGATTGGCAGGCGGCCGCGTCCAATCGCTGCAGCCGGCCTGCCAAAACGGTTGCTCTGCATCTCCGGGGCGGGAGGGAGGAAGGATTAGGGGAGCCCCTTTGCGCATGTGCAAGGAGTGCGGTGCAGCAGATGGAGATGAGGTTTTCTACAGAACACAGAATCACAGAATAATGGAAGGGATCTTTGGAGGCCATCTAGTCCAGCCCCCTCCTCAAGCAGGAGACCCTTACAGAATCACAGAGTTGGAAGGGACCTTGGAGGTCATCTAGTCCAGCCCCCTCCTCAAGCAGAAGACTCTTACAGAATCACAGAGTTGGAAGGGACCTTGGAGGTCATCTAGTCCAGCCCCCTCCTCAAGCAAGGAGCCCCCAGCCTTCCCCTTTGCTGCACGGCCTTGGGCGTCCCCCCTCCCTTTTTGCTACCTTGGCTTGCGTGCATCCCACTCCCTCAATTTATGGGGGGACTAGATGACCTCCAAGGCCCCTCCCAACTCTTCTGATTTCTTGCTGGAGCCCCAGGCGACAAGCCAAAGGTGACTCCTTCCTTTTGGGGGGTGGGGTCTTCTTAAGCAGACCCTCCCCATGGTTCTAGCCCCCTCCTTTGTTAGTGTTCCCTCCCAAAAGTCCTCCCAACCCCACCTGATTCAGCCACAGTTCACTTAACGGCAGCAAAAGAGGGGTGCAACTGTGGGTCACCGAGCAATGTGGGCTTCAGTTGTCGTAAGTCAAGGACCAGCCTGTATGATCCTGTTTGGTGGGGTGGTGAAGTGAATCCCAGGCAGTCCTCACTTACGATGGTCCGTTGCTTCTCACTTAACGACCGTTATGGCAAGCCTGAGGTCACATGATCGAAATTTTGGGTTCTTGGCCACGGACTCGTAGTTATGACGGTCGCAGCATCCGGAGGTCCCGCAATGCGATCTCCCGACCGGCAAAGTCGACGGGGAAGCCGGATTTGCTTAATGACAGTGTGATTCACTTAACAACTGCAATGAATCACTTAAGGAAGGTGGGAAGAAAAATAAAGGGTTCCGGTATCTCGAAAGACAGGCTGTCCTCGACTTAACGGCCACAACTGGGCCCCCAATTTTCCTCGCAAGGCAAGGCAGTCGCTAAGCGAACTTTGCCCCGTTTTGCAACCGCTGTTAAGCAAATCCAGAGGCGCCGAACGGAAGCCAGGAGTAATGCAGGAGTAACGCCTGAGCCCTTCCACAGAGCCTCCAGATGACAAAAGCTCTCAAGACCTTCTTATTTCACCAGGCTGGTCTGGCCTAACCTCTCCCATTCTCTTTTTAATGTAAATTTTAATTTGTTCTTAGCCTGGGGTTTTAAATTTGCCTTTTGGCTAAATTGATTTAATCCGATTTTACTTCTGCTCTTAAATTTTTGTGTTCTATGTGTTTTATCGTGTGCCTGTTCACCGCCCTGAGTCCTTCGGGAGTAGGGCGGTATATAAATCAAATAAAATGAAAAATCAGAGCTGGAAGGGACCTTGGAGGTCATCTAGTCCGACCCCCTGCTCAAACAGGAGACCCTTACAGAATGACAGAGGTAGAAGGGACCTTGGAGGTCTTCTAGTCTGACCCGCAGCCAGCATTGTGCTCAAAGGGGGGGGATTTAACCCCCTGCTATCCCCTCCCCGGCCTCCCCATCCCTGGAGGATGAAGAGGGGTCTCTTCCGTCTTCCCTCCACCAGGTGGAGAGCAGCCCTTCCCGCGGGAGGGGTGCCCTGAGAAGCCCCATCGGGGGCAATGGGTGGCTTGGGGAAGGGTCCTCTTTTTATCACCCCCCCCCCCGGTAGAATTGACACTGTGGATCCAGGGGCACTTTCTCAACCTCCATCCCATCCCCATCCCCCGCACCTAGTGGATGGGGCTTGGCGGGGAAGCATAGGCCCTGGAGTCCTTCCCAAGGCGTGATGCCTCAGAGACCTACGGCAAGGTTGTAGGGTGGGCGCTTGCGAAAGGACGGGGGGGGGCCGGGGGGAGATGGGGAGACCCAGGCCCACCGCCCAATTTGGTGGTGAGGGGGGGAGACACTCCGGACTGGAGCTGCAAGAACTCGGGAGGCGTTTTGGGGAGAGGGAGGGGCACTGTTCCCCGAAACGGGGCTAAAGCAGCCCCCCCCCCATCCTGGGAGAAAACCTCCCCCGAGCCTCCAGCTGCAGGAGCAGCGTGCTTTGCCAACCCACCTGCCCGGTCCTGAACCCAGAAGACCCTTCCGCTCCTCTTCCAGCTCGGAGGGAAAAGACCCCCCAGACACACACATTCAGGTCTTTTGCAACCAGGCGCAGTTGGCGGGCACGGCCCATGGGGGGTGTAGTCCTCTTCTGCCAAAAAGGAGGGGGGGGGTTGTAGAAGAGGCTTTCGAGATTGGTCAGAAATGGCGTAGTATACGGTCTCCTCCTTGGGCGGGGTGGGGGTGGACTAGATGACCTACAAGGTCCCTTCCAACTTGGTGAATCTGGAATGGTACAGGGTCTCCTGCCTGAGCGGGGGGTGGACTAGAAGACCTCCCGGGTCCCTCCCAGCTCTGTTCTGCTCTATGGGGGAAGGGGACGGAAGAAGAGCAGGGGAGGAACCTGCGGAACTGGAAGCCACGCGGCGTGGGGAAAGGGGGGGGGGGGGGGGGGGGGGGGGGGAGGGGGAAAAGGGGGGGGGGGGGGGGGGGGCTTTTGCCCCCTCCCCTTGGAAGATCGCCCCGCCCCACCGGTCCACCCGCTCGGCTTCCGCGGCCAGCGTGGGGAGGGTGGAAGCGACGGAGGCGGCTGCTTGCGGGAAGCGGCGGTGGTGGTGGGAGGTCAGTTGAGTGGTGAGGGGCTGCAGGCCCGGGTGCGGGCGGGGGAGGCCGAGGGGCTTCTGCTCTTTCCCCCTTTCCTCCTCTTCCTTGCAAAGCAGATCCGTGATGCACAGCCGCAAGTCCCGCGTGGGGCGGCCCGCTCCCGAAACGGAGCCAGAAACGGGTCCAGGTGAGTGGAGACGGGTGGGGTGGGGGGTTTGGGGTGGGGGTCCCACGCCGTCCTTCCGGCCTGGCTGGCACGTGGTCCGGCCCCTTGCAAAAAAGGGGGAAAAAGGGGGGGGAGAGGAGGAGAGGACCCTTCCTATTTGCACCCTCTTGGGGAGGGTGGGGAGGGGGCTTTGCAACGAGCGGGGGAGGGAGCGGGTGACCTTGGGGGGAGGAGGAGGAGGAGGAGGAGGAAGAAGAGGAAGGAGAGTCGACTAGATTGGCAAGGTTTGGGGCGGGGGTCCCAAGACCTTGCCCATGCATCTATCCATCCATCAACCTTGCCAATCCATCAAGCAATCTTGCCAAAAAGCAATTTTGCAAAAAAATAAAAAAATAAAAAGATTTCAGCCCTTCCCCCCTTCCTGCCTTTTCTCTGCCCTCGCCAACCTCCCCCCCCCTTGCAGAGGCCAGGTAAGAGAGAGAGAGAGAGAGAGAGAGAAGGCGCCGCTTGGCATGCTGGGGTTTGTAGTCCTTCCCCGGAAGCCCCCAGCGAGCCAGGTGAGAGGGGGGAAGGCTGACGTCATCGGAATCCCCGGGCAGAGAGAGCGAAAAAACCGGTCCGGGCAGCTTCGCGCACGTTGCGCCTTCTCGACTTCGATGCAATCTCGAGGGGAGGGGAGAGGAGAGGGGGGGGGGGGCTTGGTGGCAAGCTCTCCAGGGGTGGGTCCCGAGGCCGGATCCTGCTGCGGAGGAGGGCTCCCTATAGGCACAGCAGTGGCTGACCCCCTGCACCCCACTCTCCCCCTCCCACCAGCCCCCCCACCCCAAAACTATGGCAAACCAGGTGTGGTGCAGGCCAATTGAGAGCCTGCCAATCAGCCCCCGGCCTGCTTCCTTGCTGGTTCCTCCCAGGACTCGCTTGTGGGGCCTGGGTGATCCGGAAAATGGGTGGGATCCTTTAGGAGGGGCTTGGGGGGTGGGTGGGCTGTGTCATCCAGGAGAAGGTTGCTATGTTCTTCCCCGAGTTGGGGTTCTTTGGACATTGGGTGTGATCCAGAAAATGGGTGCCAGGTTCTTCCCCGAATTGGGATCTCTTATGGGCCTGGATGATCCAGAAAATGGCTGCCAGGTACTTTCCCAAAGTGGGATTCTTTGGGCGGCTGTGTGATCCAGGAGAGGGTTGCCATGTTCTTCCCCCAATTGGGATCTTTTAGGGGCCTGGGTGATCCAGAAAATGGGTGCCACATTTTCCCCTGAATTGGGATCTTTTGGAAAGCTGTGTGATCCAGAAAAGGGATGCCAGGTCCTTTCACAAATTGGGATCCTTTGGGGAGGGATGTGTGATCCAGGAAAGGGGCGCCATGTTGTTTCCCCCAAGTGGAATCTTTTAGGGTGGCTCCGTGATCCAGAAGATCAATGTGATGATCTTCCCCAGCGTGGGATCCTTTAGTGGGGCCTGTGTGACCCAGGAGAGGGGCGCCATGTTCTTTCCCCCAAGCGGGACTCTTTAGAGGGGCCTGTGTGATCCCCAAAATGGGGGCCACGTTCTTCCCCAAATTGGGATCCTTTGGCCGATCAGATGATTGCTAAAGTAAAATTAGCCAAAGCAACGATCATTGGAAGAGAGTCTTTGCGTCTCGGGTTTGAATGGTCAGGGTCCTCGGAGCTTGGGGGGGGGGAGGAGTGTTTCCTTACAGACGTTTTGTGACCCAAGTAGGTTACGTCATCAGTGCCAGGAGAAGGAGGAAGGACTGTGCGGTCCTTGATGCTCTTTAAGCTTGGTTGTTTTTGTGCAGATGTCTCATGACCCAACTAGGTAATATCGACTCCCACTCCCTACGAGTACTGATCCCGTTACCTGGTTGGGCCATGAAATGTCTGCGAGAAAAAACCACCTGACTCAGAGAGGGCCGAAGGTCAAGCTGGAAATCTCATCTGCCCTTTAGGCTCTTAAGTCCCTGCCAAGCACAGAGACCCCCCCCTCTCCCCGCCCCCCATCGGTTCCATTCAGTTCTGTTTCTACTCTCCGTTTTATATTCTATATTCTATTCTATATTCTATTCTTTTCTATTCTTTTCCACTATTTTATATTCTATTGTATTCTATCCTATCCTATTCCATTCTATTCCATTCTATTTTATGTTCCGTTCCGTTCCATTCCATTCTATTCCAGTTCGTTCCATTCTATTCTATTCTATTCTATTCTTTTCTATTCTATTCTATTCTATTCTATTCTATTCTATTCTATTCTATATTCCATTCTATTCCATTCCATTTTATTTTATATACTATTCCATTCCATTTTTTATTCTCTCCTCTCCTCCCTCTCCTCTCCCCTCCCCTATTCTATTCTATTCTATTCTATTCTATTCCATTCCATTTTCTATTCTATTCTATTCTATTCCATTCCATTTTCTTTTCTATTCTATTCTATTCTATTCTATTCTATTCTATTCTATTCTTCTATTCCCTTCCATTCTATTCTATTCCATTTTATGTTCTGTTCCGTTCTATTCTATTCTATATTCTATTCTATTCTATTCTATTCCATTCCATTCCATTTTCTATTCTATTCTATTCTATTCTATTCTATTCTATTCTATTCTATTTCAAGAGCGAAGTCTCAATCTGGTCACAGATAGGTACAATCACTTACATTTTTAAAAAGAAGAAGAAAAAAAACCTCCATTCACAATTTCCCATTACATCTTTTAGAATTAAAAATCAGAACATAAGAAAAAAAACTTTTTTAACATGAATTCTAATATCTTGATCAGAACTATTCTATTACTACCAATTTAATTTCCTAAAGAAGAAAGCCTTAATTCATTTTTATATCCATTTATAAATGCAATTATATCTGGTTCTTTCCCAACTTCCCTTCATTAAACCTTTTAAAAATATCAAAACGTAAAGTTTTTTTTTATATTCTAACCTCTTAATTTGATTGATTACCTTATAATTTTATCACCACACATCTTAATTTCAAATTGAATACAGCTCTATTTTTGTTTCAATTTATATGTGAAAGTTCTATCTATATTTCTTAATATCTAGACCCTTTCAACAGATCTCTGAATCTTAAGCTTTAACAGTTTACCTCTAATTTTACACATTTCATATTAGACAAATTTATCTCAACATCAGTATCCTCCCCCATAACTCCTACTATTGTTTGGCTGATTCCCAGCATACTCTATTTCGGTTGATTTCCAGCATAATCTCCTCCAGACCTCCCATTGTTATTTGGCTGATTTCCAGCATATTCTATTTTGGCTGATTTCCAGCATATTCCCCTCCAAATTTCCATCTCTTGTTAGGCTAGTATTACCAGCATGCTTTCCTCCACTCCTAGATCTGTTATTTTAGCTGTTTTATTTGACAATACGCTTTTTCAGCGTATTTTCCTCCATATCTCCCCCCAATTTTATATAAACATGTATTTCAACAACTATCTTCTCACATATTTTCTCCTAGGTTGTAAATTTCCCTTAAAATCTTCTCTCATCATATTTATTCTTATTTTTCTATAGAAATCACATTTTTTCCCCTTTAAAAATCACTTTCCTCTAATTATTCAATCTGTAAATATTTCTTATTAAAATTCAAAATTTCATTTAAGCATTAAGATATTTATTCTATTCTATTCTATTCTATTCTATTCTATTCTATTCTATTCTATTCTATTCTATTCCACTATCCTATCCTAACCCAACCCATCCCATATTCTATTCCATTCCATTCCATTCCATTCTCTATTCTATTCTATTCTATTCTATTTTATTCTATTCTATTCTATTCTATTCTATATTCCATTCCATTCCATTGTATATCATATCCTATCCTATCCTTTATTCTATTCTATTCTACTCTACTCTACTCTACTCTACTCTACTCTAGTCTAGTCTACTCTACTCTACTCTACTCTACTCTACTCTACTCTACTCTACTCTACTCTACTCTACTCTACTCTACTCTATATTCCATTCCATTCTATTCCATTCCATTTTATTTTATTTTCTCTTTTTTTAATAAAATTTTTATTGAAAATTATTAAAAAATACAGAAAAAAAAATAGCAATATGGGCAGAGATAATATAATACATATAGAGTTTTAAAGCATCAATTTTCACCTAGAAATAGTACAAACTCCATTAAACCAAATCATCAAAAAAAGAAAAGATTATCCAGAAGAAAGGATTCTCAACTGCCATGCAATATTCCTATAAATATTTACCCACAGTCACACTAAGATTATTATTTTACATTCTTCTTAAAATTTCTTTTTTGCAGCCAAGCATACCACCGGTCCCAACTCATATATAGAGCCCCGATTCTTGTCTATCTCGCAAAAGTCCGGTAAGCTTGTCTGCCTCTGCACAGTCCATGATCTTTGCGGTTAACGTAGCCTCCGATGGGGTATTTTTGGATTTCCATTCTTGCGCAAACGAGATCCTGGCTGCAATGATGATGTGGAGAGCGAGATACCAATTAGATTTGTTTAAGTTCTCTGGTTTCATGCCTAGTAAAAACATTTCCGGGTTCAATTTTATCCTACATCCTATGATTTCTAAAATCCATTTTTGAATTCTGGCCTAATATTCTCTTGCTCAGGGACAGGTCCACCAGCTATGAAAATAAGTTCCCATAGCGGCGTTGCATTTCCAACAAACCGGGGAGGTTTCCGGGAACATCTTCGATAATCTAGCCGGAGGGAGGTGCCATCTATACAGCATTTTATATGTATTTTCCTTATAGGAAACTGACATTGTTAGTTTTAGGGTTTTCCCCCAAATTTCTTCCCATTTTTCAGCTCAATCGAATATCCCAAATTTCTCCCCCAGGCAATCATTGAGTCCTTGATAACATCCACTCCAATCCAATCCATTAAGAGGAATTGATACAGTTTGGATAATACTTTCTCATCCTTCCCCAATAAGTTTAGTTTAGTTTTATTAAATTTTAATACTGCCCTACTCCCGAAGGACTCAGGGTGGTGTACAGCCAGGATAAAAACCAACA